CGTAGGATTTGCACCAAAGCTAGCTGGATTTAAACGACATGCAGACTTAGCGCCTTTAGCGTCAACGCATAACTTTTGAACTCGTCCTCCGTACTCCGGAGAATCTCGAGAGGCTTGTCTGTACCACGTCCATGCCTCCCTGCGCACGAATGAGGACGTTGAAAACCCCAACAACACCTTGCATCTGTTGCAGCCCGACTTTTGCTATCCACTTCAAGGTCAGCTGGCTTTGTCATATGATGGGACACCGCGCGTACCGACCAATTCATAGTGAGGCGTGCCTCATCAAAGCTCAGCCCCTCGCGTGCGGCCGGCAGGGTCATCTTCTTGCCAGGACGGCGGTACAGTCGGTACTTGTGGCAGATTCAAGAACTTGTTGGACGCTAACCCCCACACTCTCTCCAACTTGAAGCCTCTTCGCAGCTGTAGGCTCAACCACCCCTGTCAGTTGGATATCTTTTCCAATTGCACTCCCTAATTATGGAATGATCCGGCTGGCAATGTGCGGTTGATTCGACTGGATCTCTTCCGGACGCCTGGGCAGGCATCGCCGAGCATCGCCTCCTTTGGCGCGCCCCGTTACTCTGCCCTAGCATCCCCAATACACGGTACCGTGCGGACATATCCAGCTACTGCTTTATATTAAGTGGCACCCTTGTCGGGTCCGTAGTCGGGCATCGCAAGCCTGGATCCATGGGCCCAATGTGCACGAGTCGACCCTAGGCTATGGAGAAGGCGGACCATTTGCTTGGAAAGTGACGGTCATGATAAATAGCTGACCTTCTCCCGTGTCCGAGATGAGCGCATCACACTACCTGTCACAGAAAAGCAAGGCCTCCACCCAGCACAGTCAGCCTGCGACCTTTCCAACCTCCACTGTCTTATACAAAACGAGCTTGACCGAGTCTCACCGCTGGCTCACTGCCCTACGCATCTTCATAGCATCGCCGCAGCATGGCACCTCACATGGACGCACCTTCACCCAGTGGTAGCTTGAGAAGTAGTCTCGATGGACCACGCTACAACAGCCTCAGTTTTGCGCCCCGCCAGCGTGCCCTCGATGGGTATCGTTCGTCGTCAGAGAGTCTCACCGATGGTGCATCAACGATCGCCGACGTCCACATGTATAGGCCCCTGATCCCGGGCGTCTATGTGCCTACCATGTGTTTCTTCGAAGCCAAAACTGAAGATGTCGATACCACAACCATAGCGCAGCACGCGGTGCGCCTGGCGCGCGCGGGCGTCACTGGGCTAGCAACTCAGGGCTCTAATGGAGAAGCGGTTCATCTCACGCATGCGGAACGATATACTGTCACAGCAACCACACGACGCGCTTTGAATGAAAATGGGTTCTCACACTTGCCTATCATTGTGGGCTGTGGCAGTCAGAGCACGAAAGAGACCATTGAGTACTGCCGCGAGGCATATGAGGCCGGCGGCGACTACGCCCTGGTTCTGCCGCCTTCGTACTATGCTGGCCTTTTTGCACCTGCTTGCGAGACGATTATCGAGTACTTCCACACCGTGGCGGACAGCTCGCCCATTCCCTTGTTGATCTACAACTTCCCCGGAGCTGTCGGTGGCCTCGACCTGTCGTCCGATATCATCATCAAACTATCTCGCCATCCTAACATTGTCGGTGTCAAGCTTACTTGTGGCAACACTGGCAAGCTGAACCGCGTCGTCTCTGCGACACGGCGCTTGACCAAGCTCTACGACTACGACCACCCTGAATTCGTGGTCCTCGGTGGATCGGCCGACTTTCTCGTCCAGACACTTGCCGCTGGCGGCCACGGGATCCTAGCGGGGCTGGCCAACCTCGCTCCCAAGGCCTGTCTGTCGACAATGCGCCTTTACCGGGAAGGGTCGATGGAGGAAGCTCAGCATCTGCAGGACACCTTGTCGGATGGTGACTGGACCGCTATTCAGGGCGGCGTCGTCGGGACAAAGGCTGGCCTGCAGGCGTGGCTTGGGTACGCCGGGTACGCAAGAAGCCCTCTCCCCAAACCGACGGAGGAGCAGGCGCAAAAGTGGAAAGATGGATTCAAGTCGCTCATGGAATTGGAAAAGTCTCTCGATTGAGGGTGGGCGTTGAAAAGTCTCCATTGTACGAATTACCCGAGCTCTTCAAGACTGAAAATGGAAGGGAGGAAAGTTGAGAAGCAGGTCGAAGATTGGTTGCACAGTATCAAGCTACTGCGCTTTGTTTGTTTCTCTCTCTTTGCACCGCTTTGGGACCGTCGGAAAATGGGAGAACTCTTGTTGCTGGCGTTCTTATTTTGAAACAAGCGGTCGGCAAATGTCTATACGGGGCAATGTGTAATCAGTTACCATTTCAGGTGGTATCAAATGGCCTCCAGCAAAGCAAATGGCACTCGGGCTTGATGAGTTCCATTTCCTCGATAACTGTATTGAACTCCCACTCTGAGAACATCTGCATCAAGATTGCTGATCTTTCTTAAGTCAAACCACGCTTTGCCGATGGATCAGGGGCCCCCTGATGCCTTGGGATGGTATCCGTGGAACGAGCGACCACCTTGATTCATGCACGAAGGGCGCACAACCAACTTTGCACGCAAGGCGTAAGAGGTACAAGAAGATAGTCAACTGCTACCATGTGACAGGCAGCGTATTGAGTGTCTCGAATGTGTAGGCTGTGTCATGTCCGCGTGCCTCTTTCTTTGTTGCCATCCCCCCTTTTTTCAGGCACTTCACGTATGACAGTTGAAAAAGTTCATGTTGCCGTGTGCCTGCTGGGACAACAGAGATTCACACAAATCTTCACATCCGTGCATTGTCTGGCACATACGGAGAGAATCCCCTGACGTCCTCTCGTACTTCCAGGTGATGGGTCAGCTCTTGCCGCACGTCCTTGCAAGCGCTGGGGTTCGCGTCGCCGCTCAGCACTAGCAGCGTGCTAGGTATGCTCGCTACTGTCGTCCGACTCCGGCATATTCGACCTATCAGTGTGAGTGATCGCGGTTGTCCGAAAACACGTGATCATGTTGGAATGCTCCAACATACTCAAGCCCATTGCTGGGGATGCGCGGTACTCAACGACCAAAGGGAGCATGAAAAGCACCAGAAACTCTTGGTCACACATACTCTGGCCAGGACAATTGGAGCAATACGAGGTTGCGGTGGATATTGGCAGTATTCTTGTAAGTGTGAGGTATTTGCGGCTTTGTCCAAAATCTTTGCGTCGGGCCTTGACATAACACACAAGCCCCTCCACCTTCAAGAATGCTCCAGCCCGACGTAGGCAGATCAATCCTTTGCCACCCACATTATTAAGATGTTTCGGGCTGCAGGTGATCAGCATTGAGGGCCTGACGCCCGAGGGTGTAGGCGGGAAGTATTGGCAAAGGTCTAGTATCTCTAGGTCGTTTGGTGCGAAGCTCGGTCCAAAAAATGTGCTCGGCAGCCCTCGCCGGCCGTCGGTGCTGGATATCATGGCCATGAGGTCTGACGATCCGATGCCAAGGTCGGTGATATCCTAGTCACATGACCCGCCGTGCTGCGGAAGTATTCATGGTGTGGATATGAGGGTTTTCTGAGGCTTCTCGACATGTTCAGAAGAAAAACTTCTTCCAGAAACACCCATGGCGCCAACAATGGTGGCCGGCGCAGCCAGCGATGCGGCAAGCGTTGCGGACGTGTTCCTCGAGGCGATGGCGCCAAACGCGTTGCAGCGCGCTCAATTCCCCGATCCCGCAGGTGAGCGGTTCGTGCGGGACTGGTTTGCCCAGGACGTCGTGCGGCATGTGCAAGATGCTGACAAGGGTCTCCTGGTTGCTCGGTCTGAGGATGGCGAGATTATCAGCTTTGTCAAGTGGCTGGTACACTCACCTCGGGCATCTCAGGAGGCGCCGGAAGAGCAGGATGTCTGGCCGGAGACGAGTAACATAAAGGTCTTGGAGACGTATACGGCCCTGACGGCCAAGGTGCGAGAGGACGTCCTCGGACAGACGGCCTACTACCGTGCGTTACCCTCACGTGCTGGACAGACTGGTGCCGTCGAAAGCTAATCCAACATGTAGATGTGTCGTATCTCTGCACCAAGCCTGGGCATACTGGGCAGGGCGCAGCCTCTGGCCTCTTGAAACTGGTTCAGGAGAGAGCTTCAAAGGATGGCATGGCTGTGATCCTGGAGAGTACCATGAATGTTGTGTCGTTCTACGAGAGGCTCGGTTTTCGAGTAGCCTTGAAGTTTGATCTTCTCTTGCCACCACCAGGGGGCCAGTGGACGGAGCTCTATGAGGAGAGATCCATGGTTTGGAAGCCGGATGGGAAAGGTTGAGAACTAGAGAGTAGGGGGGGACGATAAAGGTTTCTCCCTTTGAATCCGTGTGTACACGCTCACATATCCGCCATGGACCTTGCCACGCTCGGGAAGTTACTTGCGTCTCAACTGGCGGCACTTGGTCTCGTATCGTCCTCGAACAAGATCATCCGTACGCGTACTTACTATAAGGTGTTGGTTCGCGCGCCCGGGCTTCTCCGTCTCATGCAATGGAACTAGGGCATCGACCTGAAGTCTTGAATGTGCGGCGGGGGTCGTTGAGATAACTTGAATGGAAGCGTGGGATGTGCACAGGAAATGGCACTTGGCGACTCTGCACTCTAGCCAGGCTGTTTGCTGGTTCCTCACTTTGCAACTTTACGGGGGTAAAGAACAAACGCGCATGGCGTCGTGCAATGCATATTGGTAGTATTGGCTTGGGCTGTGCATGAGGTGTGGTGGCACACTTGAGATGTTACCAGACTGGTGCGGGCGCAATGGACGTTGCGGGCGGTTCTGCGTCAGCAGTGGGAGGCTGCGGCGTGCCCAGGGAGCGTAGGCAGGGCTTTCTCTGGAGCGAAGTCAACCTGCAATATAAACCATCATGTCATGTTCATGATCATGTTCATGATGTGGTCTGGTCAAGTGAGATGAAGCTCAGTACTATACGTAGAGTCAGTGCCCACTCATGTGAGCCCGTGTAGTGACTCACGTGACGCGTCCCGACGGATGAATCCCGGCGATTTCCCCAAAACCCCACAAATCAGCGATGCAGCCCGCCAATCCGCTGCACATGCCGCATCAGCCCCCAAGGCGATCTCCAGCTCCAGCTCTGGTGAGAAATCCGAAATCAAAGCGACCAAGATGCTTCGAAATGCGCAGGTGGGAATTGGACGCGAGCCTGATGACGAAACTTTGCGACATGCCAAGCGCAGCGGCAGCCAGCGAGTCGAGTTTAGCCGCACACAAAGTCGCCCAGGACGCAAAATGACTCGACCGCGAACAAGCCAGAGAGCGCCATTACGTTAGAGCAACTGCGACCCCATGCACACATGCTTTTCGATGCCGTAATAACGAGGGCCCGGCAGCCAGCGGCGCGGCCGGCGGTGGTACAGCGTCCGCCACCCGGTCGCCTGCGGCTCGCGAGGTACCTCGTCGTCGTCTCGCTCGCGTCGCCCAATCCATTATGTATTTCTATCTCTTCATTCTACGAATTTTTGTACGAGATAGGGAATTGCGTAGATAAGGCTGCGTCTGTAGCCCCAGAGGGAGGCCTGATCGGGCATGCGAATCCCCGTCTCGCAGCAAAGGACCCTGAAAGTCGCTGCCCATCCGATGACGCTGCTCCGGTAGGCGGACCGTCTTTGCAGTCTGCAAACGACACTTTTCCGCTGCCTATTGTTTTTCACGACGTTTGAAGCGCTTACCATAAAAAATAGCGTTCCTTTCGGCTGGCATGTTGCGAAATGGCCTGACGGGCTCGTCAGTGGGCAGCGGCTGGGATCGTCGCATTGGCATGTGGTCGGTCTGGACACGCCAGGCGATTTGATAGGAAAGGTCCCCCATATTTTCCCATGACGAGAACGCGACCAGGCGGGCATCCAGACGGCTGGGCTAATAGGAATACTGGAATAGGTATTCACAAGCCGATGGGACGGGATAGCTAGTTCCCCATTCTGGACGCACCCTTTGTAATTGAGTCTGTTGGTCAGCAATTTGATAGGTCGAGTCTTGTGAATGGCACCCGAAAAGAATGAAAGGAAGCAGGCGAGCACATGCTTCTTGCGTCGACTAATTACCTACCTTACCCTGCCATTCGTTTGCTTGGAAACCCAAAATCCTGCCTAGCCCACATGTAGGTAGCCTCCGTCGTCCGACTCCTCCTACACGTAACCTAAACTGCGTCTTGGCACCCGTCCTTTTATCTTTATCTTTGCCCATCGTCCATCCTTCTTGGTTCTCAACTGGCCAGCCTCTCTGAGCCAAGCGTCCGAGCACACACAAACTGGGAGAGACGGAGAGTGAAGGACGGACGCCCATCAAACCCACATTGGCAGCGGGCACTGCACGAGGAACAAATCGGGGATCCTGCTCCATCGTTCTTATGGACACTGCTAGTCGCCTTTCTTGATTGTCCTTTCTCGGATCTCCTATCAGCGCCAGTTGGGCGGCCCAATCAATCGAGTACGCGATCTATTCCTGCAACAGCAATTCAGCGCGCGACAACAACGAACCGAACTGGACCACCAAGTTCCAACCACCACAGCCTTCCATGGTACCAAGCCAGGTATGACGCCGATAACGCACTCTTATCTCGTCCTTGCCGCCGTCGTCACTTGAATCCGCGCATGTACGTCAAGTACGTACCAGTACGCACGTTCAGCACATCACGTAGCACACAGTATTCAACTTGCTATCATAGGGACTGGACCTGACTGAGCCCCTTTGGACACTCAACACCGCCCGCAACGCAGGTGGTACGTACAGTATCACAGCCTATCGGACGCTGCCGCCGTGCGTAGTATTACAACACCGCAGCCTTATCTGCTTACCATCTCGCCCGCCCTCCACCAACAGGCGATAGCTGAGCTTATCACGCCCACCCCCGACACTGGCTGGCCTCTCTCTCCAGGATCTCTATCCTAGGATTCCCGATCTACATCCGCTTTGCTACATATCCCACATTGTCCTGGCCACTGACAGCGCGTGTCCACCACCAACCACCACCCACGCACGCACGGTGCACTGCACCACGCTCTACCACTCGCGTGGCGTTATCTCCGGTACTTGACCTTATCAGCATCAAAGCTCACACATCTGCTATCCTCCGCACAAAGTCGCCGGCAAACAAACGTCACTGTCGCGTGTGCGCCTGTCTCTAGTCTCCGTTGTCAGGGACCGACCCAGGCTTCAGGCTTCAGGGGATCTTGCTAGGCGTCACCCCGCCGCCTGCTGGCCCCCCGAGCGGGCGCAGTGCTGATATCAATCGATATCTACGTACCTACATAGTGCCCAGGTCCCTTTGCCCAACATGACCCATAACAACAATTCCTCGGTCCAGAGGACAGCGCCGATACCCATCGCTCCCAAGCCGCCCAGGCCTGAACCAGCCACGCACAGGCACCCCAACAGCCTTCGTCGCTTTGAGATAGGGCCACCGAGCCTCCAGGGCAGGGACGCTGTCTCCGTGTCGGCGCCTGCTAACCCCAGCCACGGCGGCGCCGCGTCGCTACCGCCCTGCCGGGCCTGCGCGTCGACGAGCTCACGGTGTATCCCGAGCGAGGACGACGAGGGCTGCATCTCCTGCCAGGTGAATGCAGCCGAGTGCTCGCTGCTGTCGTCCGCGCAGTCCAGCCCGCAGTCCCGAAAGAGGAAGCTCAACGGCCATAGGTCAGAGATTAGCATCAAGAGAAGGTTCGTCTTACTCCAGTCTCCTGCCTATCTCTTCTATCCGTACTCCTGGCCCGTGCCGAAACCTTGTTCATGTGTACTTACCGTCCACGTACTTATCTGATTACTACTCTATCTCCCTGATCTGCGTCCAGTGAGACACGCCTTGACTAACACATGATTGGCTTGCAGTTCCCCAGGCACGCCCACCCGGCGAAGGAACCACGCTGCCAGCCTGTCCAGCACGGCGGCCAGCAGCTCCTTTCTGGAGGACATGGCCAATGTCGGTGGCCCGACCATGCTCAAGAGGACGCTGGGCCTCCAGGCGGATCGGTATAGCCAGTACATTGGCCCCACCACGGACTTTGAACCGTCGCTCATCAACCTCTCGTCATTCGACCCCCAGGACGAGAGTCTCTTATCGCGCGGCACCCTCCGCAAGGTCAGTGACGACGACACCTTTCTGATGCTGCCCGACCACAGCACACCTGGGCACGAGCATCTCACCCAGGACCTGGACGACATTGAGACCCTGGTGGCGCCCCACGGGCGCAGGCTGATCGATCTGTACTTCAGAATCGTCCACCCCGGATTCCCCATCATCCAGAAGCATGTCTTTATCGAGAAATACGAGCGCTCGTATCGCGAGTTCTCGCCACCCATATTGGCCGCCGTCTACATCTTGGCCATCAACTGGTGGGAGCACGATGATGTCCTCGCCCACATACCGCGCCCCAACGTGAGGGAGCTGGAGAGGCTGATCCGCACCACCTTGGCGGATGCCGTGTACAGACCAAAGCTATCGACAGTCCAAGCGGGACTATTACTGTCGCAACGACCCGAGGGGGACCAATGGGCACCCACCGCACAGCTCGTCGCCATTGCGCACGAGCTCGGGCTACATCTGGACTGTTCAGGATGGAAGATACCACCGTGGGAAAAGGGTCTGCGGAAGAGACTTGCGTGGGCGCTGTACATGCAGGACAAATGGGGAGCATTGGTCCATGGCCGGCCGTCACACATCTTCAGCTCCAACTGGGCCGTGCAGAGCCTGACGTCCAACGACTTCCCGGATGTGGAGTGGGACGAGAACGACCTGGAGGAGAAGCAAGACATTGAGCGAGGGCGGCTCATCTTCACGCGCGCTGTTCAGCTGTCGGACATTCTGTCCGAGATCCTCGACACCTTCTACACGCTCAACGCGATGCAGACGGTGACAGAGGCCGGCGCGCAGGGTGCGCCTCTAGTCCTGTCACTTGCGAAGCCCATTCAGCTCAAGCTGAAGGAATGGTACGGCAACCTGCCCAACAACATCCGCATCGATTCGTCGTCAGCATATTCGTCGCTCGCCGCCACAGCGCACCGCTTCACAAGCGTTGGATACCTCCACCTGGCGTATTTCGCTACCGAGATCACACTCCACAGACGCATCATCAGGTCACTGGCGGCAACGGCCTCGACGACGGACCCGTACGTACAGAACATCTGCCGCAGCGCAGCCAAGGCGCGCCTCATCTCCGCCATGGACTTTGTCAACAGGCTGGGGCCCATGCATCTGCGGTCGTTCTGGTACTTTGCCTCCAAGACCAACTTTGCGCTCATTGGCACATTCGGCTCCCTACTTTGGGCAACATCGCCCGGGCGGGAGGAGGCAGAATGGTATCGCCGGCGTCTGTCGGAGTACAGGTGGACATTGTCCGTGAGCTCGAAGCCCGGGGAGGGCAGGGGCCTGACCGACTTCGCCATGGGCATGCTGGACATTTCGGCCGGTTTGCTCAAGCAGCTGCCCGAGAAGCCATCCATGAGCCGGAATGGCAGCGCGGTCGACTTTGGCGGACCCTCGGGACCAGCCTCGTTCTCGGGCCCGGGGAGCATACTCGACAACTACAGCAGCAATGTGGCGAGTGCCGATGTCAGCGGCGTGCAGAGTCCTAGAAGCACCCGATACAGCAGCGACGAGGAGGAGGACGAGGATGATGAAATGGAAGACTACCCTCGCATGAGGTGACCGGCGTTTCGAGGAATTTTCTGTTCGGCACGTTGAGTGCGCGCGGGTTGGCAACGCTGACACGCATCTATTTGGATTGGTTTTGGGCCTTTTTCTCGTCTTCTTGGCAGGCGACCTGATTTTTGTCTGGGGTATTATAGACTGGTCCTATTTACGATTGCCACGAATTTCTGGTATGGATGATGATATATCATAGGCGGCGCGGCGCGGCGCGGGCGGGGGGAGCAGTCTAGTCGCTGGCAACGGTGCAATACTTTTTTTTCTTTTAGTGTCATCGAAGCTATCATAGTATATATGACGAGCGATTCTTCAGATTACTACTACCTTACCACAGCTCCCAGATCTGCGCTGGCAAGACGGTCCGCATTATATCCCAGTGACCTGCTGCGGTGGTCTTGTGCCACTCGTCCATCCGGCGCGTGTCGTTTTTCCTCAAGATCTCCTTGTCTTCGGGTCCGAGAAAGTCCGATTGGAAGATCTCATGCTGCGGCTGGAGGAATGCCTGCCTAGACCTGCTCTGCAAAAAGTCCTCCACCCGGGCAGGTCGGAAGGAGAGCTTGTCGTGCGGTGCTTTCAGGCAGAAGATGACCATGTTGGTGAAATCGGGCTGGCCAAGCGGGAGGTCCACAGGTGCTGGCGACTCGCGGAAAATCCGACACGTAGGGAACACGGTGGTGATGGTCTTGACCACGATCTTTGGCGCAGGCAGGCTAAAGTCACCCGCGTAATTCTGCTAGGGTCAGTCTCGATGCTCGACGCTGTCAAAGGGGGGGGGGGGGGCAGACTTACAATGGCGACGACGCCGTCCGGTGTTAGAAGGTCACTCAGACCCTGGAGGAATTCCAAGGTGAAGAGATCCACGGGCTCCGCACCGCCGGTGAACACGTCGTGAATGATATAGTCGTAGGTCTTGCCTTGCTCCACCAGCCCAGCTGTGTGGCTCACAGCGTCTACCAGGACGGGCGGGTTGTTCTCCTTGAGATCGAAATACTTGGCTGCAAACTCATGGACCACGGGGTCAATCTCCACGACCGTCGTGTCAATACCGTGTGTCACCAAAGCAGACGGTGTCGTCCCAATGCCCAGGCCCACGACGAGTGCGCTGGCGTCCTCATCCTTGACCTTGACGATATCGACCAGTCTCACGGCCTCGAGCATGGCGAAAACGCCATAGATGGGCTCGGCGACCTGAATGCCTTGCACGACAGTCCATTGTCCACCCAGCAAGCTGTGGTCGCAGCGCATGACTCTGAACCCCCGTTGCAGACTCTCGATGACAGAAACGTATCCAGTGACCGACTCCCGTCTGTCTAGGAGCATCCACTCCTGATCCAGCAGCGTCGTGTTGAGCGCGAGAGTAGCGCTCGGGGTCATGACATGCGTGTTGAGGACTGCCGTGTGCAGGAACGCAGGGGCTGTAAGAAGGAGGAGTTTGGACGGGGAGAGCACGGCGTATAGACCGCTGAGCAGGACCTCTAGTCCCATGCGCGTGAGGACAAAGGTCTTGCCCACGTTCCGGCTGAGGAATTGTCTGCTCAACACCTCGGCACCCTTGAGCACACCCCACGATCCAATACCGGGCGCGGCATCCCCAATGAATGAGGGGACGTAGGGGAGACCAGCCCCCTCTAGCTCGTCGGCCACAAAGGCTGCAGTAACGGCGGCCACTGGAAACAACGTCAGGCATTCCGTGAGCAGCGGCCCGTACAGAGCACCCAGCTTGTCACTGAACCTGAACAGCATGAACTGGACCAGGGGCACGTAGGCCACCAGCACGGGCAACAGTTGGTCTGCCCTCAAGCCTCGCGGGAGGATGTCACGAAACGCCACGTTGCCAGACCAGCCAACGAAGCAGCCGGCCATGAGGATCTTGGTGTGGTAGATGCCGGACGGGATGCCACCGTACACAGGTGACAAGCTGAGGACCGAGGCATTGGAGAGGACGCCCAGCAATGAAAGAACGGCAAAGCATTTGACATAGGGCGCGAGCCTGGTCGTCATGGCTCCGTCTGTGCGTGCCTGCGCGGCCAGGTCTTCGAGTTCTGTAGTGTACTTTTGAGCGAGCGTGACGGACTCCTCAGCCGCCTGCGGCGCGCCAGGCGCTGGCTTTGCCGTGGAGGATGCTTTTCTTGCCATGATGAGACCTGACCGTCGGGAATAAACTCAAGTCGGGAAGAAAAGCGCACCGTCCTCAATGACCAGCATTGAGCATATGGGGAGTGAGGATGAAAGGGGAAACACGGAGCTGATGAGACCGCGCTGGCATCAAGAAGATGTGGCTGAGCTCGGTGGATGTGCTTCGGGGTCGCAGGTGTTGTTTGTGGCTGAAGTGAGGCTTGGCAAATTACATGCGGTTTCAGGTTTCGGTGCTCCTGGTTTCTTCATGTCCTTAACTCGAACCTTGGCAAATCCTTGGCCGAAAGAAATCTAAAGGGTCCTGAAAAGCCATGTTCGCCATCGAAACGCTGCTAATTGGCCCTCATCTGGCAGACGCATAGGTCAAGATGGGAGGCTAGCGAGGCTGCCAGGAATCCAGGATGCCTGGATGCCCGCGACCCCGTGTCATTGATTGCGACTGCAAGCTTCATGTTGAAGGCAGACTGGTGTCATTGATCTACTCACCCGCAATAGGTGGAAAACACAGCTATGCCTAATCTACGGTTCAGAACATGAATGGAACCCTTGCAGAGAATGTGAAGCAGAGGCGCATCTTTCCAAAGTATTGCTCAAAGTGGCACGGCATGAAGAATGATGGTCAAGTACTGCGTGATGAGATCGTCTTCTTCGAGCTCGTATCCCCGAGCTCACCTCATGGTCTGCAACACATGCTTGTCTTCTTGTAGCGATCCCGGGACCCGAAGATCGACAAGCTGAGGTGAGAAGCTGGTTCCACAACTCTGAATCCGATCCCCTCAATTTTGGAAGAGGGGTGCTCGGGTTCAGTTGTGAGCTCTATCGAAAAAGAAAGGCTTTGCCAAGGTCGGAGAGCGGTTTCCCCTCTCTCCCACGTCGGTGATCGATACTAGGAAAGGTGATATTGTGCGCTTGGCCCCCAAGGAGGTTTGCGGCACATAGCAGTCTCGTGTTGTAGAACGCTGACATTGCCATCCTCGATGAACCAGTCAGAAGCCTTCATCGAGCTATCGCACAGAATATGAAGGAGTTTTGAACAGTCACAGCCCCCAAGGTATATATGTATATTTGTGGCGGTCCTGTATGGCAGTGAGCATGGGGGGACGGAAATGAAGCACCGGAGTGAAACCATCTGGTGACTATAACGAACACAAGAAAATACGGACAGCAATGGTGGACGGGAGGGTCACGAAGTAAACACACATGAATGAGCAGAATGTAGCAAGGACTAGGCACCCAATGGCCGATATATGAAACGTACACCCGGGCTGAGATGGCTTGAGGGCAAGGAATAGACATGGATGTCACTGCTACTCTGACATTCCGAGAACCCACCAAAAACAATACAACATTCACATACATGCACTCTTTCCGAGAAAAGAATACTCGCACATGCATGTTACGTGAGATTGAGACACCCTCGAGTGGCGCTGTGCCTTCATCGAGGGTGATCGCTCGCATGCGACTTGCAGTTTGCGGAAGGTCCAGTCATCACGTCAGGCTCAATCTAAAGGCATTCCCTCTGCAGACTTACGGCCGCAGACTTGAGCACAACACATAGCTACACTCGGGTATAAAAGGTCTCTTCTCTCCGCACGCTCGATTCAATGCTCTATCATCTCCAGCATCAGACAGCAGCAGCAACCACCAAGCCCCTGAATCCTTACCCAGAAACACCACTTTTAAGCCACTTCATAATGCACTTCTCCCCCCTTTCTGCCCTTGCGCTCTCCCTAGGCGCCGCCGTCGCCTTCCAGCTGAACCCTACGCGCAGCGATGCCATTGCGCTCCGGGACGCCTGCGAGGTCTTCGACTCGCACCATCTCGCGAGCCGTGACATTGAGAAGCGCTGCAACTATGACGGTTGCGATGACTGCTCCAACAACGTACTTATGTTCTCTCCGGCTAATAGAACTGTGGCTAACGAATTCGTGTAGTTTGTCTCGTGCGTTCAGTGCCTGAATGGGAACAATATCCCCGCCTGCATCGTCTGGTGTGTCTTCTCCCCCCTTTATTCCTCGTCCTCGTCAATCTATACTAATAATGCATTCCTAGCCTGTCTTACTGTGCCGCCGAGTGCGGCTGCTAGATTTAGCCATGTCAGGGGCACTTCTCCGGGCCAAGTCAGGTTGACTTGGCAGACACATGTACATGGACGGTCGTTGGGAATTCACAGTCACTCGTTACTTTGCAATACAACGGCTTTGATCAGGTCGAATATCTTTTTATTGTCAAAGGTGACTGTCGGAAGGGTTCTTATCACCTTTTTGTAGGCTTTCATAATGCCTGCGGTGCTGAAGCATCTCACAACTGTGGAGCAACTCGAGCTTCATTGTTGACATTTCACTACTACGCCTACAGAAAACCAAGACCCCCTTGGCCTCTTGAAATGATTCACCCAAAGCGTATGCCACTACAGTTGAGCTCAAAGCTACTTCTTCTTGATAGCCTCCACGCAATACTCCCTGCTTTCACGGTTAAAGTCCTCGATAAACTCGGAAACGTGCGCGGGCACTTCGACCTTGTTGTAATCACTGCCCACGGGCGTTCCAATGCTCGAGTAGACGGGCAGGACCCCCGTCCAATTGCCATCTCTCAGCTCGTCGTTCTGCATGTCATCTCTCTCGTCCCCTGCATTGCCTGTCCTGATCTTGGCACTCCCGCTGGTAATGCGGATCCGCAGCACAGAGGTCGACTGCAGCTCGGCGTTGGTGAGGGGAAGACGGGTGTGGCGCCAGCGGTCGGGCACTATGCCGTTGGTGATCTGCTCCAGCGCGTAGTTCTTCTCTTCCACGTCGGTGACGAGAGTCGCGTAGCCAAAGAGAACGGCGGAGCGGTAGTTGTATGAGTGGGAGAATGAGGACAGGGCGAGAACGAGGCCGTCGACGTGGCTGGCTGCGACACAGACGGGCAGCCCCGTCTCGGTTTTCTGACCGTCTTCGCTGGTGTGCTTCCTGCCCATGTTCATGATCCGGGAGGAGACATAGCCGTGCACATAGAGGTCGAGTGAATCTCCCGTCGAGGAGGATGGACGGGCGAAAGAGCCCATCTGTCCTAGCATGGGGAGGGTCGTGGGGAAGGGCGAGCCCTCTATGTTGAAGGAGATGTGTAAGATGGGAGAGCCATTGATGAGTTCATGAATAGTGCGCAGGGCATAGCTGGCTGGAGGTCTGTTAGTGTTGCCTTTACCATTTGATTGTAGGAAATCAAGGGAGATGGGAGTGCGGAGGCATACCGCGCTCATCATGGCGTTTGACCGTGTTGGTTGCATCCTTGGGATACTCGAGCTCATGGCGACCCATTGTGACTGTTTCTGCTGTTTCGTTGTCTTTTGGAGTTTGTTTCTATATGAGTCCCAGGCGGCAAGGCGCCTTATTTATGTATTCTGAATTTCCAGCTTCCGAGAAGACGTGGAGGCTGTAGGATTTACACCAGCTAGTCCGCTGAGTCTGACAATCCCCAACCAGGTCATTGGACCAACCTTCATGTTTCTCGGCCGGCGGGGTAGCGGGTGGCTTGCATCATGTATGATAAGAGTCAGACGGACGGAGTTTCCACAATAAGAACATAGGGGAGGAGTGTGTGATGCTTGATTTGGTGACATGGCACAAAAGGTAGTAGCATTGAACATTTCGGATGCGGTCCGCAACCGAGCTGCCGGTCATGCATGCAGCATGATGATGCAGGAAGTTTTGATTGACAAGCAATGTGCTTCAATACTTCTCAGTCACCGGAGGCATACCATTGTTCACTAATGTGCAAGGAGGATGCTCAAGACCGGCGAGTGTGCCGGTCTCTGATGGCAACGCATGCCAGTACAGGGTAGCCGGACCGGACCGGCAATACTTGGTCGCAATTGATGACGCAGATCACCACGTCTGCACTCTACTTAGTTACTCCGTAGGTACTCCAGTCGTCCTCTCTGTGACTCAACCATCTTCATACTGGCATTGTTCCCTTATTATCACCGCAACTGAAAGCCAACAATGCTTAAAACGAGTCAAATGCCGACAGCGCCCAACACGTGACTCTTCAACTTGCGCACACTCAATCGTCCAGTGTGCAACGCAACCCGCAGAAGTCTCTGCTTCGCCTTTGAAGATGGATTTCCCACGTTAACATACGTATTCGTAGTCTCGAAGCATCCAATCCGAACAACCAAGCGGACCGTCCCAAGTGAACCAGTTGCTGCTACATTGCCAGCCTTTCTGCGGAGCCCCAAAACGGTCAGGTCGTCTCAGGATGCGCTCGACCGCAGCACATTGAGCGCTGCCTCCGACGCACCGAGTTTCACCCTCGGCGCAGAGTCCCCAGTCGGATACTTCCCCCTGGTCGCCAAGCCAGATTCTCGACGACTTCCTGTCACGCCTGCTCCGTAATGCTGGGTAATGTGAATCGTCGGCTCGAAAAGACTTTGTGTCCACGATGGCTTCACTCTCCCTTTGACATGTCCTTCCTTCTGCGCAGCCCAACATCTGGTATCGTCGTCGTTTGACGCGCCATGTCTTCGCTCTCTCGGTGCCTTTTCCTTCATGCCGTGTCCCATTGACTGGGCTTGTTTACTTTCGTTCCCTCACTTGGTCCCTTTTTTTGCGCCCCAGCAAAGAGGCGCGCCGCTGCCATGGCCGTCAGCAACGCCGTCCAGCCTCTCATCTCGGCTTTTTCCTTGTAATGAATAAATACTTACCTTAGGTATTGCCCAACACAGGAGGCCATGAGCTAACAGTCTGAATAGTGGCATTGTCACAAACGGCGCAGCGGCTGCTGCCGCCGTCTTTCTTCGTCCTTCCGCTTCTTCGCTCTTTCACGATAGCCAGAGGCTGGCCCTCACCATTTTTCTTATCTCTGCCGCCCTTTGGGCTCTAATTGCCTTCATCGGCCTCGCCGTCAACAGCTCGTCTGGCTGCCAAGTCGCCATTGTTTTCACCACAGCCTTTGATCAAATCGCCCGCATCGCCTTTGCGCAGTTTCTTCTCTGGGCGATGACAGGAGGCTCCAAACGATCGTGGGCGACGTTCGTACCGCAGACTTTGCTCGTGTTGCGCTTCGTGCTGGGTGGCGTGTACGTTGGCTTCCAGAGGGCCCAGTTTGCACCCGTGTGCTTCTCTTCGACACGTGTGCTACCTTTGGGCGCTTCTATCCTGGGCGTCGACGCGATCATTCTTTCGATACTTCTTATCACATTCCGCACGGGAAGCTCCAATGGGACCGGCCGTCTGCAGGTGAATGCAGATCGCGCCAAAGTGCTCCTGCTCGGCGTGGCGGGCGCTGCCTTTTGGACAGTTCTGAGCGCACCGATGCTGTTGGGGATCCGATCTCTCGATCTGTTCCTACGCACGGTGCTGCCTTGTATCGGACTTGTCGTTCTAATCTGTGAGTGTCTTTGATCCGTTGGGATTTGCCGACTGACCAAGAAAGCTATGACGATATTGGCCAAGTCCCAGCTTCTCGCCAACTCCAATGAGGACAAGCTCTATCCGAATCTCGACGACACGCGCCAGTATCGCATGTCCGATCTCGTCCGCGACATGGCCAACCGGCCCAGCCTGCAGATGTCTGTCGCTCGGCGAGACAGCAAAGTCTCCAAGAGCGAAGCAGCCTCCGTTAGGGTCACTGCCCTCAACAAGCCGCCCAACCGCAACAAGGCGTTGCCGGGCATCAACGGCCCAGTCCCAGGGCAAGTCGAGACAGGAATCGGGGGTCTGCCTGTCGCCGGGCAGCTGTTTCCCCCAACAAAGTCCGGTAACACTGTCGACTCGAGGTATATCCCACCTCAAGGTTCACCCATGTCTCGAGATGGTTTCAAAAAGACGAAATACGCGAAGAAGTCGGGTCATTTGATATCTGGTCCTGTTCTTCGGGAAGATAGTCCGAATCCCTTGGACAAGGTGGCCACAGTTGATCTGATGACCGCAGCGAGACAGGATCAGGAGCGTCGGGCAGTGCAAACTCGACCACTCAAGTCACGGACATCTGGTGCTTCATCGTCAGCGGCGACTGCCGAGGAGTGGACTTCACGAACCCAACGCTCCGGCGTGCCATCCGCCGCCCGAACACATCTCGTCCCAGTAGTCGAATCAGCCGTAACTTCGTCTGCGCAGCCATCACCGGGCTTGGACGACCTTCGACGACGTTCTCCACGCCTGGCACAGCACGTGGCCTTCCAACAAACCCCCATTGTACCTCTCAAGACACGCGGGACTCTTAGCGCTAGCAAAGCCGATGTGTGGGATCTGCTCGCCGTTCCCAATGGCGAACCGCCCGTTGTACCGCCGCGCTCGCCTCTGCGACAGCAGCAGCAGCCATCGACGAGTCCAGCTGTCAAAGCCATTGCAACCATGCCCTCAGCACCCAGCGAAAGGCAGCGGTCACAACCGAGACAACCCAGAGCATCTCGATCCAAGGACCTGAAAATCGATACGTCGTCTCGTCTTCCGCCCGTGTCCAACGACAACAACAAAGACAGCTATGCCTTCGCCCAACAGAAGCGGTCTGAAGCACCGCCGCCCTACCAGATCGACTACCAAGCTCATAGATCACCAAAGACACCCGCACTGGAGGCCTTTGTAGCACCGCCAGCCATAGTCGAAACTCGCAGTTCACCAAAGCTCTCGCTCTTCCCACCTCCACCTACGAAAAAGGCCGCCTCGCCGAGACAAGACTCACCTACTGCCATGGATGTCTCTCTGGCTCCTGCCAAGCCACGTACATACAAAGGTCTGGAGGCTCTGCCACAGACCGATGGGACTTTCGCAACGCAAACCGTCATGTTACTTGACGATGTGGAATACCGCGACTCGATCATGACGACCTTGGTGGCCTCCCGCAAATCGTCACCCATCCGAGAGTCCGTCTTGGACAGGCCACGGCCAGTGACACGTACGCCCGAGGCAGCACACTTTTTGCACGCTCATGGTCGTTCCCAATCCTGTGGTTCTGTCCTGACACGCGAATCAAGCTTTTTCCAACAGGCGGCCGGCGATCCAAGCTCTCTACCCCCTCTACCGCCCATTCCCATCAGCAAGAGTCCTCTTTTCAACGGCCTCTTGGGTCACGCCAAAAGTGCAACTGTGGATGAAAGACTCTTCAGGACGGGAATGGGTAGGAGGAGGTCCCGAAGTCTCACAGCAAACGTGCCCACCACCATCCCGTCAGCTAGGTCAAGCATGTCCACTGCGAAAACGAACAGTCTCCTAAGCATGGCCGACTTGACTGGACACAGTGAGCAAGAGGCGCGAATTGAGGAACAGTCGGCTACCAACACATTGGATAATGTGGCCCTCGAGACGTCTCCTGTCCCATCCCTTCGTGGAACAGCGACCCCAGACGAAGAGCTCAGCGAAACGAGTTCATTCGACACTGGGGTAGCCGAGTCCCCTTTTCTCGACCAGTATTCGCCGTCTATCACCCCTAGACAGCACAGCTTCTCGCCTCCAGAGTCGCCCGCCAAAATGACAGCCTCAAAGACCATGCTGGACAACGACATGTGGCGTCGTCTGGGCGCACCCTGCCCGACATTCTCGAACCGGCCCGCCTTCTCCCGTCGTCAACCTCCACCAAACCCCCTGCCTCTGTATAGTTCCGTCAACACGGTTGTGGTGGAGACTGAGCCTTCGCCGCTGGAATCGCCCGATCACGCGTTGCGCGAAATCGAGGCGCAACTGCAAAGGCTAGAACGATCGAGTCGGGTGTCTTCTGTGGACCAGATGCAGCGCATGACATTGCTGGCGGAACTGGAGCAAGAAATCGATGGTCAGGAAACGCAGTGGCAGGCAATGCGCCACACCATTATCCGTGACTCCCTGTCTACAGTAGGCGTGTCTCCTCACCAAGCCAAGGAGGTTGCCTCACTATGGGCAAAGGTTAGACGCGATCGCGACTCTCATCTGACTGTCGATACTTGTCTGAGCGCCAGGTCGGCCTCGCCAGAACCTCTGCGTAGGCTTGCCGTCCCGGGCAGCCGGGTTAGCCATCTCACCTTGTCGCCTCTACAGCTGGGTAGCCCTACGCCACCAGACACCGATTCGGACATGGGCGATGAGATCCCCGTGATGCTGGCACAGGCTGTACAGTTGGCGCGTCAGCCGGCCGTTTCTCTCTGGAGGGCTGAGGCGGCATCGCCCCTCCTGTTCAAGTACACTGCTTGTTTGTGGTCGCCCAGTGAAGACCGATCCCTCGTGCTGCCCGAAGTCCTCCCAGTGTCAACAGCAAGGCCTACCCGCAGGCGTACAGAGGCACCGTTGGAAATTGATAGCCAGCAGCTTTGGACCAAGGCCAAGAAGTACACCCCGATTCGTCGCGGTGGGCTGTGGAAGCCGATGTCGCCTGCTGCCAGCACCGCTTCACCTTCGGCAGCAGCCACGCCCTCCTCACTCCCAGCTTTGGCTCCTGTGAAAAGATCCGCCTCTCTGCCAAGTCGGCCGAGCTCGGCTGTCAAACCTATTCGCAAGTCAAAGCGCATCTCAGCTCTGCCGGACATTCTGGAGTCGCCCAGACTGCACCCAGTGCGTCACACGCTCGGCCTGTTCAGCTTTCCCTGGGGCGAGACATCTGACAGCGCCTACCCTGCCCTCTATCAGAACGCCATCCCAGGGACGATGAGCACTGGACTGGATCGTGTGTTTGATTTCCCCACTGCTACCCCTCAGGACGACGCACAGAGGACGTTCTTCGAGGAGTGCGATGAGGAAGACTATGGCGACAACTTTCAGGACATGGATGACTATGATGGCTTTGGCAGCGATGACGACGAAGTCGACCAGGAGATGCTCTGGGAGATTGCTGGCATGTTGAAGGGTGAGGGGTTCCATCTCGTCCCCAGCGGGGTGCAGCTACCAAGCCAAGTGCCTCGAGAAGCCCCTGAAAGCAAGGCACACGTGCAGAGCGCGATCGACGAAGCTATCTCAGAACAGTTGGTCGCTCTAACCGCCAAGGCCGAGCTGTGGCAGCCTGCTTCCCATCTTCGCAAGGTGGTTGAGAAACAGGTCGGGCTCGAGCAGCCAGATCAGGGGGCTTGGCGGTCTTATGTTGACTCTGCCGCCGTTCAGAGAGGGGCTCGCCGGAGAGTGGAGAAGAGAGAGAGCCTGTCTGATGATGTTTATGGCCGTCTATGGATGCCTCGACATGATATTGAGCAGCAGTTTCCAAATGGGCCTACACTATGGACCTCCCCTGACGGATCTCGGGCGCCATCTCCCTCTTGCTCGATCGACTCTGCTACCAAGGAATCCTCTCAAACTGAAGGACAACTCACGTCGAATCAGCTCATCCAGACACCCGGGGCTTTGTGGTCTTTGCCGCTATCTACACAACCGCAGACACCAGCATCTCAAACTGCCTCCCTCTGGGTCTCCCCTCTGTCCCTGCCCCCTTCCCTCTCGGAAGACTTCTGGGCTCGGTCCTCAACGTCCCATGTATCACCGCTACCAACGAGCTCGCACGAAACCCCGCGATGCAAGCGCACACTCCCCGCGACCCTGCCCGAGATCTCGACGTGTGCGCTCTGGCTTCCCGAGCAGGAGACGGTCGCCAGTCCTGACTGGATAGTCCGCCACGCTGCCAAACCCAAGGCACCGTCGTCAAAGCTATGGAGCAGGGTTGATTTACCAGCTAAGCCCAAGCCATCGTCAGATGGACTGTGGCTACCGCACGCATTGCCTCCACCTGAAGAGGAGTATACACTACAGCCTCGGTCGAGTCGTCGGCCCGCAATGACGCAGGTGCCCTTTGACCTTGTCAGTGATCAGGCACCATGCACGCTTTGGATTGCCGAGCAGGAGAAGGTCACCAGTCCTGACTGGATGGTCCGCCACACTACCATATCTAAGACCCCGTCGTCAAAGCTATGGAGCAGGGTTGACCAACCTGCCAAGTCGTTGTCACGTGGCCTATGGCTACCACACGCGTTGCCTCCGCCTGAAGAAGAGTATACACTACAGCCTCGGTCGTGTCGCCGGCCCGCAATGACGCAGGCGCCCTTGGACCTATCCAGCGATCAGGTATTTGATACCCTGTGGCTTCCTAAGCAGGAGAAGGCCACCACCAGACCCGACTGGATGGCCCGCCACACTGCCAACCCCAACCATAGCCAGCCCGAACCGGCCCCCTTGTCGAAGCTGTGGAGCAAGATAGATCAACCAGCCAAGCCGTTGTCAGATGGACTGTGGCTACCACACGCGTTGCCTCCGGTTGAAGAGGAGTATACACTACAGCCGCGGTCGAGTCGCCGCCGTCCCGCAGTGGCCAAGGCGCCCGTGGAACACTTCAACACTCAAGGGTTATGGGCGCCAGCCGAGATCAGGTACTCAGGTGAGGGGACACGGGGGTGGTTAATATAGGAGCAGCATGAGATGACAGGCAATTGGATTACCCCCTTTGAAAATGGGTTTATATATTTTGGTCTCGTAAAAAGCACAGGGGACGGACGTCTTATAGTCGACCATCCCAGTATATGTACACCACGTCACTTCTAATAGACATAGAAAACTCTTACTCTTTTTTTCTTCTTGGTCATAAATTCTATCCATGCATTCGTGACAAGGAAAGGAGAAACACAAATCCACTATACGCCGATGCTACATGAGTTCGTTTCCTCCATGTGCCATGTACCATTCGATCCCTGATACCCGTCGTCGTGTTTCATGGCCACTCGTGACGAAACTGAGTCTAACGTTAAAGAAAATCCCGTCCAAGTCCTCCTCAGCTGACAAGACGAGGACCCTCGTGATCAATCATACCCTTCCCTCTAGCGGACTGAGCCAATGACGTCGTCAGACTTTTTTGTGCTGTAGAAATAAATAGAAAAAGGAAACCGTCGCTATGCAAACAAACGAAAAACTTTGACAACACACTAAAAGTGTTATACACTGATCCTCACACCGAGTCCACAGTGTAGGTCGGCCAGGTTGGCTCATTGCACCGTCATCAGCTGCATCCGACGAGTGACTCCATTAGATGGCGATGCGTCTGGCGAAGCGTCGTCCCTCATCGCCGTGTTCGTTCGACTGCGGACAGCCCGCCTCGGTGGACTTGAGGCAGGATCATCGAAAACCTTGACAAAGGCAGGGCTCGACTCGAGCTGCCGCTGATGACGAGGCGTTCGTGCCGGGCTGTGCGTGATCTGGTCTACCTGGCGGATACTATCAGAGAGAATATCCCTCAGGTCGCCAGCCCGTTTGACCAGGACCTTCAAGCTGTTGGTGTCGAAATGCATCTTCCTGTGAGCATTGCCGTTGGCCTGAGGGGAGTTGGCAATGGACTGTTGCTGCTGCTGCTGCTGCTGCATGACCTCGACCACGGATTTTACAACTCCGTTGACATCCGTAGACCTGATCAAGCGTGATTCCGGCGTCCTCGGCCGGCTCGCACGTGCGGCCTGCAGGTTGTCTTCGGTCAAAGGCCACTGAGCGCCAAAGATATCATCGTCAGGGGAAAATACAGATCGCCGACGAGGAGACGGGCGGTCTCGGACAACGGCTGTCTTCGACATGATTGGTTCCCGTCCCGTCAGAGCAGCATCGAGCTTTTCCAAGGATGAGGGCTCGAATTCGTCGTCGGAAATTTGGTCTTCGGCCTCGAAGTCCAGCTCAATCGATGATGAAGTGTCGTAGTCGGGAGCCATGTCGTCGTCGTCAGGCGACGCAAGAGCAATAATGCCTTCTGCCTCCTTCCACAAGCTCCTCTGCGGCCCGGCCAGGAGGTCCATCTCCTTGCCGTGGCGGCATAGTCGTTGCAGATCGTTGACGAGCAGCGAGAGCTCGCGAATCTGCCCAGAGTGCGCTTTCACGCTCGGCTGAGCTGCTTGTATCGACTCGGGTACTGCGAACCTATCGTCAATGTCCTGGCCATCGATCTCGTCTTCGCCGCCGAACTCAAAGTCATCGTCCCAGTCCTCACTGATCGTCTTCGTACCACCAAGTCCCCAGGTTCCATACTTGGAGCCAGCTGCGGCATTGGTCTCATCAGCGGCTTCCTGCACAACGGGAACACTTTGGCTGCGGACGTGTGTTGGTGTCGGGCCCTTGCGAATGGCCGACCGCCCGCCTCTAGCGTCCACGTCCTGAATGGCGTACGCGGTTTGCGGCCGTAGACCATGGCCTGTGGCATCAGCTTTGTCGTGCGCAGGCGGCTCGCTCCAGTCGAATATGTTACTCAAAGGCCTCTCAGCTTTGCGGTCTCCCGCCAAGGCCTCTCGTACACTGTTGCCGCAAACGTTGGCCAGAGCAAGTCGCACATGCGGGTTGACGGCCGTCAGGTTAACCGAGCTCCCCTTTGAAGGCGGTGACAAGGCATTGTAAGGCGCGTCATCCATATCCCTGGTCCAGTCCTCGTCGAAATCTTCGTCAATCGAGAATCGGCCGTGGTCTTTGCCAGCAAACCCATATTCAGTGTCCAGGTGCGTTGCCGTCTTCCTCTCCCGAACTGGAGTCTGTGTGTTCTCGTCTTCTTCTGAGATCTTGCTGCTGGCTTCCCAGTCTTTCCCGAGTATCTCTTGTATAGATAACCGTTTGGCCTTGCCATTGCCGGCCGTACTAGGAGGTGACTCATCATACATAGACCCAAGTGGCGTCTCAACAGCGTGCAAGCGGCCCGATCCCCCCGTCCGTAATGAGTCGAACATGGTGTCGCTCTTGAAATCAGTGTCGTCATCATCCACCGAGTTGAAATCGCGGGTATCGCCCTCAGAACCATACATGGTTGAAGTGAGCTCATGCTGCTGACCTCGATGTTGTGACAAGGCAGTGGAGCTAGTAGAGCTTCCCGAGGGCTGAATTTGGCGCAAGCTTTGTACCCTAACCGCCCCGCCCGATGCCGTCCTCGAGAAATCGCCATGAAAACTCGAGACACCTGAAAGCGGGGGCAACGGTGAAGAAACGTTTCTTCTGAGTGCTGGCGAAGTCGACTTGGTCGCCGAACCTGGCTTCGGCCCCGGTTGCGTGGCATCGAAGCTGGGGTCTGCAGGCGATCCCTCGGCGGGATTGCCTCGTCGATCTGAAATACGGCCTTGTGACGGACTAGGGTCTGACACATGTCGGAGGCCAGCATCTTTCGGTGTCGATGCACGTGTAGGCCTTCGCAAGCTTCCTGGCGTTCTGGTGACCCAATTCCCGGCCGAGCTGAGGGTTCGGGATAGGGAACGCCGTGTAGATGGTCTCGAAGGTGTTTTGTCTGCGCTCTCAGAAGCATCGGTCTCGGCCTGTCCCCGCCGTTCAGCAATGCGGCCGGCCATTGAAGCCGCCGTGGGTGTGTCTGGCGTCGGAGAGACCATGTCCGGTTTGACCAGGTGTGGCCTCTGGCGATGGTCGTCTCTATAGACACTTACACGCCTGACAGTGTCGTTGCGTGACGGCGAGTTAATGTCTGCAATTCGACCAATGCTTCTTCCACTGTTGCTCGAGGCGCGAGAATGGAAGAACGATGTCCACCCAGACTTTGTTCGGGTAGAGTGCTGCCGCTCAAAGGGCGAAGGAAGAAGTTCATGGGCTTGTGCTTGGTCTATAGAGCCCCGAGCCGACTCAGCGGGCACAGTCGGACTCGACTGATGCTGCAGCTGTAGCGTAGCTGTCCGCTGGTGTGACGTGGCCGGTCTTCTGAGCACCGGGAGGTAGGAATTGGACCTTGGGCGAGAAGGCTGGACATCGCCGGGCGCACCTGGGGTTCGCTTGACTAGCTTGTTTGGTGCCGAAGAGCGGGCTGTCGCGGTGCTGGGCGATAGAATCGGCGCGCTGGACCCCTGGGAGAAAGTAGCGATTGACGTCGAGTCGGGCTCAACACTGGAACGAAGGCTGCCGTGTTGAGAGAGGGGTCGGCCGGACAGTCTCTTTAGCCACGAGTTAGTGGACGATATAGAGTTCCTTGGTGTTTCTGCAATTGTGTTAAAGGGTCTTGTTGGTTCCGCTGGACTCGGTCTTGAGGGGCGCCTGCCGGGCAATCGTGGCGAGGTCAACTGGGACGTCCTCGGCCGCTGATAACGGGAGAGAGGTGGTCTCGAGACTTCTTGCTTGTCTGAGGCAAGCACGGTAGGTGGGCTGAAAGAGCTGGTGCCAGGCCTGGACGAGGGCAGTATGCTGGGTCGCGCGTATTGTTGAGGCTCTTCCGTCACGTAAACAGGGCCATGCGCAGAGTAGGTCGCGTCTCGAGCGTGGGCGCCGATGTCGTGATCGAGTGATTCGCCAAACACCAAGCCGGAGGCCGCAGCAGCTATGGCAGTACCAGTTCCCACCAGCTAGAGTTGAACATGTCAGCGTATGTTGACGGGTGGAAGTTGGGGATCTTGTGCTGGATTCAGCTTACACTGGGAATGGTCTGCATGGTTGCCGAGGGTCTCTACAAGCTGATAGATACCCCACAAGCAAGCATCCTAAGAAAAGTCGACGGTGATGCTTGGGACTGACGGAGGATACATTGTCAACCCTCGAGAAGCTGGTGTGTTTGGCTGTTCCGCAACCCACGTGGGTGACCTCGTAGAAAACCGCGATAGGGCGACGAAAGATGACGAGAGGGGACTGGAGGGAGGTGAGCGGTTGGATGGCACTTGGCTCCTCAATCAGTTCAGAGGGAGGGTATGGGGAGGTCGCTCGAATTGGGGCTGCTGAGTCGGGCTTGCTCAGCAAGAATTGACAAAGAAAATGCAAGATCAAGGGCTCGGGGAGGAAAAGCAGCGCGTGATGGACACAACACGCAGCTCAAGAAAACAGAACGAACGAACGAACGTGCCGCGTTGCCTCGTGCGTCGTTACGTTGCGAGAGATTGCGAACTGAGATTTTGGGCGACTTCAAGATCCAATGGACCCGAGCCGACTCTGCAGGGATGACGCCCGGAAGCAAGTCAAATTACGGGTGCACTATAGGCGCATATGGCGATGGGGCTGCTTCAGCTTAGCGCCACCGCCTGCTGTAAGGGCATCCTCCAGCGCGCTGTGGCTCCGATTTACAGATCCCTCAGGCGCCTTAGCGGTGTTCCCCCGCCGTTCCATGGAGCAGCTGCCCTGTTTGATTGGCCTCGATCAAGGAAGGTACACACGTAGCTGTATGCAGCAAGCAGGGCAAGGCGAGATGGACTGCCAATCCGGCGGCGATATCTTTCTTCATCATGGTTCCGTGCCTAACTTATCTATGTCTTGCATTGAAGCCTTCCCACAGTAATTAATTGGTACCTTGCTGGTGTTCCTCCCGTCCATCGCGATCCCGAGATTGCAGCAGCCGCAGTCACCACCATGCGCAGCGCAGCACAGCGCCGCACCAACTTCCGACGATCAGCAGTCCTGATGATGGCTAGGCTTGCCAACCGATCCAGTGCGCTTGGGCCTATCGGTGCATCCACCCAGCGCTTGTTGCTTCACTCGCGGCGCCGGGCTGGCCATAGAGTTCGCCTAGCTTCAGTCTCGACAGGGGACTCCAGTCCTTGTGAAGAGGAGGATGACTGTACAGTAAAGTAAGGTAAGGTACGTACATTTGCACTCACTGATCACCAGTAGGCGTATAACAACGCCTGCCTACTGCCAGCAATTACGGTACGTTGCACGATTTGTCCGGCCCGAGGGCCTCGAGATCGGCTCTGTGACGCCTGATACAACCATCTATGAGAAGAAGGCTTTATTACAAGAACACAAGGCCCTGTGGTCGCGTCGCAGCAAGCACCAGGGTTCAGCGGTGAGCCTTGCTATTGAGGATCCAGGAAAAACAAACATCCAAGTGCCAACGTGTCACAGAGCAGGCACCCTGCCAATCGTCACCCAGGTACCTGCTCGTAGCATGTTGTGCACGTCCGGGATAGCCACCGTGCTTCACCAGACGTATGACACCTGCAGCAAGGCTCACCTTGCGTGGGGACGAATTATAATATCCAGCTGCAGGTGTTCAGCTCTGTGATGTTCGCCGCCCATGCTTGATGGGGAACATGAACAATACCATAGCCGCCCAGGCTTCAATGTTTTATCATGTCCCTCGTCTCATCAAGCTACACCTGCACGGGTGTTACGAGTCCAGAATGGACGAAAACACGCCTTGCCGAGAGTCACCAGCATCCTCATGTTGCATGCTCCCATGCAACGGAGCAGCCTTCCTTGGAGGGCGGTCTCCGCTGATGCACCTCGCCTGCTTACTGCCTCTGCGGAGTGAGATAAGTGCGTCTCTATTTAGTTAAGGCTGAACCAGGTGGACGGAAGCCAGCTTCTCCACCCCTCTTCTTGCTGGGCTCTGGTGCTTGGATCATTGGATGTCAAACAATAACATAAGAAGACCAGCCGAGCCGCGTTCATGTCCCCTCGCAGTCTTCACGATGATCGGGCCCTATACTCCGGACGTCCTCTAGCTACCCCTCAACTGAGGTACCTACGTTAGGTACATTATACATAATAAATGGGAACTTTCTCAATGCTTCCAAGAAGACTAGTAGAAGCCGAGTCTGTTGTGAAACCGGATTTCGTAGCTGTGGGGAGGCAGGCCAAGGCAGGCTAGGAAAGGTACTTCGTGTTCGGCCGCCGGGCGGAAGAAATGGCCCTTCACAAAGCTCACTTTCAGACTCTTGAGCCCCAGATGATCTCATATTGTGTGTCTCTCTCTAACTCAGACTACCTGGTAATTAATTATGGTCTTGGGACTGCTCGCGTGGTCCCGTCGGCTGCGAGACAAGCAGCGTCCAAGACTGTGCTCCCTCGAAGCCACCTGTTGGCTGTTGCTGTCCCCGAATCTGAGTTTGATGGGCATTGATGGCGTTTGCCACGGCCTCGACGCCGTCTGCAAAGGTGAGGAGAGAGCATGGAAAGTGGTGTCATCCCCACTGGGGGCTCCTTGGATATCACTAGTGGTCGATTCGAATTTCAGCCATGTTGTCGCCGAGCTGAGTAGTGGCCATTCAACCCCGATTTGGCTGGTTTCAGCTGCCGTGTCGTACACATGCGACCCGAAAGAGCTCGCTTCCTTTGAGTTTGCCCCCAATCTACGGAGTACGGTTACCCAACCCTAGAATTGAGATGCATCATTGGTTCGGACTGACCGATGGCATTTCTTTGCTGTGACGAAATCGCACCGTGATGAGCGGCGGGCTGTCAATGCGGCACGAGGAGACGCGCGACGCGATCTTCGTTTAATTGGAGATGTTATACGATGCGATTGGTCACAAATCAGTCCGAGATCTCACGCTGAGATCCAACACAATTCACTTTATCTCCTCGACTGCACGTGTGATGAACAACGGCAGAGCATTCGACTGAAATTGATAGAAATCTTTTGATTTGTGCGTTTGTGTCTTTCCTGTTGACATGGGCTAGAAATATTGACTAACACTTGAGCGATTATGAAGGCTGGCAATTGCCGCTACTTTACCACAATTCCAGGGCTTACTTCTTTGAAGTTCTTTCTGACTTGACAAGTGATAATTGATAGCGCCCAAGCTGCATGCAGCTTGGGCGCTACGTGTGAATAGGGACAACCCTCGACCTCGTTTGTCCACCACAGCCATTCTAGGTGATACTTTCGGCAGACGTCGGCCTGTGATATCGGATGGTATTACTAGTAGCTAAGCCCCTCAACTTTCTACATTTGTACTTCAAATCACATGTTGATCAGAATTTTGTACTGGCCTATATGGTTTTTCTGTACGCTGAGATATACTTTGTTTTTTATTCCAGGGCGCGTACTTGGCTCCTTGTGAAAGGTAAGATGTCGAACGCGGTAATCTGGTGATAGCCCGTTTCTATGATAGTACGAACATGTAGCCACAGTACACAAAAATAATTCGGCATATGTATCAGTCATTCAATCAGGCAGAGGATTTGAGTCTTTTGTTACTTGCCTGCTTCATCGATAGACACGACAAGCAAACGGTGTTCGTCAGCAGTACATCGACTGACAGCTGTAGGGTAAGTCGGCGATGCGACGAATCCCGGACTGATTTCCGGGGCCCCACTTAAATTCCAACTTCACTCAACCACCGCGGGGCAAAACCGAACGAAGAGCTCGACGGCGCCGTTCGCTAGATCATCCGCATTAGAGTCAGCGACCTCGACCTAGCTGAGGAGCATCCACACACCGTCGCCCTCCGAGTTACTCAACCGAAACACCCGCAAGTATGGAGGCCGACATCAAAGCCGTCATCCCCAACATCGATCCCGTCGTCTCGGAGTACTCAGTTGGCTACCTCAACCATGCATCGACGCTGTGGACCGATGAAGAGGACACGAGCGCCTCCTCGCCCCTGGACGAGGCTGGACTTGCCATCCGAGAAATTTTACTGTCGGCATCAGGCGAACCCGACTCTCAGCTAGAGCAGAAGATCACGGAACTTGTCAAGAAATGGGTGGACAAGTACACCGAAGCAAACGGCGGAGAGCGCCGCGGCCCCTCGACAATGAAGCGACTCGATCAGACCATCCAAGTGTCCTCACAACGGAACATGTCGTCGACTCTCGCTGTCGCTTCGGGCGGTGTCGATCTCGAATCAGCCAACAGCCGCAAGGTGGAGTCCAAGGTCGACCGCAAAAAGCTCGAGAAAGCCGAACGCAAGATTGCCGCCAAGCAGCAAAAGAAGACGTTCAAGACAGTCGAGTACGAGGCATCGAGACTGCTGGACCAGCCCGAATCCGCCGAAAACTACGAGGAGTTCTACATGGCTGTCAACCCGCTGCAGCTGGGGGCGAACTCGAACAAGAGCAAGGACATCACCTTGGACAATATCGATGTTTCAATTGGCGGCCTGAGGATCTTGACAGATACAACCCTCACACTTGCGTATGGCCATCGATACGGTCTAGTGGGTAAGAACGGTATCGGTAAATCTACACTGTTGAGGGCGCTGTCCCGACGTGAGGTGCCGATTCCCACACACATTTCGATTCTGCATGTTGAGCAAGAGGTCAGTCACCTGAGGTCATCTTAAGGAAATCGACTAACTCTTCCTAGATTACGGGTGATGATACGCCAGCCATCCAGGCTGTTCTAGATGCTGATGTTTGGCGTAAGGTGTTACTCCGAGAGCAAGATGTAAGTGTTATGGTGGCAGGAAATGCACAGTCTAACTCACACGAATAGGAATTCACAACGAAGCTTGCCGATATCGAGGCACAGCGAGCGCCCCTCGCCGACACATCGGCTGATGCTGCCAGGCTCGATAAGGAACGTGAGGCTCTCGACACCAAGTTGGGAGACGTGCAAGGCAAGCTTGCCGAAATGGACTCAGACAAGGCTGAGTCACGCGCCGCCAGTATCCTGGCTGGACTCGGTTTCTCTGCCGAGAGGCAGCAATACGCGACCAAGACGTTCTCAGGTGGATGGAGGATGCGTCTGGCGCTTGCCCGTGCGCTTTTCTGCGAGCCTGATCTCCTTCTTCTTGACGAACCGTCCAACATGTTGGACGTGCCATCTATCACCTTCCTTTCCAACTACCTGCAGGGCTACCCAAGCACAGTCCTGGTCGTCTCTCACGACAGAGCGTTCCTGAACGAGGTGGCTACGGATATTGTCCACCAGCACTCGGAGCGCCTCGACTACTACAGAGGAGCCAACTTTGACACCTTCTACTCGACACGCGAGGAGCGCAAGAAGGTGGCGAAGCGCGAGTACGAGAACCAGATGGTCCAGCGTGCGCATCTGCAGGCTTTCATCGACAAGTTCCGCTACAACGCCGCAAAGTCGTCAGAAGCGCAGTCACGTATCAAGAAGTTGGAGAAGATGCCGATCTTGGAGGCCCCCGAGGCAGAGTACAGCGTCAAGTTCCAGTTCCCCCCGGTGGAAAAGTTATCGCCGCCCATTGTGCAAATGTCGGAGGTCACGTTTGGCTACAGCAAGGACAAGATCTTGTTACGCAATGTCGACCTCGACGTGCAACTGGACTCGCGTATCGGCATCGTTGGACCCAACGGTGCCGGTAAGACAACGATTCTCAAGCTGCTCATTGGCAAGCTGACGCCGACATCTGGTATCATCTCTGCCCACCCGCGACTGCGCATTGGTTTCTTCGCCCAACACCACGTTGATGCGTTGGACCTGACGACTAGCGCTGTCAGCTTCATGGCCAAGAACTATCCCGGCCGCAAGGACGAGGAGTACCGAAGGCAACTAGGTGCCTTTGGCATCACGGGCACGACTGGTCTGCAGAAGATGGGTCTGCTGTCTGGTGGTCAGAAATCCAGGGTGGCCTTTGCCTGTTTGGCGTTGACCAATCCTCATATTCTCGTTCTCGATGAGCCCTCCAATCATTTGGATATTGAAGCCATGGACGCGTTGGCCGATGCGTTGAACGAATTCGAGGGAGGTGTGCTGATGGTTTCTCACGATGTCACCATGCTGCAGTCGGTGTGCAAATCGCTCTGGGTCTGCGATGGCGGTACTGTCGAGAAGTTTGACGGTGATGTGAACCAGTACAAGAAGAGGATTGCGGCACAAGCAGACGCTGCGGGTGTTGTCAAAGCTCATTAAGTGTTGTAGTATATGAATCTGAATGTGAACCGTCAAATCGAATATCCCATATACAGCTTTGGCAAAGGTAGCATGACGAGAATGGCTGTACGGAGTACAATGGGCTGAAGACGCTGGTTGAAGCGGTGGACCTAGCAAGCCATGTCATAATTCCTGTGCATCGCCAGCTTTACTGGGCATGTCAAGCGGGATTGCAACCAGGACGCTCCGATGCTGATGTATTCGAGAACATAATAACTCCATGAACCGTATTGTATCATGAACGATTCATCACCGTAGCCTGCCACGTATATGTGCATTGTGCTGCATGTCCTGAGTTGGCCACACGCTCCAGGCTCCAGATTGCAATGAAGTGAAGTGATGGTTCCTGTGACATGAGTGTACGCTTTGCCTATTCGGGCAGTCAGCAACAGGGGTAACAGCCGGACCCACAGTTTGAAGCTTCCCCAGCGCACTAGGCGCCAGTAAGCTCCAGGCTCCAACAAGCGGTGCGTGAAGCTCTGGCGCCTACCATCAACTAACGCGGTGAACGAAATTCAAAACAACAGGCACAAATATCTCCAGTCAACTCATCCGAACTGGAGAACGCACCTTGGCAAGTGTCGAGCGGTGGTCAGGCAGCCAGTGATGGTTCGTCTGGCGATCTGGTGGCGGTGAGGGACCAATTTCGTGAGCCCACCCGCCGCCGACGGTCCAGTGGGGCCAGGACCACCACACCTCCCCCAGCAAAAATCCCGTCAACATCCACTCACCTTCTTCCTCTGTTTCCTCTCTGAACCTACAACCATACCACACCGGTCTTCCTCCACCACCGCCTCTCGCCAGCTCAGTGTGTAGCTATCGATCTCGTCGACTCGACATCCATTGCTCCTCCCTTCTTCCTCACACCAACTCATCAAGATGCGTGAGATTGTGAGTACCAAGATGCCCCTCACGACGCGTTCCAGAGATGCCCCTGATTTTTTACCCCGCCGAGAACGATACACGGCTCGATTGTCAACATTCCATCCCGACATCGTGGAAACGCGTTTCCACGTCAGGAGATTTAGTTACTGACACTTTCTCCTCTTCTAGGTCCACCTCCAGACCGGTCAGTGCGGTAACCAGATTGGTGCTGCCTTCTGGCAGACCATCTCTGGCGAGCACGGCCTCGACAGCAATGGTGTTTACAATGGCACCTCTGAGCTCCAGCTCGAGCGCATGAGCGTCTACTTCAACGAGGTGAGCACCTTGGGGACAATGACAGCCTAGCACACGCTCACCATCGCAGGCTTCCGGCAACAAGTATGTTCCCCGCGCCGTTCTCGTCGATCTCGAGCCTGGTACCATGGATGCCGTCCGTGCTGGCCCCTTTGGTCAGCTCTTCCGCCCCGACAATTTCGTCTTTGGACAGTCTGGTGCTGGCAACAACTGGGCCAAGGGTCACTACACCGAGGGTGCTGAGCTGGTCGACCAGGTCCTTGACGTCGTCCGCCGTGAGGCTGAGGGCTGCGACTGCCTTCAGGGTTTCCAGATCACCCACTCCCTTGGTGGTGGTACCGGTGCCGGTATGGGTACGCTGCTCATTTCCAAGATCCGCGAGGAATTCCCCGACCGCATGATGGCTACCTTCTCCGTCGTGCCCTCGCCCAAGGTCTCCGACACCGTTGTCGAGCCTTACAACGCCACCCTCTCCGTCCACCAGCTGGTCGAGAACTCCGACGAGACCTTCTGTATCGACAACGAGGCTCTGTACGACATCTGCATGCGCACCCTCAAGCTGTCGAACCCCTCGTACGGTGACCTGAACCACCTCGTCTCCATCGTCATGTCCGGTGTCACCACCTGCTTGCGTTTCCCCGGCCAGCTGAACTCTGACCTGCGCAAGCTCGCCGTCAACATGGTTCCCTTCCCTCGTCTCCACTTCTTCATGGTCGGCTTCGCTCCTCTGACCAGCCGTGGCGCCCACTCCTTCCGCGCCATCAGCGTGCCTGAGCTCACCCAGCAGATGTTCGACCCCAAGAACATGATGGCCGCCTCTGACTTCCGCAACGGTCGCTACCTGACCTGCTGCTCCATCTTCCGCGGTAAGGTCTCCATGAAGGAGGTCGAGGACCAGATGCGCAACGTTCAGTCCAAGAACTCGTCCTATTTCGTCGAGTGGATCCCCAACAACATCCAGACTGCCCTGTGCGCCATTCCTCCCCGTGGCCTCAAGATGTCCTCGACCTTCATTGGTAACTCGACCTCCATCCAGGAGCTCTTCAAGCGTGTCGGTGAGCAGTTCACTGCCATGTTCCGTCGCAAGGCTTTCTTGCATTGGTACACTGGTGAGGGTATGGACGAGATGGAGTTCACTGAGGCTGAGTCCAACATGAACGATCTTGTCTCGGAGTACCAGCAGTACCAGGATGCTGGCATTGACGAGGAGGAGGAGGAGTACGAGGAGGAGCTCCCCCTTGAGGAGGAGGTCTAAGTTATGTGTCTCTAAGACGCGCCTACCTTTGTCGGCACGGATGCCGGCATTGCTCAATCCCATTTTCGCATGCAGTATGCTCAAGCCAGCCATGTCAATTTTCAATTCGGGGCTGCGGTGGTAATTATGGAAAAGGAGTTTCTAGATATCCACCTTGTAGTAAGAAGCAATAACAATTGTTGACCAACCCATAAGTCGAATCTCAAATGATTGTAATTGAACAATTACTTCTTCCCTAGTACGATCTTTCAGGGTGAATGTGACGGCGGCGCGTGGGTGTCGCGTCGACCGACTCCACACGTGATTCCTGACTCAGCAGCTCAAAAAGTCCATACCTCCAATCTTGACGACGCAAGGTTTCCACGGCTGCAGCGCAATTGTCACACGCGACACACCTCCCAATGGCCGCATCTTTCGCTCCTTCTAGGAGCAAGGCGCTCTGCCGGACAGTCGCGGCCTCATCAGCCTCAAGTCTCCCGGAATTTCTGGTACCAGCGTGGCGAACGACCTCTGCCAGCCAGTCGCGATCATTCTCTGCCACCTCGAGATGTCCATCGAAGCTCGGCCGAACACCTATAACGATCCCACAGGGTGTCACAGTCACCAAGGGCGATCTGATTGCAAAGCAAGGGTCGAGAGACTGGAAGGCGACGTTGATGTCCAAGTTGACGGTTGATGGACCACTGGGTAGGGAGAGGAAGAGTACCCCGGAGGCATGCGACCAGAAGGCTGACCTGAATCAGGCCAATTGGCATTCGATGCGCCAGAGTATATCCTCCTAGAGCAGGATCTGGAGAACAAGCTCATCAAGATGAACATTAAGGACGTGGAAAACGAGACACAGAAGGAGATGTGGGGTATGTGCCCCTTGACTCGGCTGAGGGATGAGAAGAAGGAGAACAATGTCGCTAACGGATGCAGGTACATCATGGAAATACCTCAGCAACTGCATCACTGGAGTCTCCGAAGGCCACTCGGCCATTCTCCGTCTCGTCGGTGTCGGTTACCGTGCGACGGTGCAGGAACGTCGTGGAAAGCAGGCCTTCCCTGGACAGCAGCACCTTGTCCTCAAGCTCGGCTTCACACATACCATCGAGGAGCCCATCCCGGCCGGCCTCAAGGTCACGACGCCGCAGCCGACACGTATCCTGATCGAGGGAACTGACAAGGTGGAAATCATGTCATTCGCCGGGCGCGTGAAGCAGTGGAGGAAGCCGGAGCCGTACAAGGGCAAGGGAATCTTTATCAACGACGAGACGATCAAGCTCAAGTCGAAGAAGATCAGCTAGATGGACGTCGGTTGGTTGGATTTCTGTATCATATAAGTGGATTCTGTACAGCATCTGTACCATTACTACTGTGTCCGTGGGACCGAAATAGAGCATGTTGGTTTCAAAGGGTCTGGTTCTACACGTCGTGCCCCTCGCCGTCTGCTTCTGGCTGCCCTTAAGATGGTTGCGCAGAGCCGCTCTCTCTTCGCTTCTAGCACCGTCCTTGGATTATCTCTTTCCCCATATCACTCGACAAAAAGCACGTATGTAGTATTGAAAATGTTTCCTATGAAATGTTGGGGCCTACCCCTGCCGCTGCTTTACCACAGCCGGGGACCGGAGATGTCACAGGCAAACTGTGATCACTCACCAAAGTGACGGCTCGCAACATGGGAACGTGACAGCCTCTGGTTCAAGACCCATCGCCGTATGAATGAGCAATGTGAGTCAAACTCCAAATAAAGGAATTATAATAGGAAGACTGTCAAGCAAAGTAAGGTTGTTCTGTTCGAATAACCCAAGTTTGCTTAGTCATCATCGAAGTTCCCATCTTCGCGACCCTGCATCACAGATATGCACAACGGACCTCTTCGGAATATTATCCACCAGCACCCTCTTCCTACGAAAAGACACAAATCCACAACAATGGCGCCGTCCGCAGCGCAATTGCGCTCAATCTACCGCTCTCTCCTTCGCGAGCTGCCCCCTCGACCGATACTCCGCTCCCCTCGGACACCGCTGCACACACGCCTGCGCGAAACCATTTCCACATCATCAACCACCACACCCTCGGCAGCCGCATCAGAGGCCGAGGCGGCGCGAGGCGTCCAATTGGCGCACTACCTTCGCTCACAACGCAAGTATGTGACGCTGCTGGAGCGTTACAACCCGGGCATGGGGATGGACGAGGAGGAGAGGATCAGGTTGACGGCGCGAAGGGTGGGAATGGACCTGCCAGTCGAATATGGGCTGGGGAGGAACAAGGCGTGAAAGTTTCGGATACAAGGGTGTTTTGATATGGAGGGACAAAACATGTACAACAACAAACGCGACAAAATATACATTATATCACGACGCAGCGTGCTTTACATCAGGGATACCAGGCGCAAGAAATATGACCTTGAGTAGGCTCGTCTCTCATCATCATTCAGTAATGTCGAGGCGCAAGAAATATGACCTTGAGTAGGCTCGTCTCTCATCATCATTCAGTAATGTCGAGGCGCTGCAGAGCCCGAGACTGTATCTTACCGGCATATGTGCATCCAAGTTCAAAAGACAACCTCCAGAGTGCCTTCTAGAGGCGGGTATCTCGTCTTCTTTAAACGATTGTGAAAACATGACACGCTCGCTCGCTCACGCCTTTTCTTTTTTCAAACATTTGTGCCCTCCCGCTCGAAACTGAGACCGCCCTCCTCGATCAGAGTCTCGTCCCAACCGCCCGTCTCGAGGAGCCATTCCCCGATCCGTTCCTTCACATTGCCGATACTCTCGGCCAAGGCGTTCTTCCACTGATCTTCCACGACGCGTACCTTCTCTTTCAGGTCTTCGGTGAGCCGAAGGTCCTCGGTGCGCTTCATGGCTCGGGCTCGGCCCTCGCGCTCTTTGGCAGCCACAGGCTTGCCTTGATGGTCCTCGGTCTGCGTGGCCAAGACTCTTGCTTTGGCGTTGACGACGGCCTCCCTAGCTTCGTGCAGTAGACACAGAAGATTGGTGTGCGCCTCAATGAACTGATATGTGCTCTTCTCTGTGTGGTGGATTAAGGTCAGGAGGTACTGCATGGGGTGGTCCTTGTAGGAGGGATTCTCCGTATACTCGGCCGGAGGAATTTGGATGTTGAACCCTTCCAAGGTCGGCGGAATACTGTCCAGAAGATTGCATAGAGGAGGCGCGATATCCCAAAAGGCTGATGATTGGAGTGCCACGCCACGCTGGACAGCATCGTCCACCACGGATCGAAACTCTCGAGCTCGATCCAGCACTTCATTCGCGTAGTCATATTCTCTCTTGGCGTTATCCGCGTTGAAGAAGGCCTCGGCATTCCTCAGTTTCTCTGTGTTGCCCGACAGTCGATACGGGGTGGTGACCACCTCGCGGAACCTCGCATTGCGATCTGACAGGATGTCATAGATCGCTCGGTGCAGCGACTCCCGCGCCTCAAATATCCATTTCAGGAGAGTCAGCTTCTCGAGGAGCTCTGGCCGATCATCGCCTTCTTCCTGCGGCATATCCACATCATTTTGCCCGTTGGCAAACAGTCGGCGAGCAAGATCGTTATGCAATGCTGTCGCTGTGTCGATACGACTCGTCAAAAGCGCGTTGACCGGTACCACCACCTCTGTCTGAAATGCCTCGTACTCCTGCTTCTCCAAGTCCCTTTTCTTCACATTCTCTTGGGCCTGTGCGTCCGCTTCTATAGCACCTGCATCTGTATAGCCCAGGTTGCCGGCATTGATTTCTTGCTGCAGGTTGGCTCGCAGAGCTTGGCGTTGTTCTGACAGTTGACCTTCCAGGTCATTCCGTCTCCCCGTGCTGGCCGTTTTGAACCTCTGCTTGATTTCATCGATTTCATTGAAATCGCTCAGGGTTCTGACTGAGCCACGGATGGATGCTAGCTCCGGGTGACTGTTGTTCACGGCAGGGTGATGCCGTGGGTAGGGTGGTGGCAGGGTCACCAGTCGAGAGACGTCGACGAATTTTCGATTGCCAGGCGCTGGTGAAGGAGTCGAGCCCGCCGTGTCTTGGAAGAAGCGAGCTGGCTGGGGCGTACTCGCTGCGTCCTCGGGTTCGTGCCAGCCGACCTTTTCGGGCGGGTATTCGGCGGACGAGCCTTGTTCGCTATGCGCTCCATGCGAAGTGTGGACTGGGTCAGCTTCTGCCCATTGATCCTTGGGCACACCCATGTACTTGGACTCGCGTTTGGACCGCTCAAAACGCCGAGACGGGTCGCCTTGTGAATCGACTTCCCACCATCGGCTGGACGGTCGACCCCGGGAGCTTCCGTCGCCATATCTGTCACTCACACTCATGCTCAGAATCGGTGACAGCGATGGCATGAAGTTGGATGTGGTGGTAGCCGCATTTTGACCTCCACTTGGTGACGGTGGCAGCCGTGCAGAGCCCGGTGCTGAGCTCGGTCCAGCCTCGGCAGGCGTAGAGCTCCATGATCCGTTCTGTTGATATTCTGGCTCTGAAGCTTCTGGAGTCCATCCATCTTGAGACGCTGCAGAGGAACGCCGGGTCGTCACCATGGGGCGAAACAGATCTCTGGTCAAGTCGAATATCTCGGAGCCCATGGCGCCTATGGAAGTGGCATATCGCTCTCTGCGTATCCGCGATTCACTGACCATGAAGGCAGCGAATAAGCGAACCCTGTCGGTGTCGGTGGCAGCAGAGGCCTCGGCAGCGGCGAATGTCTGGAAGCGCTCGATTGTGCCTGTCGCAAATTGCTCTGCGCTCTGCGTGACCACAAGGTGTTTCGATAGTGGCGTCTGGACGAACGGAGGCGGTCGTGAGCCTTCCCGAGGATTGTGGCTGGAGGCCGAACGGACCTGAGGGGGTGGTGTCGGCAGCGACTTGGGGGCGATGGGTCCCAAAGCTGACGACCTGTGTGCTGACTTGGCAGGAAATGGCGAGAAGGGCGGCGTTCCCGCCTCAAGTGACTGAACATGCCTCGAGTTGGCGGCAAGGCGGGGCGTAGAGTTGCGCGAGTCTGCCATTGCGCTGGACTCGCCTGTCTGCGGATTCTCACCCCGTGAGTCACTAGCACTCCTGGGTGTTGTCTTCAGGGGCCGAGTAGAAGCCTCTGCAGAACAGCCGGGGACAAAAATGTCAGCAATACCACCAGGTCGTGTTCTCTCATCTATGGATCCTCGCCCGCCCTGCCGAGTCCTACTCTCGGCTCTCCTCTGCAGTATGGTCTTGTCATGTCGGACTGCCCTGGCTCGGTTGAGGCCACTGGCACTGTTCGAGGACCCAAGTGGTTCTGGGATGTTTTCGGCGTGCTGAGCTGTCTCGACATCTATGGTCAGTACGCCCTGGCTACTGGAGGACTGGTCGGTTTGTGCTGGTTCGTCCACCCAGCCAGCCGGTGTGGGTGGCACTGGGCCCAGTGTGGGCACAGCAGAAATTCGTGGTCGGCGAGTTGGCGGCGAGATGATCGGAACTGTCGCTCTGTCCAGGCCCTGGACACTCTGTGACCGCGAGCTGGAGGGCGGCGGTCCTGGTGGCGGGGGAGGGATCGCTATGCCAGGGTCAAGCCCATGATGCGAGCCTGACCTTGATCGCGCCGACGTTGGTGTCTCGACCGCCCCAGCGGAGACAGCCCTTCTGGCAGCAGGGGGGCCGCTTTGCGAGAAGTTGGACGCAGTTGACAGTGGCCTCATAGCTTCAGGCGTGAAAATCGAAGGACCAGGTCCGATACTCTGCCTTATGGTGGGCATCAGGCTGGGTGGCTCAGGCGTTACAGGCATCTGTTGGTCAGACTCGCGACTTCTCCTTCCAAAGGCCGGCAGCCCGAATCTGCGTTCTCGTGAGGCACCTCGACCCCCAGCGCCAGGCGGCGGTGGGAAGGACTGGTTTGCTGGCGGATCGGAGGACGGGCGATGCAGGTTCTGCGCAGGTATTCTCGGCGGCGGCGGTGTCGAAGTCAGAACAGAAGCCTGGTCCATGATGCTGCTCATTGGCCTCGGTTGCTGACTCCTGGGCGGGCTATAAGGTGGTGGCGGCGGAGGAGGGCCACCTGGCTTGATCAGTTCCTGGCCTCGTTCTTGCGAGGACGAAAGGTACCGACTCACCTTGAGTATCACCAGCATAGTGAGCCTGCCGGTCCGCCGTCTGTCCTGGCGAGGCTACCCATTCTTGGGGATTATATGGCTGGAGAGCACTGCCAGGCGTCTGCGCGGACGGTAAGTGGGAGGACGCCATGGAGATAGCCGAGATGGGCTCGCCAGGGTGATGAGGGTTGTACGAGCCCAAGGACGTCGTGAGAGGGTTGAGACCCAGACGCATCCTGTCTCTGGCTGAGGACATGGCGAACAAGGCTGGCTTGGGGCCACCGGCAACGATATCCGGTCAAGATGGGGTGGTCGCTTGAACGGTCAGTCGTTTGTTGGTGGTTAGCAGTCCTCAAGCAAATCAGAGGGCGCAGAGCGGCTACGTCCAGAGAGCGTGCTTCCCGTCACCACGCTAGTTGGCAGGCCTGCGCAGCGCATTGATGATCCATGAATTATCTGAAGCGATTCGTGTAATGCTGAGCTGTGGGAAGAAAGTCCTCAGACGTAATATGTGACATTTGACGCAGGGCGGAACCTTGGACACGACAGGCAGGCCAAGTGAAGAGCACGTAGTAGTAGAGTACCAGCCACTGTGAGCCAGGGCAGAAGAGCCAACAGACGGTAGCAACGCAGCACACCGCAAGACTGGACCTTTTCCGTTATGGTACTATGGGAGGAGGTGGGTTGGATGGATGGATGGCTGGATGGAGGGGAACCTGGAGATGTCGAGCTTTGAGAAATGCGATGCGATGAGTGACTGGAGCGCGCTCAGGCGCATCATGCCATTGGCCACTGTTGTCGCGCTAGACCCTGTAGGCCCCTGGCGTCCCCTGCAACGGCTGCGCTGGCGGCACTTCAAAAGGGTCGATGCTCACTGACGATAACAGACCTGACACACTTGTTGCACAGCGGCGGTCGAAATGATGCGAATAGGCAGACTGTCGACCCCTCAATTCTTTGGCGGCCCGTCTCTACTCACGTTGCTATGGTTTTCAGAGCCGTAATATTAGACAGCAGCTCTCAAAGTTAGCTTGTGATTCATGGTGCCTGGGGTAAGCAGCTAACTGCAGGGTGCTAACGGCGGTTGGCTATTCTTAGCAAGACCCCAATTTGGCCGCTTCGTGATTGGTGAATCAATCCGTGGAGAGATCGCGTCGGCGCTTAAATCTCAAGCACGCCTGTCTTCCGCATGGCATCTTGAATCTTCACTGGATGCAAGATAAGGTATGCTGACTCAAGTATCACAGTGGCTAGTTTACTCAGGGACTTGAGAATGGGTGCGACTCGAACAGACGACCGGAGGCCATGAGTCGACGTGGCAGGTGCAGGCCAGACATTTTTTCGGCAACTTAGACGCCCATCCATACAAGCACGTACGGATACGGAGCATGAGATGAAACTGCACAGGACTCGATGCCTCTGATTCGCGTTGCATCCAGCTGTCCGAGTGATTGAGAACAAAGCGTCTCTCACCAAAAGACGGCCGGATCTGGAAGAACATAGCTCCGCCGCCGGTCGATCGCAAACGTGCTAGGCAGCTAAGGTGGGCTAGTACACATGTGACGTCATTGAGCTTCCACGCCGAGATAGTAGCGCCTCTGCTCTCCCCAGCCGGATTCACGCTAGTCAAAGAACCAAGGCTCGAAGCAAGGGCCCATTCGCCGCACACATTCGAGGTCTCGCTGCTGCCAGGCTGTCTGTGGATATTCATTAATCAAATCCGCGTTAGTGTAGCAACTGGGCAGTGTACGCAGATCCTCATCTTGCGGTAGCGTGGCCCGATCGCTCATATCCGACAGCCTAGAGTCTAGACTAGCAGCCAGGAACCTCGAGGTCTGGTTGTTTGCAACGAGGGGTCCCAAGCCACCATGCCGTAAGGAACCACGATACAGGATTACAGCTGCCAAGCGTCATAGCCTGCCCGTCTGTCGCTAGACCTTGAATACCGAAACTCAGCCTGCTGTCTTCACCTGATCGATTTCTCGCAACGAGCAATTGGACGCTCTGCTGCAGCGTCGGAGTCGAGATCGTCATTCCCAATCTCCACAACAAGCATGCGCATCGCTTGATCGTCCCAGGTCCCACCAGTTTTTAAGAATTCGATTCATCGAACCGCGACCTGTTCACTCCAGCATGATGAAGATATAGGCGGCCGTCGACGCAAATGATACGAGTTCGGACGTCTCGCCGCGTGGCGGGCCTGAAGCCGGGAGACTACGATCATGAAATCGTCATTGTCGACCGTGATGGCGGTCTCGACCGCCCCGATGAGGAACGCGATCAGGGCGCGTCAGCAGGAGCTGGCATGGAGCGTGTGTCAACCGAGCAGCGTCTGCTAGCTGCGATAGGCGAAGAAGGGAGCGCAGCTCCTTCGACACAACCGTCCCCACGACCGGAGGACCAAGAGTCGAGGCTCGAGCAGCGACCATCTCGAGGGCAAGACGACCAGCAAGACCTGCCTCACCTAGCTTTGCGGCCTTCGATTGAGGTCCAAGGTACGCACTGCCAAGACAATACAGTCTGCTGATTGCTCTGCTAACTGAAATAGAGCCAACTCCCCATGCACAATACGATGCGCCCAACATAGTGCCCAAGAAACCGCACGTGGAACGCGAGACTGTGATAGATATACTATACGAGAATCAAAGAGGCGGCTTTTTGTGTGGCCGACCTCTCTTCTCAGCTGCCGCGTTGGGTGGTTTAGATCCGACGCCATGGAGTAAGTGATCCGGACCAAAATCGCCGGGTGAAGCTGACCTCGCGAAGCCAACGCCTACCACAAACCTTCACCTACGAATATACACACAGCTCAAGTCCCGGACCCGATGTGGGAATGGCTGTGGCCAGAATGGCACGTGAACCACCAGGAGGGGATGGACGACGAAGGATGGGAGTACTCCTTCGCATTTCCCAAGACCTTCTCATGGCATGGTCCTCGATGGTACAACTCGTTCGTCCGGAGGCGCGCCTGGACGAGGAAGAGGGGCAAGAAGAAGAAGGAAGACATATCCGTGGATCCACACATGTTGAACGGCGACTACTTTACCGTACGACCAGCCTCGGAGCGCCTCAGCCGGCGATCTCAGCCCAGCCTAGCAAGCAGTCGAGTGAGCCGAGCTACCAGCCACTCCACGCTTGGTCACGGATCGAATGCCGAGATGCAGCAAATCCAGCCAGATATCGAGGACCTGGAGACCCTCCTACAGAGGCTGCGTTTCGCGCGAATAGACAGAGAAAAGCTCGAAGCCGTGGAGAACTACCTGGAGAACACGCTAGACCTGGCCAACCTACACCAAGAGATGCACGAGGTCATGTCTCTCTTCATATTCCAGGCGTCTAGACGCTTGCTTCTCAGTCATCTGATGAGCGTGTACGACAACACTATTGCGCGACTCGAGAAAGAAGACACCCAGCACGACCGCGAGCGTAGAGATGCGCTCAAGCAGGCAATGGAGCATGCAGACGAAGAAGTCAGGAAGCTGGCCTACTGGAGCGACGTGAAGCAGATGGCCGAGAGTGGTGAATCCAGGGGAGCAGTCGCCAGCCACAAAGGCTGGCAGGAGGAGTGGCAGGGTATAGATCAGAGCGGACCTGCTGAGCCCAACGGGGGGAAGCTGCCGGGATGACGATGAAGAGCCTGACGCTCATGTTTTCTTTTTACTGATGTTATCTATGTAAGCCGGTATGCTATTAGGCGGTTTGTCCTTGGGTCTCTGGAACGTTGGACTCGTTGGTGCTGGGGCATTATTACTTGGCGTCCGCTCATGGCTTTTCCTGGGCTCAGGACTAGGGTGTTTGTTACATTAACGCATACGTGGTAACGACATGGAGCCTAGAAATTACTTTAGATCATGTTTCTTTGACGCATGTAGTCCCTCGTGAAATATGTTAGAGCGAGTCGTTGGCAATGACTCGGAGTTGGAGTACGTGGACCCACTCGCTTCCCAACTTGAACTTGAATCCCGACCGCCAGGGTCTGTAATTATTTATGCGCCTGGGTTGTAATTTTGCGTCTGCTACGCTCAGCAGCCAGCAACTCAAGCGACAACCGAACGATCGACCGTTTCGATGACCTGCGATCTTCGTAGGCAATGCTATCCAGAATATGGCCGGCAAGACCTGCCTGCATGCGGTTGGGAACGCAATGTAGGCGACGGGCGGCCGAGAGCTTCGCATATTCTCGATCTATCAACCCAGCACACCAGGCCCCGTACAGCGCAACCCCCTCCTCCAGACTGTCCGCTGCGATAGAGCAGCTCGTCGAGAAAGGGCAAGATCTAGAAGACACTGCCATAGAACCGGCCGCCATCGAATCGCACTCTACCGAGTCGAGGAAGCGAACAAACCGCGACGGGAGCTTCAACCATGTGTTCACAAAGTCGCGGTTCTGGAACATCCCAGACGAAGATGTGGCCGCCGAGATTGCGCGCTCCCCGTTTGTGCCCACGGCACGGCAATATATAAGACCACTGGCCATGAAGATGCAGGCAGCAGCACTGGCCAAGGACGCCAGGGCGCAGATCGGTCTGCACGCTCTCTGGGCCTCTCATTTTGAGCAGCCCGAGAAGCACCACATGGTCGATGGCTTCACCTGGAGAAACATCATGCTCCTTGTCCAGAACATCTCGCCGGGCAAGCGCCGAGGCCGGAAGATGGCCGCCATGCGGATCGTGCTGCCCTCGGAATGGGGAGTCGACATGGACACGCGCAAAATCTTCCGCGTCAACCTCGCCGCCACGGTCGAGGAGAAACTGACAGTATATCGCGACCACGCCCGTCGCCAGAAGCGAACGAGCAAGGCCGACACATCGTCGTTCGTGGTCAGGGGGGAGAGGTTATCACTATCTGCCCTGGCGCGTCGTCTCCTGCAGAAGAGCAAGCAGATCCAGATCTATGAACTGGGCGACATTGAAACCACAGACTATGCGGTGAAGCAGCTGTGGCCGCAGATTGAGGATATGGACGAGGCGGCCGGCTCCTCGGCGACAGAGAAAAAGGACAAGGACAAGGACGCAGAAGACAGTGATTTCTGGGTCCACCGTGAAGCACACAAGCCGTACAACCTCACGACGCGACTGGAGGATATCCCCGTGCCCTTGGAATGGACGCAGAATAGCTTCGACGAATATGTCGAGGCCGTCGTCTGCGGTCAGCTGGCACCCGAGATGGCCCAGCAACTCTACGGCGCCGATAGCGAAGGCCTCTGCCGCCACGAACGAGTCGATTTCTCCTCCATCCGCTCTCGGCTCCTCATGAGAGCGTTCCTGGACCCAAGGGCAAAGCCATTCATTACGACGCCGACTTTCAAGATGGCGCTCAACCTCATCAGCAAGGCTGGGGGCAACCGTGCTCTGGCCAAGGAGCTCTTTGACAAGGTGGAGGCCATCGGCCTGCCGATGGACACGGAAGTCTACAACATCATGCTGGAGAGCTACGTCCTCAGTCGTGACGTCCGCTTCTTCTACAGCTTCCTGCGCAAGATGCAGCAGCGCTACGTTCGGGCCAACGCCCGTACATGGGTCCTCCTGCTGAGGCTCGTGAAGAAGGACGACGCTCGCAGAGAGATTGTCACTGTCATGCACAAGCTCGGTCTCTTCCAGGACGTCAACCTGCGTCGTGAGACGGCGGCCATCATGGGGCCCATGCACCTCCACGAAGCATTCCAGAGGGAGAACTATCCTGCCGATTTCATGAGGGAGATGACTGAAAAGTACGGCAAGCGTTGGAACAGCACAGACGCCGTCCACGCGCTACTTGAAGAGCATTTCAGGCTCACCGCCCACTCGAAGCTTCTACAACTCCAATATACCAGTTTCATCGGCAACGTCGCATTGGGCAGAGAGGGGTTTGAGACGATGATTGAAAACGCCTTACTTGTGAGGAGTTGGCCGCTCACAATCGACGCGCTGACCCGCATGGCCGAGGTTGGACATGAGCCCTCCTCAAAGATGTACCACAAGCTTCTGCAACTCTGCGAAATGACAGCATGCCCCTCCGCGGCGGGCATGGTGTTCTACCACATGGTTCTCACAGGCCACACTCGATCAAGAGCGCTAGCCGCCATAATGCATATGCTGCAGGGAGGTTCGCCGAGCACGCCCTACTGGAAGTATGCCGACATCCCTCTCATGGACAAGTCTGCGAGCCAACAGCTCAAGCGAAACCCCGCCAGGAATGTCAAGGAAGCCTTAACCAGACTCATCGGGATCCTGACCAAACGCTGCGATGGCTTCGACCCCAGTGCCCAGCTCGTCACGGACGTCAGGTGCGGGCTGTCCCGGGATCGTGACTTGCGGCGGCAACAGGAGCAGCAGCAGTCGACCGTGGCACCCCCATTGAAGATTAGGGTCAAAAATTTGGCTACCGGTAAATTCGACTACTTGGCTCTCACTCATGGGTTTGAAGATGCCCACCTCGCGCAGGGGCAGATTAAACCCAAACTGTCAGCGCCGGCGGACGGGAGTCACATCCCTACATTGACCACAGGCTTGATTGGAAGACCTGGAAACTCCAACAAGCAAGGCGGGCAGCACGATACCGGGATCAGCAAACAGCCAGAGACCATCGCCCCAGCACCTGATGCCGAGAACAAGGAGTGAATGAAGCTGTTGCCTCTCATTGTCAAGGCCTCCGATTGGGGTTGCGGAACACGTTGTTGTGGGCAGCTTAAGCCGATCGCCACGAATGTATATACTGTACCATAGTCGAGTGTACTATACGCGATGTCAGTGGGAAAGATGCCACAGAAGGCTTGGCATGCTTGGAACTCATGCTGTAAGCTTCATGCATGGGGGGAGCTCTTCGATCTCAAGGAGCATGATTTGTGGGCGAAGAAACCGGGGGAATCTCTTATAATCCAGTAATACCAAAGCCTTTCAGACCCCAACCCAACCCCAAGAACAACATGCGCGTGTGTATGTTTCGTTGTAAGCGTGTATGTGTGTGTGTGCGTGCGTGCGTGCGGATGAAACAATGACATGAGTGTGTGTAATTGACATGTGAGGGGCAATCACAATGACAACGACAACAAGAAGCACCACCACCACCCATCACCCCCTTTCCCCAAAGTCTGCTGTCTATACACCCAAGCCACCGGCTCCTTTGAGCGCTTTCATGCAGACTCCCTCCCCCTGCCGTCCGCCAGTGCGGACATTGCAGTGTATACAGTTGCTGGCTTGTCCAGACCTCCTCCTTTGCTCTTTTTCAAGACGTGCCCTCCACCTACGATGTGACAACCACCTAGTCCTTCTTACTCTCGTCTGTGGTTGTGGCGTCGGTCTTCTTCTCGTCTGCGGCGGTGCTGTCCGCTGATGACTCGGTCTTGGTGACGTCGGTGGACTCGGTGTCCTTGGCGGTGACGGCGGTCGTCTCGCTGGTGTTGCTGGAGGAGGAGCTCTTGGCGACTTGGCTGGCGAGGTCCTTGTCCTCGTCGGCGTTATCGAACATTTCTGTATCATCTGAATCGGTAAGAACCTCAGTCCCGTCTCCGAGGAAGATGATGCGACCCTTGTACCCACCGACACCAAAGCTCTTGCCCTTGTTATCCGCATCCACCTCGTAACCACTGTCGCTGTCTTCGTAGTTGTGGTGAACACCAGGACCACGGAACTCCGCTGCGAGAGACATTGTTAGCCAGGAAAACTTCAACAGCAGAGGATTGGCGCATGCTCGTACCGTATTCGGGGGGTGCGCAGGGTCCATCGCCGTTGGCGACTCTCTTGGCGATCTCGTCGTACCACTCTTCCCTTGTCTTGCCGTTCAAGAAGCCGATAATGATCATGGTCATGTTGTCACACCCGACGCCGCCAGTCTCAGAGTTGGAGGCGAGACAGTTGTCCATCATGTTCTCGCAGATCTTCTCGAGATCCTGCTTGGCGGCGATGCCTCTCCTGACAAATTCGACGACAGCCTGGGAAGACTGGCAGTCCCAAATACCTACACATTCTGTGTCAGATCACTGTCAGCGAGGGTGCCCAGGCGCTATACGTACCGTCGCACGCGAGGACCAAGAACTCATCCTCGTCAGTCAGCTCGTGTGACTCGATATCGGGGTATGCGGTAACGATCTGGTTCTCAGGAGAAAGCTCGGCGCTCTTCTTGAACTCAAAATCGCCAATGGCACGCGACAGGGCGAGGTTGCCATTGACACGACCAAAGTCGACGAAGCCACCAGCGGCGGTGATACGGTTCTTCTCAGCTGAGGCGGTGTTAGTCAAAGCGTTGACGGGACCGTGCAGTGGCAGACGAACTCTCCAGTTGAGGCTTGTGGTCTTGCGACAGGGGCTTGGCGCGGCCCTTGATGCCCAGGACACCTCGAGAGTCACCAGCGTTGGCAACGTAGACCTTCTTGCCAGCCACCAAGGCCACGCAGGCGGTGCAGCCAGAAACCTCTTCTTCGTATTTGGGGTCTGCATCACCTCAGAGTCAGCTCCATTGTTGTAGACATGGCCTGCAGGCGCCGTGTGGTGTCATACCGTTGAGGATGGCCCGGTCGGTTGCCAAGAAACCGTCCTTGAGACCTTGAGCATAGTCGCCCTTCTTGAACGTGTCCTGCTTCGATATGATTTTGTGCATGCTCTCGCCTGTAAACAAGGCCACTTTGTCGCCGCCGTGCCCGTCGAACACGCCAAAGAAGGAGAGTCGGTCGTTGTTGTTGGCCTTTTGGTCGCCCTGGAGGACGACAGGCCCGAGGTCGAGCTCTGCGGTGTGAGCATCCTCCATGCTGATGCGCCAGCCTTGCATGGCTGACACGCCCCAGATGAGCTTGTCATTCTCGCCCTTTTCCGAAGTCTGGTTGAGCCGAAAGAGTCATGTCAGCTTGGATTCACAACAACATGGAGGGGTCGCCATGACGTGCATTCAGTGGGGTCACGATGCATGGGATATGAAAACACGGGAGCTGGATCTTCGCGACGAGCAAAGTGTCGCGCGTCGCCTGGCAAGAGGTCAAGACTTGTCAAGCCCACGCGACAACATCGCGACGCCCCAATGTCTCGTGCATGGCACGACTGGCAACATGGTTGGATCAGGGAGGAGGGGCTCGAGAGTCCACCCCTCAGGCCAGCGCGGGCACATACGCATCAAATGCGCGGAGAACGAGCATGGAAATGCGTTTGATCGGTTTGTAGGAGAAGGGGAGCAGCGGCGCTCGGTCTGACAGGGAGCGCCCATCTAACGCACCTTTTCGACGACGGGCTCCGACAGGGTCTGACCCATAGCGGCGAGTTGTGTGGCAGCGTGAGCTGCTGGGGAATCGGACGGTTGCGAAGCTTGATAGTATCGGCAAGAACGAGTCGACGACGGCGGAATACGTTTGGGAGGGAACGGTTGCGAGGAAGAAGGTGAGTGAGTGGTTAAGGGTAGATGGACCGAAGAAAACGTCGTTGAGCACCGTTCAGATGTTTGGTGGGGACCGACGTGAGAGGCAGACAAGCAGGCAGGCAGAGCAATAAGTCAGTCAGGTCAGTCGGAGAATGGGTGGCTGTCTGGTACGTACTGCACTAGTCCAGTGCTGTGCTTAGTGCCGCTGGCAGCTGGCTGATTTTGCTGGGGGATATGGGCTGGACTGGAACCTGACGGTGTTCACCTCGTCATCCCCCGGGGGTCCAGTCAGCACCTCCCAGTCATGAACGTCTAGGCGGCTAGGCCTGCAGGTAGGTACCGGCGTTGCAGAGGCACAAGTGGTGCGTAAGGAAGTACCCGACCGCTTGCTTCTAGTTAAATCCGCTAAATTTGGGGCAATGAGAGCACTATACCTCTTAAGCTTCAAATATCAAACATCGCGCACCTCCGACATCACTAACAAGGGGGGTATTTTTAAAGAGACTCGCCATGGCAGACTCTTCATCACTTAGTTAGAAACTTCACGCACGATCCGCATGGTCCGTTAATGATCATAGCGACGACTCGAATTCTGAGGCATGATTGCTAAGTTAGTACCGACGTACGTACGGAGCGTTAGCACTGAGCAGGGAAAAGTCGATGAGAAGCGGGGTAGCGTGCCGATTGCGCTTTCTCATCCTAGTAGCTGTCCTGCGATCCTCCAGGGTACCAGGTGAGGCAAAAGCCCTCTTCCTCACCACAAGCATTAGGATGCTCGGGCTGTGTGTATCTCGTCATATCACGAGTCGAGCTCGAGAGACACAAAACGCCTTTTTTTGATCACTTGTTGATCTGTGGCCCAATCTAACACTGAGCAATCTGATCTCTTTCGGTTCATGGATGGAGGGGGAGGGGTAATAGGCGCGAGCCAGCCACAACAGAGGGGACCAGGCAGGGTCCAGTCGCGTGCATGCAGTTTTTTTCTCTCCTCGCGCCCAGCTCAATCCAGTGGCAGATCGTGCGCGGCAACCCCGAGGGCTTTGCCTTGATTACCCTTTTTTTGTGTTGGCCCTTATTAATACGGACCCCTCATGTTATCTAACTTACCTTCGCATGTGGTGGTGAAAGCAGCGGTATTATTAGCTAGGGGCCAACCCCATTATTCGATCAAAGCCACTGGACTCCAGTCGACGTTAACTAATATCAACATTTTGTGATCGAATACTGGGGCTGACAATCCGTACTGACCCTGCTTTACCACGGGCGAAGAGAGATGGGATCGACACTGCGGGCTCGAGGTCCAGAACCTGCAGGCATCCCAGACTGTTCTGCTATGAATAGATGCAAATGTATTCCTCTATCTGAACGCCGAGCAAACAACCAAAAAAATGACCCGTACCCAATGCTCCCAAATGCTGCTGGTATCATAATACATTACATAGTAAACTCCCGATATCACATCAAATGAATGCCTTGTAACTCCCCGCGGTGGTCCCTGAGCCTTCACGCGTCCAGTTGCTCGACACACCCGTGCTCTCCTCGGTGAGCCGAGAAATACGGCTTCCCGATACTTGAACATTGCCAGCCGGGCTTTCGTCCGTAGACACCACCTTACGCAGAGAGCTTTGCGCTTTAGGCGCTGTCTGCGCCAAGCGACTCGACGTGATCTCGTCCCTGACACCGGATGGGTAGAATGGTGAGCCCTCGACGTACTCCCTGTAGGTAGACAGATTGGGCACGCTGCCCCCATTGTTATTGTTACGTCCCAATACTCTCCAATTCTCACCGGAGCCAAACGAGGCTTCTGACACCATAGACTCTCGCTCCGACCCAAACCCGCGGATGCCGGAGAGTCTTGCGGGCGGCGGAGGCAGCGAAGGCACAGAGTCGTCTTCTCGAATCGTGCTCCAGTCCTTGTCGGAGCTGCTAGACTTCTGCCCGATGCTAGCAGCCGTCGCAGGGCCCGTCTTGGGTGAAGTAGGACGCGAATGAGGCAGGGCTGCCGAGCTCGTTGTGATCGTCGAGTACATTGCTGTTGATCGCGCGGGAGGCGCATACATCTGTTGTAGGCTCGGCAAGTCGTCGAGAGAGGGTATTGTGAGGTCTAGCCCACTCCTGAAGCCCTCGCTCGTCTGGGCTAGGAGAGGTGGTGTGGGCAGCAATTGATGCGTCGAGTAGGGGATGGTGGCCACGGACCCCCGGCTGTTATTTCCATTAACTGTCCGCCCAACAGTACTCCAAGAACCCCTGCCGTCCTCGGTCCCAGAACTTCCAAGACTCCTCCCTGGGCCGGCGTTGAGCATGTACACCTGGCTCATATCTCCCGAGGATAAGCTACCGAGAGTGGCAGACGAGTGCGAGAAACGGTGGGAGTCTGGTTGCCCATAGCCTCCTTTCGGCCCACGGGACATTTGAGTCTCGTCACCGACGGGTTGGTCCATCTTGTCAGTGTGTAGATTCGAGCCGTTGACACGCAAACTGCCGATAACGGGGTGGGAAATCTTTGAACGGAATGTCTTGGAGAGGTATGTTCTGCGGGCGCGTCGACGCTTGAGACAGCATATGAGGAGCATGAGGAGCAGCGCAATGGCAAGGATTGGGATGATGGTGGCGAGGAGAATCTTGCCAGTACCAAGACCTCCTTCGTCCGCAGTTTTGTCCTTCTGGCCGTTCCCCTTCTCATCTCCATTGCCCTTCTCATTGTGATCACCGCCATCATCGTCGGTGTTTGTTCCTGTCTGTGATGGTCGTGCTGTCCCCGTTGTGGGCGTTGTCGTGCTTCTGCCATCAGGCGCGAGGAAAGTCAAAGCGAGGGTCTCCGTCTCTGTAACTCCCGACTTTTTGGATCGGGCTTGCACCATAATTTCGAGCTTGCCCGACGAGGACTTTGGCACTTTGCCCTTGATCTCTTGGCCGTCCAGCTTTAGCCAAGCCTGTTGCGGCTTTGTGCTGATCTCAATCTCAGTATCTTTGGGGTCCTTTAGGTAGGGTGACAGGTCCAGATTGAACTCTTCGCCAGGGGTCGCTTCGATTTCGTGGAATGTGGTCTCGAAGAGCCCGGACGCAACATTAACCGTGCCCCAAACATCCAGAGTGTCGGAAAACGAATCGGAGAATTTGAGAGTGAAGTTGGTGGAATGGTCTTCCTTTCCGGGCTTCCCTTTGAGAACCCACGACTTTTGATCAAATGACAACCATTGGGGTAGGTTCATGACGGCAACGTCCAAGTCGCCAGGCGCGACAGGCTTGCCGTCGAGTTTCACACTATTCGCGAGACCATCGTACTCGAATGAATCGCCACGACTGGCATTGAGCTCGAGCACTGGTTCGGCGACTGTGAGCTTGTGACTGCTAACAACGATGGAGAATTCGATGGAGGTCGACGAGAATCCTTCAATGTCCGACGCGACGAGCCGAATGTCGAACTGCTGCGGCGGTTGATATAGCGCGTCCACCCCTGGAGTCTGGCCGGTGAAGGTGAGCGAGGGCGCGTCGAATGCGATCCAAGCCGGCAAGGGGCTACTGTTGCCGGAAGTAGCATAGTAATTGATCATGTCCGGCTCATGCTTAAACGTCTGCTGGTCGAAAGTATACTTGAAATCGGTCGACGGATATGTCAGAAGCGAGGAAGGGGCCGAGTAGGCGCCAAACTTCTGGATTTGCTCAGAGATGGGGATCCTGATGCTGGGCCCCTCGTCTCGCGATGTCACAATTTCGGCATCCATCGTAGCGGAACCTGTATCATCCGTCGCGATGATCTGGAAAGGCTGGCCTACCACTTCTCCCGGTGGTACACTTCCATCTTCGGCGATCCCGTACAGTCTTTGACTCTGGCCCTCGAACGACATCCAGCTCGGATGCTGGCCCAATGTATATGTGATGTTGAAGTCGGAGCGGAACGTATGCGGTGAGAGAGTATATGTCCACAGACTGCCTATCCGTGCGACGGGAGGAAGTTGCGCGTTGAATGGGAAAGCAATGGTGGGAGTGCCATCAACGACATGCGCGTATAAGCTGACGAGTGCGCTCAGGCACAGGAGAGGTCGTGTCATGATGCCTTTGGCGCAACGTTGCGCAGGACCGAATAACTGATGCGCCTTCACAAAATAAAGCTGCAAAGAAGCAACCCGAGATCATCAAATGTGCATGCAAGAAGATAGTATGAGCAAGAGCATGCGGTCCTGGTAGAGTTTGACAGCATTGCGATGGCTGGAGGCGAGCTCAACCACCAAGGAGCGATGCCAATCCCTTCATTCCACAGGCAGGCCCGAGGTCAGTAGTGGGATAATCGTAAAGCGGTCTATCGAGGGGCCAATACTGGCCCCAAGACATTTCTCCATTACGACATGAGGCGCAATGTCTCGGGCCATGGACGCGATGAGACTTGTTCGGTAGCTAGGCGTGGCGTAACCAGAGATGTCGAGGGAGAAGCGAGGCTGGGCGTTTCGGGGCCACATTCCTACGGCATGCACGTCAAGGCTGTGACGGCTCCAGAGTGAGACATTGGATAGCGCGTCTGCGTGCAATGGCTTTCAATGATCAGAGAAGCGCGTGTTAGTCGCGTAAGGTACTCGACTGTGATAATGATGAATGGATCTACGATTAATAGCGACAATTCATGGCACTGACTAAGGCGGGTACCTGCCTCAGTCAAGTCCAGCGGCCGCGGCTACTATAAAGTGGAGTCCGCAGTGCCTGGACCCTGCGATGGGCGCGACTACACCACAATCGGCCTACCGATAGCGGGGAGTCCCTTATCGCAGTGGCTTCACATAGAGGGGCAGAGCCCCTGGGCCCTGGAAGATGTCTGGAAAAACAAATCGAGTGTTCTAGGCTCTGGGGGGGCGGCTACCTTGCGATAGGCACTACTTTTGACCGCAATTTGATTTAAAATGCCCTTCTTTGCAAAAGTCTTCATCATCCCGTAAAAAAAAGCCCAGCTGTACAAACCAGATGCCTTCCAGTGTCAGTCCCCCGTCTTCGCCTCCCCTCGATCCAGTGGCCGTCAGCGAGGACCTGACCCCTTTACCTGTCGCCAAGGTCAAAGGCGACACGGATATCACTTTCGACGGGCAGTTGAGGAGTCCTCTCAAATTGCACGAAGATGTCCGAACAGGCTGTGGTGGTCAGACTTGGCCTGCTGGAATGGTCCTGGGAAAGCACCTGCTGAGGTACCATCGCCAAGACCTTGAAGGTGCCAGAATGTAATTATTACTATATGCTTTCCGCAGAAGCAAGATCTATGGGAAGCTCCGCGCCGACACGTTAATTTTTCACAGACTAGAGTTGGGCGCTGGAGGCGGTTTAGTTGGCCTCGGTGTGGCTGCAGAATGCGGGGTCCACGACAAGCTGCTGATTTCCGACCAAATACCGATGCTCGGGTTGATAAAGCACAATATCCAGCTGAACGGCTTGAAGAGCAGAGCGGCGTCTCTAGAGCTGAACTGGTGAGTGCAAACAATCACCCAGGGAGCTTCCGTGGTCTGACGCTCGGATGAAAGGGGAGACCCTCTGCCGCAGGTGGTCCTCGACAAAAAACCGAATGTCATCATCGCCGCCGAGTGTGTGTACTTTGAGCCTGCGTTTCCACTCCTGCTGCAAACACTCAAGGACCTCTTGGAGCTCAATTCGGATGCTGTGGTGTACTTCTGCTTCAAGAAGCGCAGACGAGCCGACATGCAATTTGTCAAGGTGGCTAAGAAAGCATTCGCCGTTGATGAGCTATTTGACGAGGATCGCCCCGTTTTTTCGAGGCAATCGTTGTTTCTCTTTTCTTTCAGAAACAAGATTCACAGAGCAAACCCAAAAGCCGCTTCGAAAAAGGCTTGAGAAGCGACTTTGGATGGCTTGGCTGAACAGAAATCTGACATAAGCCACGTGAACATGGTTATCAAGCGATACCACTACGCTGGTTGTAGCACATGCTCATCTCTAGAGGAGAACGGCTTGCGGTCATTTTGGGCCCCAAGACACTTTCAACACTGCAGCACCTGAGGTTGCCATATACCTGAGCTCCCAAAACTCAGCGCCGCGTCCGCTCAACAGTCAAGCAAAAGAGACAAGTTGATATGCAAAGCTGGCGATTCGGGTTTACTCCCTTGGCCCAGACAAGGACAAACGCAATGCCTCTCAAATATGGCGAGTTGAGGCAGGAAGTTGTTCTCACCAGTGATCACCTGCCTGCGGCCCGGAAATACGGATATATCACATACGCCAGAGGGCGCGCTTCGGATGGGGAGTGAAAGGAGCTAGAACATTATACGTTTCATAAACACAGCCACATTTCCCGGTGATCCCAATCAGAGTGAGTGTTGGAGTACGTGCTGCGTAGCGCTTCTAGCCCTTCGTAGGGCTCAAGTACTCATCTGCTTCCCGGCACTACGTATGAACACCATCTCTCCAGCACTGCAAAGAAAACCCGACTTTTGCGACGCATTGCAATAATCAGAAAGAAAAAGGACGCAATGGTGATGGATAGACTTTGCAAGTCTGAACATGGAACCTGGCGGTCCTTCTTTCCCGGCTTCAACAAGCCGCACCGCCTCAGGCACGGTCGCATTCCTATTGGATGCGTACCTGACGACAGGGCTTCCTTGCATGGCCAACGCGGAACTTTTCTCACACGCAGCCAATCGCCGCCCTCCAGCACAGAGGTTGGAACAACTGGGCATCCACTGTCTCCTCCCCTGCACGGTCATTCCTGCCGATGGATGGATAGCCGGATCCCAGTCGATGGGATGGAGTCGGAGCTGAGAATTTTGTGCGCACTGCGCCTTGACGGGGAACGGGGATATCCATCGCTTTGTTCCCTCTTCTCAGCAGTTCGGATCAAACGTCTTCCCTCCTTCTCTCGTGCCAATCCATTCCCTACCGAGCAGGTCTCCCCTCCAAACACAATTGAACTTCATTCCTTTCTGCGCAAAAGCACACCGAGTGTGTAGATCATCGCCTTGTTATCCTTCCACACCAAAAGAAAAACGTCACCATGAAGACTACCGCTACCCTCCTCACCTCCGCTGTGCTGCTCGGCCTGGCTGCCGCCCAGCCTCGCGTCCACCAGCACCACGCTCATCTCCACCGCCGTGAAGACGAGCAGAAGCGCGATCTTGTCATCGAGACCGCCTGGGTCACCGAAGTCGAGTACGTGACCAAGATCGTCGACGAGAGCACCACCCGCTGGATCACGCCCACTCACGAGACCGTCCCTGAGCCAGAGCCGACGACCAGTGATCCTCCAGCAGTCTTTGCCGAGGAGCCCAAGCAAGAGACCACGGAGCAGCCCGAGCCCCAGACTACGGAGCAGCCTAAGGAGGAGCCCAAGCCCGCGCCTCAGTCCGAGCCTCAGCCCGAGCCTGAACCCCCGACCAGCTCTGAGCCCGAGACCACCACCCAGGTCTACGAGCCTCCTGCACCCACAACCACCACCCAGGAGGAGCCCAAGCCCAGTGCCAGCTCCCCTCCCTCCAACGGTGGCGGCAGCAGCGGTGGATTGGTCCACAATGGTGAAATCACCTATTACACGGTCGGGCTCGGTGCTTGCGGCGAGGACGACGCAGGCATGGACCAGGTGGAGAACATTGTCGCTCTGTCCCACGAGCTGATGGGCACCCAGTCCAACGGCAACCCCATGTGCGGCCAGACCATCACCATCACCGTCGGCGGCAAGAGCGCCTCGGCGACCGTCCGTGACAAGTGCATGGGCTGTGCTATGAACGACATTGACGTGTCCGAGAAGGTGTTCAAGGCCCTCTTTGGTGGCTCGCTCACCAGCGGCCGCCAACCCGTCGAGTGGTCCTTCGACAACTACAGCGCTTGAATTCGGATCCAACCGATTCGGCAGAGCGTCACTTGTTTCTGAGCGTGGGACAACATTAGGCAACCCCCCGGCGTGGGACAGGATATAGACTGGACTTGGGAAAGCGTATGGGCATCCTGTGCCCCCGACATACTTTCATTCAACACTTGTACATATTTCAAGACGGATCAGGCTACTACTTTTCAGCATATAGATAGGCCACAATGTCCAAATACATGTGAGACGCACCAAGAACACAATTTCACCGTCAGATACAAATTTCGCCATGACGCCACTCGTGAGGGTCTATCTGCCCAGTAGCTTCTCCGTAATAACGACGGGCACCAAGACAAGCGCCCATAATGCTATGCTATGCTATGCCCCATGTGATATGACCTAGAAGTCCCATGCCCGCTACTGCTCCTCGTATGCGTGTCCAACCAAAGAAAAGAAGAAGAAATGATAAATAAAGGAAACCTTGCCCAAATGTCCCTGTTTGACCGGTCTTGCTACAGCAAGCTGAGAAGTTCCTCGATATAGCGCCTTGTGTCAACGCCTATGCCTTGCGCCAGTCTTCCAGCGCCCTCGCCGCCCACGCTCTCCTTCCTGAACCCGATGTGGTCACTTGCCCGGCGGATGAGGATGATCTCCTTGCCAATAGTGGCTTCGCGGTCGTCATTCTGGCGGGACAACTGACTTTCGGCGTCTGACGTGCCTTCGTGGATTGTCTGGAGGTCGGTGGCATCGCCCGCCTTCGCCTCGTCGTAGATGCGTGTCCACACGATCCACCAACCCCTGGATGTCTTCTGTGTACGCTCGAGCTCACATGCCTGGTGGCGCGTTGCAGCCTGAATATTAAGCAGATGCAAGTGCGTGCTCAGTGCGTCAGCCCGCGACCACTGATCGGGAGGATCGTTTGTTTCCGGGATGTTGGGAATAGTGGACCGCACTGTCATGGACTGGGGATCCCAGATCAAGTCATGGATTTCCGATGCTTGACGGCCGGAATCCGGGCGGCTGGGCCTGTACTCGGTAGACGCGAGGAGCTGCTTCTTCAGGGGGGCGAGCTGATGGTGCAGCGATCGGTACAACGTGTCCATGGCCAGCGAGTCGGTACGCAAGCGGAAGAAGAAAGCAAAGACAAAGGGCCTGTTGACATATAAAACAACCCGCAGCTTTGCGGCCTTGTTCAGGTCGTGTGAATTGTACCCAGGAACCATGTTGCCCACCACTTGCGACTGTGTGTGGACGCTGGCGGGATGCTGAAAGTTTTTGATAATGGTCGCTTCTGGCTGTTCTGTTGTCTCTGATTCGAGTTCGACGTTGATGGTCCGTAGCACGGTGCGTGAATTGTGGTTCTCCCCCCCATCCTCGGAGGAGTGACTGCCGTGATCGCTATTGCCTTCTTCAATGTCACCTTTAAGGCCAATGAGGAAATGTCCAGCTGCTTCGCTGGAAGACGACCGACGCCCCAAGCTCGGCCGTTCCGGCTTCAAAGACTGATGATGTTCTGTTGCTGCAGGCTGCGCAGTGTCCTTGGCCTCGGTGTCGCTGCTAGGTCCACTAGCACCCGGCAACGACCAATAGGTACCGTAGCCCATCTTCATGTAGCTGTACATCTTGTCCAGCTTGCTTTGTTCAGATTCGTCCTCATTTGCTGGTTGAGAATCAGCATCGCCTTGCGTCTTCACCGGCGCGGGCTGTGACGGCTCCTCATCGTGCGAAGGTGTGGCGGCCTGAGCCTGAGCCTGAGCCTTGGGCTTGCTGGGCTTCGCTCGCCGTACAGACGTCGGGCTCTCTATGAGGCCGTACGCGTGCTCTCCCCACGTGTAAAGATCTTCCATCCAGTGCGTGACATCCCTCACAGATTTGCGTGACAATGCTCCTGTCCCAAGAAAGATAGCGCCATCTTCGTGCCCAGGCTCGTGTCCCGCACCTAGCCAATGCGAATGTGTCTCGTCGATCGACGTTGCAACCTCCGCGTCGGGATCACACTCGCCGAATCGGGACACGACGAGATCAACAAGCCCTTCTATTCTCCCGACCAGGCCCTCTAACACTTCGCGCTCGCTGCTTCCGCGGTCCTCCTCACCGACGCCGACGCCAAGTTCACCGCAAGGCGCAACATTGATACCGCCATAGCTGTTGCGTGCCGGGTTGCCATGCAGCATCACGTTCCACGTGGACAGGTATAGGTCCCAGTAACGGCTCAGTACGGTCACAAACTTGGATCGTCTACTCCGAACGAACAGGGCGCTGAGCGAGGAATCGTGGTGCATGAGAAAGATGTTGTGCGCGCGCAGAAGATCGGCCAGCATCAAGCTGGCGGGCTTGAGCTCGCGACTCGAGTATTCGAACTTTTCTTCCTGGCCATCGCCCGTTTTCGTTGGTAGTCGAGGGGGGAGTGGAATTTTGGTCAGATCGATGGACTGTCTCGCCGCGTTAGCGACCTCTCGCAACAAAAGTTTGTGACCATGCTTACCGCCAAAATCCACCAGCCCGGTTCCAGCTCGTGCAACAACACGCGCGACTTGTCCATGTCGACCGTGTCGACCGCTGCGCCATCTGCGAAGCCTCTGCTGAAGCTCGCCATACCTTGCGCCAGGCCAATCTGCCTGAGGCGCTCATTCCTCTCCTCTGGACTCAGACCCTCGGTCGGCTTTCCCCCGCGGGTGCGCCGCCGCTGTCGCTTGCGGTCTGTTTGGGTGTTGACGCTGGCATAGTATACGATTTGGTCGTCGAGGGTATCGTCCGAGACGCTCAGGGAGGGGTTGAAGATGGCGAGAAAGCCCAGTTGCGCGGGCTCGACGCTGCCTGCTGCTGGCGGAGCGGCGGTCATGGTCGAGTGAGCACCGCTCTAGAGCAGCAGGCGTGGCCGTACCCTTGAGACGATATCGTCAATGATTGGAGATGGTGGGCAGTCTTTCGGTTATCACGCTACTCGACTCCCGAGACAAAACGCCTGTGGGTCAATGGGGTCGGATCTATTGATGTCGGCGACAAGAGGACGAAAAGGAGCAGCCAGAAGTCGATTGTGGAGGCAAAATCAAATGTCTTTAGCAGGTACGTAGAGACAAAAGAAACCAAGACTGGGAGCTTTGAGGTAATACAGTCGGCCAGCTCTGCAGCGGCGAATCGTCCAACAGCCAAAGTCGCGGGCCAAATAGTCCGTCCTCAGTCAAGGTTAGCGACATGGAGCCAAGACACGTTAACAAGGCCCCACTCACATACAGTGCTTCACAGCGGAGAGATTTTGTGGGTGTACTAATGCCGCTCGATCTCACCAAACAACCATTGTCTATCTACCTATGCAGGTACTCTTGATGGACGTTGCAAGACCAGACCTACGCGCCCGGCTCAGCTTGTCCATTTTCCACGTCGGCAAGATTTTGCAGCTTGAGGGGTAGCACAATCCTGGCACGCAATGTTAGCACGCATGTTTCGCGTCGTCACCATTGCTTCAATATTAGAACGCCAGGAAAGAAAATGATACATAGAGAATGGTGTTGGAGCACCCTGATGTTGCGTCATGTGTGGGAGGTCTCTCCAGAGATTCGCGCTTTGGTGTACAAATCAGGTTGGGCTGAGAGAGACGATCACTTTACCTATCGCCTCCAGTCTTCTGACATCGCGATTGTCATGCCAAGATGGATGTGTCCACGAAAGGATCACGATCGATCTTCCTCGTAACATACAGTACGAGCCAGGATTTGATTTTCGTTGCCATATTCCCGCGAGATTCACCAAAGATGCACTACGTGTACCCGGTCTAGATCGCCAACGTGTCCGTCAAAGTGCGCTGGCATTGTATCGCTGGATCTAGCCTCGATCTTATCCGACTCCAACAGGGCTCCCGATAACCCAACGGCAAGCCCGCAGAGCAAATGAAACGTCTCCTGCCCGGCCTCGCCGCTGCGACAGGGACCCCATTTTGGTCTAGATGCGAATTCATCAGTGCCATTATGCAATTTGGAAAATGCCATGCGACTCAGGTTGTGGTCAGAGGTACCCCGCGCGGGCCTCACCGCTAACCATGCCCGATGGGACATATGCCAACTTGTCAAATGGACCCTGCGCAAGCAAAGGCTGGGACATTTTTCGATTTGTTAGGTGCCTTAGATACTGCAGTAGTAGTAGCATTGTCTTACAAACCTAGGAATTCCGGTCTCGCACTGGCGCTGCCATCCACGCAGCAGCATTCAAAATAATGGCTGGTTAACGACAAGAGCACAGCGAATTGTAATTACTAGCCGCGGTCGTTCTTTGAGCCATCATTGAGCTTGGATCATTCACGAAATCATGTGGGTTTTGTCGATCCGATGGGAAGGAGCTCGATAGCTTCATTGCTTCAAAAGCCTTCCTTCCGAATTGTTTCGTTCAATGAGTGTTGTCCGTTTATTCTGGCAAGGCACCACCGCGGGTCTGCAAACGCGTGGCATCTCTCTAATATTAATAGCAGGCAATTGTATTCTGCACAGCCGCCGACCAAGTACCGTACCTGGTAATAACTATTAGCTGTGAATGTGATAGCACTGCCCGTGCCGACCTATCACGACTGGACCCCACCCCAGGTTACGCCTTGCGCCCCGCTAACGGATTGAAGCAACCAGCCATCATCAGGGTCTCACTGGAAGCTCACGGCAGCAGAGGCCAGACTCTTCGTTCTCACGAACCGAAGAACCAGGCATCTGCAACGACGCTGTGAGCCGACTGTGATCACTTTATCAGACCTGTTTCTCTCGACACCAACCAGTTGAGGCCTCCCCAGTTCGTGATACCTACACCTACGTCATCCTCACACCCGCTTTCCAGGCTGAGCCTCGCCGATCCCTGCATCTTCCTTGCTGACGGCTCCAGTCGATACTTGTATAAGGTCCAGTATTTGGCCTATACAATTTCATCCATCCGCAAATCGCATCTCCGCCCAAGGAAAACAAACCACGATTCCAGCAATGGAGAGCAATTTCTCCATGATTCGTCGGCGCACGTCCGACTTGCTCCAGGATGCCAAAGGCAACATGCCCTCCAAGCTTCCGCAGCTGCCACAAATACCTCAGATGCCCCAGATCTCGTCGCTAAGCTTGAGGGGCAAGGAGCCAGGCATGAAGGGTACTTGGGAGCGCATTCCTCTGCCACCCATAGATCGGTCGTCCCACTCGATCAATGTCATCTCAGGTGCCGCGTACATCTTTGGCGGTGAGATCAACCCGCGCGAGCCCGTCGACAATGCGATGCAGGTCGTGAAGCTGCCATATAGCATGGCTGGCGCGGACCACTACGCTGTCGCCGCAAAGGCAGCAGCGCCCGATGAAGCTACGCAGTCGCCTGCCACGGAACTGCAGCCGGAGCCAGAGCCAGAACCTGACTTCCAGACACCTGCTGAAGAGCCCACGCAAGGAGACTTGGACACTGTGGATCTCAAGGAGGAGGCCTCGCCCACGGAAAAGAGCAAGGGAAAGCAGCCGGCTACGTACGCCTCGCAGGCGGGCAATGTTCCAGAGGCCCGGGTAGGACATGCCGCAGCATCCATTGGCAGCCGCATCTTCTTGTTTGGAGGACGTGGCGGCCCTGAGATGAAGCCGTTGGAGGAAGCGGGACGTGTCTGGGTGTTTGATACGAGAACCAATACGTGGACCTACCTCGATCCCGTCCCGGCCGTCAAGGGGGGCACAATTGTGCCGCATCCTGCGGCGCGCAGCTACCATTGCGCCACCGCGACAGATAAACCTCGAGAGTTCGCCAAGCCAGCCCCGAAGCCGCCGCAGAACTGGCGACAGAGACTCGTCGGCGATACGTCCAAGACGGGCATCCCGCAAGACCCCATCGTGGGCAACGTGGCGGAGAATGCGACCGACCTCGAGTCTGACGGCTACGGGACCTTTATCGTCCATGGCGGATGTCTTGCGAATGGCGAGCGTACCAACGACATGTGGGCATTCGACGTCCGCACCAGGATGTGGACAGAGCTACCCGCAGCACCGGGTCCCGCTCGCGGCGGCACGGCCATCTGTATCAGCAAGAGTCGATTGTTCCGGTTCGGCGGCTTCGACGGCCAGAACGAGATTGGTGGACAGCTTGACTTCATCCACCTCGAAGTTGAGGCGTTTGACGACAAGGCCAACAAAGGCGAAGTGGCCGTCCACGCACGAGGCACCTGGCAGTCCATCATCCAGAACAACCTGGACGCTTCATCTGAAGATATTCCCATCGAGCCCGCGCACCAATGGCCGGCGGCTCGCAGTGTCATGTCCTTCCACGCATTGACAATTGGTGGCGGCCGCGAGTATCTCGTGCTAGCCTTTGGTGAGGGCTCGCCCAGCTCCGAGGGCCACGCCGGTGCTGGCAAGTTCCACAGTGACGTGTGGACATTCCAAGTGCCACCTCTAGGCATGACACCGGCCAGCTTCACCAGCGCCATGTTGCAGGCCGTCGGGCGGAAGACGGGCGAGGGCAAGTGGCTTCGGGTAACGACATCACCATTTGACGAGGACAGCTTTGACGAGCCCGAGCCGCGGGGGTGGCATGCGAGTGCTGTCATGACTGACTTGGAAGAGAGTGCTATCGTTGTCTGGGGCGGGTTGAGCGAGGAAAACAAGCGGCTAGGTGACGGCTGGATTCTGCGTCTTGGTTGAACCGGAACTGTTTTTGGGTCGGTCGGGTCTGAAGATTTGAGCTGATATGATCCGTCGCATGTCATGATCAAATCTACAAATGGGAGATATTGTATGTCTATAACCGTAGTAGCATTCATACTTTATGTACAGTTCCGCCCAGATCCTTGAGCGATATCCGCTACAGACACAAAACACGAATCGCAAATAGGTGATAGTATAACATCTACAAGTCCGACCTTGTCTTCTCCACGCCCCACGGCTCATCCAGCAGATTGGTCTGCCCCTTGCTGTTCTCGCAGGTGTCCCGCCCCGTCTGGGGTCCGGGCTTGGGCATCTTGGCGTCCGCGTCGGCCTGGCTCGTGGCCGCCGCGCTCTCCTTCAGCGCGCTGAGGAGCGAGACGGTGGTCTCGGGGGTCAGGTCCTCGTAGTACTCATCGTTGATCTGGACCATGGGGGCGTTGACGCAGGCACCGAGACACTCGACCTCGACGAGCGTGAAGAGGCCGTCGGGGGTGGTCTGGCCCTGCTTGATGCCGAGGTGCTCCTTGATGGTCTTGACGATGATGTCGGAGCCGCAGCCGCCCAGTTGGCAGGGGGTCTACTTGAGTCAGCATGACGCCTTTCTTTGCAGTTGCATCTGTTCCCTCAAGAAAACAACGTACCGTCGTGCAGACCTGGACGTGGAACTTGCCCACGGGGTCGCGGTTGTACATGGTGTAGAAGGAGGCCACCTCGTAGACGCGCATGGGAGGCATCTCGAGTAACCTGGCGACCTCGTTCATGACGCTGATCGAGGTGAAGCCGTGCTGGCGCTGGCCGAGGTCGAGGATGGGCATGACGGCGGCCTTTTTGTACTGAGGGGGGTAGCGCTTGAGGATCTCGGTGATGATCTTCTCGTTTTGGGGGGTGAACTTGAAGGGGATGTCGGGGTTGTTCTCGGGCGTGTTACGGTGCTGCAAAGGGACATTGTCAGTCAATCTGCCGGGCGCCAAGCGCACGAAGAGAGAATCTCTCAGCGCGGCATCGGGGGCGTACTGACCACCATGAGGGTGTCGCTCGGTCGGCGAGCCGTGACTGAGAAGGCCCGTGTCTGGGCGAAGCCAGCGCGCGACGCCGACCGCATGGCGGAGCGGAATAGGTAGGGTGTCATCTTGGACGCCATTGTGGTGAGGGATTGTCGTCGCGATTGGGGCGGGGCGCACGCAGGGTCGTGGTGGAGGTTGGATTCAATGGTCGTGAAGCTCGTGCAGTCGCCTCTCAAAATGTCGTCGACGTCGTCGTTGCCGGTGCTTTGCGAGCTGCTTGCAAAATGGACGACGGTGATTGGTCAGTGGGGTGAAGTTCGGATAACTGCCTCCCTCTCCACATCGAGGTTACTGTCACTTCGACCAGGTAGGTAAACAGCACATGTGCACTTGCGATTTCAGCTGCAACAACATCAAAATCTCCTTCCTCAAGTTACATTTTCACAGCAGTGTATGCTTGGACGTGTGGCGCCCGAGGATGCGGTCAAGATGGCAGTGTGCGCTTACATGCCCGCGCTGTTGTCGAAAGTCACAGCCGCCGAGGCCAGTGTGACTACTTAGGTACAGCCAAGCCATAGCGCCCCGTCGTTCTTTTGTCTGACGGTCGCGGGTGTGCTAATTAGGCCCTCGCTTGCGGCCCGGTGGCACATGATCTGGCGCGGTATGCGAGCATGCAGGACTGTCCTACTTGGGAGTTAGGATGGGCGAGATGTGTTTTGGAGCTCGCTTGCCCTTCCCACGTGCCATGGCCGCTTCAGAAGCACTCAAGAGTCTCAACCCATACGATTATGTGGAGTAACACGTGCGGGGAGAGAAGCGTGTTGGACTGATCTCGTACTAGTAAACACTGACTCGAAGATTGCTGATAGAATCAGATGATAGTTCACAACATGCACTGCCCAGCAAAGGCCCCATCGTGATTTTCCAACTCGTCACCTCACCTTGGCCACTACCTCCTCCTGCCTGCCCTTATGTTTCCCTCGTTCAGGCTGTGAAGTCTTCGAGGAATCAGAAGACGCTTGTCGAAGTGGAATAGCCGGCGAAGCCCTTTCTCGGCTGGAGCCTACTCAGCCTTCATCATCATGGTGATTGAATCGCGCTTCTCGGTGACGGTGCCAAACTGCTCCGTCCAGCAGTGGTTGTTTGGTTCCCCTTCAGGACATCTCCCGGACAGAAAGGTATGGATAGACGCGGATCATCCAGCTACTCGTTTCTTCACGCTAGCCAGCGCCCGGGCACTGGCGAAGCGCATAGCTGTGGGCTTGCGCGATGCTGGTCTTCAGCCAGGCGACCGGGTACTGGTCTGTGCCGGCAACAATGTCGTCTTTCCCGTTCTTATGTTTGGGATATGGATGGCTGGCGGTATCTTCACGGGCGCCAATCCTGCCTACACGGCTCGTGAGCTCGCATACCAGCTCAAAGACAGTGGCGCAAAGATCATGCTTACTTCGGAAAAGAGCTGGGAGACCGCATTACGAGCATCCGCAGACGTGGGCATGGCCTTGGATGATCTGTATTTCTTCGACGATACGATCCCGGATGTGGATCATAATATCAACACGCAAAGCCGGACAGAACACTGCCATTGGACTCGATTAGTAGCTTGCCCTGTGAAGGGTGATGCCTTTTCTTGGCACGAGCCTGAAGATGCTGCCTCGGAAACATGCTGCCTGAACTACAGCTCTGGAACTGTGAGTACGACGAAGATCAAACTGGTAAACATGCAATTAATCGGCGGGAGACTGGTCTTCCCAAAGGTGTCGAAATCACACATTACAATCACATCGCCAACGCTCGGGCTTCCATGTCCATGGCTAAGCACGACCTGCAAAACGATCACAACCCCAGTCGCTCTTCGGCCTTGTGCATTCTGCCCCTATACCACGCCTTTTGCCAGGGTTACTACGTCACGAGCTTCCCCGGACAGGGTGTTCCCGTGTACATCATGTCTTCGTTCGACCTAGGCCGTATGCTTCATCACATTGCTACTCTCAGGATCACAAAGATTTTCGTGGTTCCTGCTATTCTCATGGGGATGACCAGACATCCACTCACACGCAAGCTGGACTTGTCGAGTCTCGAGATGGTCGGTAGCGGCGGCGCGCCACTTGCACGGGGGACGCAAAAGGGGGCTAACGCGGTCCTCTTTCCACATCGCGATGCATCGCTCAAACAGGGCTTCGGCATGACAGAGCTGACATGCACAGCCCTGGCATGGGACCCCGACAGCTCGGAGAAAGAAGGCGTGGGAGAACTTATGCCTGGTTGCAGAGCGAAGCTCATAGACATGGACAGCGGAGTCGAGGTCCTGGAAGCCGGCGTGCCAGGCGAACTGTACGTTTCGGCGCCCACCATGATGAAAGGCTATTGGCGAAACGGCGAGGCCACAGCACAAGCGATAAGCACGGATAATCGAGGCGCCAGATGGTTGAAAACCGGAGACATTGCCATTGTGAACAAGTACGCGCCTGGCGCCATCTTTCACATTGTTGACCGCGCCAAGGATCTCATCAAGGTCAAGGGATTCCAAGTCTCTCCAGCCGAGCTGGAGGCCTTGTTGCTGGAGAGAGCGGATGTCACTGACGCAGCGGTCGTTGGAGTTGCTGTTGATGGTGAGGAACTGCCCAAGGCTTATGTCGTCCTGGCACAGGGCTGCAAAACTTCTGGGCCGGATATAGAAGCGTGGGTTGCAGAGAGGGTAGCACCCTACAAGAGGTTGAAGGGTGGTGTCGTATTCCTGGCCGACATCCCAAGGAACCCGGTGAGTGGTTCGACATCCGTCTAGTGAAGACAAAATGGCTAACGCAGACAGTCCGGCAAGTTGCTCAGGAGGGTGTTGGCTGAAAGAGCAAAGGAAGAAGCTGCTCGTGATCTTCATTCAAGGCTATGAGCAATATTCGAACACCTGGCATTCGCTAGTGGCTATGCTTTGTCAATGTATATATATTCATGTCCCAATACTAGTTCAAGGCTAGTATGCAAAGCCTAACACTCGCCCTTTCAACGCATGTTGTCCCTCTCAAGTAGCATCCTAAGCTCGTCCTCGAGGGTGTCCGGCATCGCCAGAGCCTTGAGCTCGTCGAGCCTGTCCTGGCTGATAAGCCACTCACTGGGAACATCTACCACGTCCTTCCTCTTCCTGAGTATCCACTCCGCTACGGCAATACCGCAACGCGCAGCAACCGGCATCCCGTGACCGGTGTAACCAGCACTTACCCACAGGTTGCCCTTACCATCGTCTCTCCCGCCCAGAGATTCTGGTACGCGCCCGACCCAGGGCGATGCGTCTTTGGAATATCCCATGATACCTGACCACTCATACTTGGCTTCCAACTCTCTTGTGTCATGCTCACCAAACTTCAGGGTCGAAGAAAGCACGGTCCGAAGCCGCTTGGCGACGATTGGGTCAATCTCGTCGTCCGACGAGACACCGACACCCCCGTCCGTCACAGCGTTTCGCTCGCCCCCAAGGATGAGCTCTCCGGTGGGTCTTTGCACCAAGTAATCGTCGCTTTCTCCGGCGTCTCCCTCCTTCTGTATTGACCAGACATATGTATGCGCCAGTCTCTGGCCGTCGGGCGGCACCAAAGCCGAGACGTGCCCACGCACTGGAGTGATGAAGCCTGTGAAGGATGGCAGGAGGTGCGATGTGTAGGCGTTGGTGGCCAGGACCACGTTCTCTGCAGCGATCTGGCCCCGGCCGGTATGCACAATGTACGACGAGTCGCAACGTTGGATATACGTCACGGGTGTAGTAGTCTGCAAGTTAAAGGATGGTTTCCGTACAAGGGCCTCGAGAATATGGGAGACAAGCTTGTAGGGCCAACATTTTGCTGCGTGGTCCTGAACAATGGCGGCGATGGCATTGCCCCGAAGTTTCAATGTCTGCAACTTCTCGGGGTCGGTGATAAGGTGGACGCTGGAAGACAGGTCACTGGGCAGTCTCTCAATCACCTTGCGAGCGAGATCGAGCACAGCTGGGGAGTAGATGGCGTGGACACCGCCACTGGATTCCCACGAGCAATCGATCGCCTCGCTGCGGACAAGGTCTTGCAAGAAATGATATGTGCCGAGCTCGAAACGGCCAATGTGCGGTTTAGTCAAGTAGAGCAAAGGCTGGCAGTGGCCCCCGTTCTATTGATTATTAGCGCCTTTTGACCGTTTGGCTGGGATTCAAGTAAGTGAGGTGCTATACCCGACCAGTGGCGCCCCAGCAGGCTTGCCTTGCCTCTAGCATGACAACATCGCTGGCCCCATTCTCAATGAGCTCCCGGGCAACGAAGGCGCCCGTGATACCACTGCCCACAATGACAGTAGCAGCCGAGCTCGGAAGTTGGCTCGTTGTGCGGTGATCGAGGAGTGTCTGAGACGGCTGTGAGTGCCAGTATGAATGTGTTGGTGAGGCGCTGGGCAGGGACGCTTGGCCCGGCTGGATTGTCGGGACGGTCATCGTCGAACACTGGCCGTTACACTTTATCGTGAGCAGGCAGTGGTTCGTGTCCAGGGTAGCATCAACTCTATTGTGGGAGGGGTCTGTGTCAATTCAATCGTGACGTGGGCCGTGGCGCCGGTCCGCGTACGGATATAAGGCAAGTACGTACTACCGACCACAAGGCCATTTGCCTACCCTGCATCGTCCATATCCTCCTGCCCACTCTCCCCTGGTCTAGTCTGCTGCTTTGTATCTTCACCACCGGTTTCATTACTCGCTCCCTTCTCCAACATATCAAAAGGGACTACAGCTCTTTGTAAATACCTCACAGAAAGCACCGAGTCCGGGAGTGCCTTGCAATCTTGCACACCATCACGGCCAAGCCACCTAGCCTGCCGCGACACCCATCTCCAGCACTTTGGCGGAAGCCAGGCGCACAGCGCAAACTCTCCAACCCCCCAGCATGCCATGACGCGCGACTCGCGAGCCATCTTCTCCAGCGTTGCTTTCTCCGGAGTTCTGGCCCCTGATTTACGATGTGGAGGATTGACTGTCCCATTACGACACACACCTCACAGCAGGGTTCTCGATTGGGCCTGATCGACTAACTCTCGGCTTGTCGGCACCCAGGCGAGAAGATGGTTGCTGCTGGATGAGTCGGCATTGGCTGGGACACACCATGGCGCCTCACGTCTGGCATGAGGGTGTCGTGCCTGTTATTCTTCTCGACGATTTCTTCCTCTGCGACGCCTTTACTGCTGCTGCGCGAGCAGAATGGCCGCCTATGCTCAGCTTTGACGTCCAGCACAATTGGAGAAGCAAGAGTCACCACTGTCAACGGTAGAATGGAACTCGCGGTCCCGGCAATGATCAGCTTCCAGATGCTTGAGGGCCGACATGTCCCAAGCTTTTTCGCATTGTGCAACGGCGCTCTCGGGCATGACATATCCCAACCTCTGGGCGGCCTCACGCGTCATAGACGGGATGGCCCTCGAGCCATCCGTTTTTGCCGACTTGGGCACTCCTCATGCTTGCTCCTCACGCAACAATCGTCACGGCTCGCGTGCAGCGTGGGACATTTCGTCTCTCGCGACCCCCGACTCTTACGTGCGAACTCAAATCGACAGCCACCTCCGCGAATCAGGTGCCAGTTGATCGCGCGAGCACACCCTCCGGATAATTCGGCCTCCTCTAATCGCACACGATCACTGGAGCATCTCCATCAATTGATCATGAGGGGTTCTCAGATTTCGGATGCTGGCTGGCGCCTTCCCCTCACAGAGGGATTCGGAGCCCAGAGTCAGCTGCCATGTCAATTGGGGACTGGAGCTAGGGAATAGCTCGATGGCCCTTCATATAAGGCAGGGCGCGCCACTCACACGCTATCCCTCGGTGTCCTGCCATCTGTGATGCTCTGCTAAGAGTCAGCTGTCCTCTCTCGCAAGTGATACCCCCCGTGTTGGTCTCTCAAGTTGCCCTCCTCCACCCCACCTCGCTGTCAATATGCTCTCCCGGCTTCACCACCGGAAGCCCCACGAAAATGACGTGGAGGCCGGAGAGGCCCATGCCGACAGCCAGAACAATGCGGCGGGTGAATCAAGTAGCGCAAGCGGCAATGACATGGAAGGCCTCAGCGAGTATGCCGCCCTTGATCGCTACGTCAGCACCTACCGCGAGGACGCAGGCAAGGGAGCCGACGAGGAAGATGACAAGGCTCCTAAGAAACGACCTTGGTGGAAGTTCTGGGGTTTGAGTCACGAGGACAGTCGCCGTCGGTCCCTCTCGCCCGGAGACGGCATCCCAGAGGACTGGCTCAACACGGACATCAACGCTGGTATCAACACAGCCGATGTTGAGCAAAGACGAAAGCTGACGGGCTGGAACGAGTTGATGGCGGAAAAGACCAACCCCATTGCGCAGTTCATTGGATACTTCCGGGGACCAATTCTCTATGGTATGTAGCTCCCTTCCTCCCTCCCTCCCCTCTACCATGAAGGCCCCGGCTAATGAGCACAGTCATGGAACTGGCCGCGCTGTTGGCAGCTGGTCTTGGTGATTGGATCGACTTTGGTGTGATTGTCGGCATCTTGTTGCTCAACGCCTTTGTTGGCTTCTACCAGGAGAAGCAGGCCGCCGATGTCGTGGCCAGTCTCAAGGGCGACATTGCTATGCGCTGCACCGTTGTGCGTGATGGACAAAAGACCAACATCCTCGCCCGCGAGCTTGTCCTCGGTGACATTGTCGTCATCCAGGAAGGCGACACGGTTCCTGCCGATGCCCGTCTCATCTGCGACTACGACCACCCTGAGGACTTTACCATCTACAAGCGACTGCTCGCCGAGGATAAGTTCGGCCATCATGATTCTGGTGATGAAGACGAAAAGGAGGAGGAGGACACCCGTCGCGGCTCAGTCTACTACATGATGAAGCATACCAACCGTCCCCTCCTGGCCGTCGATCAGTCTGCCATCACCGGAGAATCGCTTGCTGTCGAGAAGTACATGGGCGACATTGTCTACTACACCACCGGTTGCAAGCGCGGCAAGGCGTACGCTTTGGTGACGGCTACTGCTCGCCAGTCCTTTGTTGGCAAGACGGCCGACCTTGTGCAGGGTGCGAATGACCAGGGCCACTTCAAAGCTGTCATGAACAACATTGGTACCAGTCTCCTGGTTCTTGTCATGTTCTGGATCATTGCTGCCTGGATCGGTGGTTTCTTCCGCCACATCCCCGTCACGGTGGGCGCGGAGCAGACGCTCTTCAGGGCCGCCCTGATTCTCATGATCATTGGTGTTCCCGTCGGTCTGCCTGTCGTCACCACCACAACTTTGGCTGTCGGCGCGGCCTACCTGGCCAAGCAGAAAGCTATTGTGCAGAAGCTCACGGCCATTGAGTCTCTTGCTGTATGTCCTCCCCACCCATCTCACACACATGACACTGCTAACAGATGTGGGGCGTCGACATCCTCTGTTCCGACAAGACCGGTACGCTGACAGCGAACAAACTGTCTCTTCGTGACCCCTTCGTCTCCGAGGGTCAGGACGTCGATTGGATGATGGCGGTGGCCGCCCTCGCCTCGTCGCACAACGTCAAGTCGCTGGACCCCATCGACAAGGTCACGGTACTCGCTCTCAAGCGCTACCCGCACGCCCGCGAGATCCTCCAGCAGGGATGGGTCACTGACAAGTTCACACCTTTCGACCCCGTCTCCAAGCGCATCACCGCAGTTTGCCGTCTCGGCGATGATACGTTCACCTGCGCAAAGGGTGCGCCTCGTGCGATTCTAAAATTGACCGAGTGTGCCGAGCCCACCGCGTCCCTCTATCGTGAAAAGGCGCAGGAATTCGCCCGCCGTGGTTTCCGCTCTCTCGGCGTTGCCGTCAAGAAGAACGACGAGCCTTGGGTCCTGCTTGGTCTGCTCTCCATGTTCGACCCTCCTCGCGAGGACACGGCACAGACTATCATTGAAGCCGCTCAGCTCGGTGTGCCCGTCAAGATGCTTACCGGTGACGCCATTGCCATCGCCAAAGAGACGTGCAAGATGCTGTCTCTGGGTACAAAGGTCTACAACTCGGAGAAGCTCATCCACGGTGGCCTATCTGGCAGCGTGCAGCACGACTTTGTCGAGCGTGCCGATGGTTTCGCCGAGGTCTTCCCCGAACACAAGTAAGCTCACACTTGATCCACATCTCCAAGTCGTCACTAACACCACGCAAGGTACGCCGTCGTCGAAATGCTCCAGCAGCGAGGCCACTTGACAGCCATGACCGGTGACGGCGTCAACGACGCTCCCTCCCTCAAGAAAGCCGATTGCGGTATTGCTGTCGAAGGCTCTTCGGAAGCCGCCCAGGCCGCCGCTGATATTGTGTTCCTCGCTCCTGGTCTCAGCACCATCGTCCTCGCCATCAAGACATCGCGACAGATCTTCCACCGCATGAAGTCCTACATTCAATACCGCATCGCCCTGTGCTTGCATCTCGAGATCTACCTGGTACTCAGCATGATCATCCTGAATGAGACTATCCGCGTCGAGTTGATTGTCTTCATTGCTCTGTTTGCCGATTTGGCCACTGTGGCTGTCGCGTACGACAATGCCTACTGGGACCCTCGCCCTGTCGAGTGGCAGCTACCCAAGATCTGGGTCATCTCCGTCATCCTCGGCATACTGCTCGCCATCGGCACCTGGATTTGCCGCGCGACCATGCTCCTCCACAGCGGCGGCATCATCCAGAACTTTGGCTCCGTCCAGGAAGTTCTCTTCCTCGAGGTCGCCTTAACGGAGAACTGGCTCATCTTTGTCACCCGCGGTGGCAAGACGTGGCCATCCTGGCAGCTCGTGGGCGCCATCTTTGGTGTTGATGTCCTGGCCACCCTCTTCTGCATCTTCGGCTGGCTCTCTGGTCGACCTGTGAAGACAAGTCCCCCGGGCGGATATGACCAGCGTGATGATGGATGGACTGATGTCGTCACCGTCGTCATCATTTGGCTCTTCTCCTTTGGTGTCACCGTCGTCATCGCTGTTGTCTACTTCCTCCTCAACAAGTGGAGCTGGCTCGACAATCTCGGCCGCAAGGATCGCAGCCACAAGGATACCAAGCTGGAAAATGTCTTGGCCAGTCTGCAGAAGCTTAGCGTCGAACACGAGGTAGATAGCAAGACCGGCATGGATCGCTTCCACCTTGTGGAGAAGATCCATGAGGAGGAGGAGGACTTGTAGACGCGGGAATGCGTAATGGTGGCAGTGAGGGCGAAGAAGGTATAATGTCTTTTGAGAGGATGGTTCCAGAACATTGTAGAGTAAGCCCAGTAGAGGTTATCACTTTTTTGTCTACCATTACTATATACCATACACGCATAGTGCAGCAGTGTACTCTGTCAGACTCTATGCCTCTAGGCTAGCGGGGACACCGTCTTGCCTTTCGTGCTGTTCGTATAATTAAATGCCAGATCATAGCATGCTGTTCTTGCCGTTGCATTCGTAAGCCTCGTGAATAACAAATGAAATCCTCTCCCGGCCCAGGTCCTGCTTGCGCCTTGCGCCTTGCGTCTCCCGCACCGGTATGTTATATATACTATACATGATTCTCATCGCTCCAGCCGAAGAGAACTCGACGACTATTCCACAGAAACGTCCCCCGACGCCGTTGATGAACCATAATTCGTAACAGGAGCAAGTATTCCTCCAACGCCAGACTCTCATAGCCCAATGGATTCCTTTCAGCTTGTCCCGGCTGATGACCGAACTCCAAGGGAACCCCGATCACTTCTTATAGTGTCAAATCAAACACCAGTCATCTCTGTGTCGACGATTTCGATTTCCGCATTCCTGCCCAAGTCCATTGGGCCCCATCGCCCCTCGAAGACTGTCGCTGGCGCTTTGCGTCTTTGCGCTACCCACTGCAAGCTTCCCACGTTAAGGAGCTGGTCAGGTGTCGGTCGACGATGGCTTTGGCTAGAGATCATCCACTCGACGAGGGCACGCAGAGACTCAGGGTGGTCAGGATCTGCCATGAAGACAGGAGGCTCAAGCAGCTCAGACCGCTTGTGCGATCCGAATAGATCAGCCGCATTGTAAACACTGTCCGAGGTGGTTCCTGTACTGTAATGGTTCGACCGTTCAGGATTGGTCTCGCAGGAAACCGACCACGCCAGGCTTGGGACGAAAGACAAGTCATCGTTGCGAAGTCTGTGCCACACTTCACCATTGCCAGGTACGTAGCAATTGGTGATCGACTCGACCATCATCAGCCCTAGAGAGAATATGTCGGATGACGGGCTGAATTCGCCATGTAGCATCTCTGGAGCCATGTACTCACGATCGCCTTCCATGTCCAGAGGCGAGCAGTCCGTAAGCTCACGGGCTAATCCAAAATCGCCGATTTTGACGTCTCCTTCGAATGTGATGAAAACGTTGGCAGGCTTCATGTCAAGGTGCATGAAACCTGCGGCGTGAATCTCTCTCAAGCCCATGGTCAGATCCAGGAGAATTTTGAAAATGCAGAAATCATCCACTCGGCCCTTGTCCCCGTTGAGGTCGAGAAAGTTCTTCAGACTGCCGTTCTCGCAAAGCTCGGTTTGGATATAAAGATGATCGTTCACCTCCCAGTCAGCCACGTACTGCACAATGTGTTCGTTGTCCCGCAGAGCTCGGAGAATCGTCGCCTCGCGAATTTTCCTTTCCCGGTCACGGCGGCCATGGTATGGTTGCTTCGTCTTCTTGACTACGAAAATCTGCTCTTTCATTGAAGACGGGCTTTGGCGGCGTGAAAGAGAAAAGTCCAGTGGCTCTGATTTCTCCGTGACCTTGAAGATGACAGAAAACTCGCCCTCTTCAGAAAGATGCTCAACTTTATCGAATCGGCTTTGTAGCGCAGGCTCCAGAGCCATAGTAGAGGCGCGGAAATCATCGTGGACTGGTGTGGAGAAAGTGGCGGTGGAGGAGCGAAAATCACGCTGGGTTGTTGGCGTAGCTGGAGATAGCTTGTTGTTCGATATGGAGAGCTGGCTGGTATTCTCGGGGAGAAATAATTCCTGTGGTGTGCGTGGTGTCCGACTGTCCGCAAGCGGGCTGGCCGTACCAACTCCGGAAATCTTAGCAAACACCTTCTGAGAAGCAAACAAGGGTGAAGGAGGGTTCGATCCTCGCAGAGCTCGGTTTCGACTAAATGAAGGGAGCGGATCTGTGGGGTTCGCAAGCTGCTCCGGAGAGCTGTTCTTGCAGCATCGGGGAAGCCGAGAGATAAACTTACAGTCAGCTTGGCGAAGCGGACTGGGACGCATCGCCGAGCTCAGAGAGTCGCGAGTACCGTTGCTTCTGCGGTTGGCAGACGGGCTATCTAGTGAATCATCACTGCAGTTCTCGCTCAGTTCGCTGAGGTTACTGAGATTGCTGAAGCTTGTGGTCAACCCATTCTTGGTTGGGGTGCCGAACAGCGCCGCAGTCTCGTAATTGCTGTCGTCGGAAAGCTTCACGTCGCCGTCGACATCAGCATGTCGGATCGTGCGCGAGAAGATGGAACGACGACCAAAGATTGATGGTTCTTGGTCTGTCTTGTCATCCCGGGACTGGGAAGCATCCGCTGGCGGTTGAAAAGTCAGAGACGATATTCCGGCGAAGGAGTTCCGGTTGTTGGACTTCGTCTTCCTGTTGGAACAAGGAGTGGCGGCCGAGGGATAAGTGTAAAAGCGCTCGGAAGGCCTCCTCCAAGGCTTGCAAGGCGTGTCTGGTGGGACAATTTTCTTTTCTACTTGCTCAGGATTGCGGTTGAACTTCGATACCATACCCGTTGAACCAAAGGCACCCTGATATAAAAGACTACCGGGCGCGGGAGTCGATTGTTGGATGGTCGAGTAGCCGTTAGAAGGCCGCTCAGCGCCCAAAGGCAATGATTGCGAGAACGGATGCAGCGAGGCCCTGTTGAACAGTGGTGGCGCGGGCATGGCAGAAGACGTCTCTTCTGTGAGACTGTTGCCCGATGATGAAGCACTTAGTGTCGTGCTCTGAGCCAATGGATGATGACCAGCTGCGTTCTTGTTCTCAGCAAATTGGAATATGCTGGTGGACTGAGTCGGTGGGTTTCCGATGGGGGTTGTCGAGCCGAATAAGGGTCCAACAGTAGGTGGTTCAAAATTCGCAGTGAATATTGGCGTACGGGTTCGGGGGGGCGTCGACACAGCTTCATTCTCCAACTTGGCCAGATGACGCTGGCCAAAACGCTTTCCCCACGATGTCTTCTCGCCATACCGTGGCAACATCGATGACTTACGCATTGACGATGGCCGCTTCGAGAAGCCTGGAGAAGGTGTCGGCGGAGCCGCCTGCGTCTCTGACCGATCCATGTTGTTTGAATTGGTTGGTTCTTCCGGAGTCCCAGCGTTGCTGTCCTCGTGGATTGTGAAACTAGCTGTATTCGCGGCTGGGCTGCTGGAGCCCTCAAATATGCTTCGCTCACTGGTAGGCTCTGGATTCGAGGCGCCGTGCATACTCCGTCTCTTAGGTACCGGACTCCCTTGATATGGCTGGTCGAGGTTCATCATAGCATCGTTCCTCTTCAAGCCGCCTGCGCTGGTGGGAGCAATTTCAGCCTTGACGTCTAGCGCCTTCAAAAAGGCAGTCCCAGATGAGCCCGAAACGTCGAGATGAAGGCTATGCCGGGATGACCTGTCAGGTGTTCGTTGATGGGTAGGTTCTGAAGCGTGTAGTTTCTGAACGTTGTTCTCCTGTCCCATGGGAAGTTCAGGGGTTGAAAAGAGTGAGCGCTGAGTAGGCGCCGGGGTTTGCTCCTGGCTCGCGTTCAACGCCCGTCGCAGTGGACTTCGTGGCGCAGGACGAGCTCGTCCTCCTAGTTGTCTGGATGGTGACGTCCTGGCTGCTTTGGCGCTCGAGCGAAGCGACAGTTTTGAGCTTGGTCGTAATGGCGTGAGCGTAGTAGCTGGAGGAGCTGTAGCTGGATGCGCTGGCGGCGCCGAGGCGGGGGTCGAGTGCGAGAGAGAATGCGCTGTGCTAGCGAGATGATGATCAATTTGCCGTGACGGCGTCAAACGGAAACGTCGACAGGGCGACTGGGGCGAGGCCGGTGTGAAGCCGTCGGGGTTGCGCGACGATGCTCGCGAAAGGAAGCGGGATGGCGATCTCGAAATAGAACGCCGAAGGGATCGCACAGCTGACGTTACGTCCATCTGATGAGCATGGGTGGGCGAGGGCAGGGCGAAGGTGCCACCACCACCCTCCGGAAGAGACATGACTGGTCTTGTCTGGAATGCGATACCAAGCAGTGTTTTCTCTGTTTGGTCTCTGGATGATCGTCGAGGAATGTATGAGTCGGCGCTATGTCAATAGTAGCGTGTCAGACTGCCAGATGGTGAAGCTAGTCCGCGACTGTGTTTCAAGACGGCTTTGATGCTGATTGAGACAAGTCTTTGGTAGCTGGCCGACGTTTAAGAAACCCAGAATCGAGGGTTCGGGCTGGACACAGCAAGCGCTCCAGGGCCCAATCGTGTCGTAAGAGACGCGGGGTTCAGTAGGTGAAAGGTCGGAGAGGACGTGAAGGTGATCAAGAGATGATGGAGAGCACGGGAGAAAGACGATGAATCAGACGACTGGCGGCAGCCTGACGTGTGGCTGTGGCGCAACTCAGACAAGGCAGGTGCGACAGCGAGGATGTTGATGCAACTGCCGCTCGATGTGTGGCTGGGCGATCCGTCGATAGAAGGTGCCGCTGAGATAGCACCTAGTCTAGTAGGTGCTGTAGTGGTAGGTATCGCAAGATCGTGCAGGCGCAGCGTGCGGTCTTGCGCGTGTCGATGATCTTGACAAATGTCTCTGAGTGCGAGGTTGCTCTTTCGCGTTCGAATCGTGTGGCCCCGTTGAGCAGGGTGTCGTTTGCGCCTGACTACTACGGCTGTCTCTTCTTTCTTCTTTCGTTCGTTCTTTCCTTCCTGGGGACACGAGGTCCGCCTCTCCTCGTCACTACTTCTTGTCGATGGCAATGGCTGCTCGCAACATGGCGTGCGGCCAGTTGACTAGTGGGAGCTGTCACCTCCGGCGGTGGCCACTGTGAGTCAAATGCGCGACTTGCTGCTGCTTAGTGTCTTTTTGCGATGGCGGCAAATGCAATATCGACGGGAAACAAAGCTATTGCCTTCCTGCTGGCTGTGACGACAGAGTTACGGCGAGGTTTGAAAGTTAGACATACATCCAGAGGTCGAGACAGTTGGGACGGACACGATTGGGTGGTCATGCAAGTTGACTTGTCTCGCGAGGTGTGTGTGGACTGCTGCCTCTGAGTGGCAACCCACTTTACGCTCTTGCTGTGGTGGGTATCCCTGCGGGCGGCGCGCTTGCGCAACAGTCAGGGGTGACGCAGTTGTTTACCTATGCTCCAAGTTAGGACTAGCGTACTACACGCGTCGCGTCTTGAATCCCTGTCACGCGACGCATCACCCCCGAACGTCAAGCACGTGTGATGGATGTACAGCCGGGGATCAGAAGGCTACTCGGGCTATGGATGACTGCCGCCCGCCGCCGGATGCTCAGTGAGGTTCGAAGACATCGCAAAGTATATATGAACCAGTATTGCCGCCCCGAGGATCTGGTCTATGGATATCTCTGGCCAAAAAACTGTGAGACCAAGTAGATCGCTTTGTTTACTTGCCTTGCCGTAGCTTGCCAGGCCTATTTAGTTTGAACGCGCTCCGCTCCCAGCCACTGTCCTGGGCATGCTTTAGCGCGTGACTCCTGGTCGTGCCCACGCCTCAGCCAGCCGCTAACTTCAGGCCAGGGTCTGGGCAAGGCCAGGGCTCTTTGCGTGGACATCCTGTATTATCAACTTTGTTGACAAGCACAGTGTCACTGTCATTGTCATCACTGTCACTTTTACTTTCACTTTCACTCATCCAGAGTCCAGACGTTCGGCTTCGTCAGGCAGCATGGCAGCCTGCAAGCTGCAAAGCCGCAGTGTGCTGGCGGTTGACTGGCTCACGTGCCCATCGAGAAGATTTTGCCAACACGGTGTATCTGTACCTGACCGCTAGTCACGTCTGTTAGCGACATCATAATAATAGGTGGGTGGTCTGCACCAAGCCTCTAACGCCGGCCCAGCCACACATCGATAAGTCTGGTACTTTAGCGAATCAATAACATGACTCGCTATTGTGTTTTCGTACTGTATGAGTACGTAGTGGCCACCGGGACCCCTATGTTGTAGGGCCATGCTGATCGATGCTACATGAGCTTTAGTGCCCCATATGGACCATTGGCCAGACTGATCTCCAAGCTTGATGCCCAACACGAAGATCAAAACAAAGAAATCGCCACAAGCCACCATCAACAGCAGCAACACAGTAATTAATCAAATCGTCTTATTCACAGTCAACATTGCATTTTATTAGGGTCTCGACCGTGCGCAGCATTGTGACTAGCCCCCCGCCAGTTTGTGAAATTATGCTGCCAACTTCTTGTGCTCACCGCTAAGCGTTATTTCCCAACTTTGCTCCGGTCCTTCAGGGGTTGGCGCAATCTCATTGCTCAGAAAAGGGGGCGCACTGCGACGTCTGGTGTCCTTCCCCCGGGGGACCCGCCGGGTTGTGGTTCCGAACGACACCAGCCAGATGCGTGCCGCTCCCGCGGTCCCGTTCTTCGACTCAAAGCCAACGTTGGTCATGAAGTGGGCGGCGGGGGATTGGGCTCGCGTCTTGCGATGGCGGGCACCACCCGTGTTGCGCTGCCCTCCGCGCTCTTTTTGTGATCACTGGGGCTCACCAGGGCAAATGTTCGGTCAGGGAGGTCCTATAGTCGATGGAAATTCATCAATAAACCTACACTACACTCCTAATGTGTAACACGAGTGTTCATGCACAAATAGATGCAATTTCGCGATGCAAGCTCAAGTTGTTTTCAATTCGAAATTGGATAATGCAAGCATGCAGCCACCAGCACAACTTCCATGGTAACCAGCAGTACATTGTCGCGTCGTTAGAAGGCATGGCACAATAACATGCTGATCATCAATTTCTTCTTTCCATTTAGGTCTTGCTTGAACTCGTAATTACAGATTGAGATTCAAAAGAAGTATTGGGAAACCATCGAGTCGAATGACGCAGGGTAGGCTAGCATACATATCCTGCCACAAAATTCGCTTCGGGTGCATGACTAGCCCTCGTCATCCCCCCTCTTCTAGCTCTTCTATTTTTATGTCAGGATCACCCCGGTACAGTCGGTCTCTGGCCCATGTACCGAGCTGGAAGTAATTCCAGGGACTTGAAGTTCTTGGCCGCGCAGCTTGCTACGTACTTTGTATGTCCCACTTCTCCCACGTACATGTGAAACATTGGATGTCTCTAGACTTGGTATTTGTGCCAATTACTCAAGTACTATGCGGTACCAAGTACGTACACGTACGCAACGTCGATCTGGCATGTGCTGGGGGGGGGGGGGGGGGGGTTGTTTGTTGACATTCGCGATCCTTTTACATAGAGCCTGAGAGACTCAGGCTGGACCCTTGGTGGATCGGCAAAACAACGTGTCTCCGCAGGGTCAACATCACCACCCCCTTTAGGAGAGCGATGACGTACTACGAGCTCAGTGGTGGCGCTTGATGACACTCCTCTTGCTTCGCTGCTAAACAATTTGAAGGAGGGTCGAATTCTGAACTCCGCTGAAATGGACGGGAAGACTAACAATCAGCGCTGGACGCGTACTATTGACGGGCTAGAGAAGTTCCTGCGATGCTTTGGTCCTTTGTCGACTGCCATGACGTAGATAGACTGAACCTAGCAAGGACGCAGTAGGCCACACCACCTCCTCAACGTAGTAAAGCAGCGGCTGCGTCAGGCGTCTTCGACCGCAGCTATCAGTCGATACTTGTAGCCTGCTTATTGTTCCTGGCGTCCATGCACCTATCGAAGAAAGCCTGAAGAGACCCAAGCACGAGCGCACACTCACCCTGCTGATACTGGCAAGCCACCTCGCACCAGAACTGTGTCCGTCGTTCCAAGGCTCTGCTCTGACTTGTCGTGTTGTAGAGCCCCAACGTCACATAGTAATCCGTCTCAGGAGGCATGTGGTTCCACCTGATGTATTGACGCTGCAGCAGATGGCGGTTCTCCTTGGTCCACGTGTTGCCGGGATTGAGACGGTCGACGTGCTGGAGAAATAGGTTAGATGTGGGCTGAGACGCGCCGATGGATATTGCCTTTTCCTTCTTACCTCACAAATCGAGTCGGCAACTTTGGCAATCATGTGGTAGTCTTCCCTGTACTCCGCTACTGTAAGACTTTGATCAAGCTAGTTTCGACGTGATAAGCCTCCGCTCTGCATTGACGACGCCGCCGAGTACTTACAATCGACTGAACGTCCTCCAGGACGCTAACCACCCATGTCGCCTCGTCGCTCGTCCCCTGACGGACATAGTTGGCGTGTATGTGTCGTAGCATCGCCATGTCACCCACAATTATCCGCTGAGTCAGACGCAGGTGCGGCTTCCGTTTCTCGAGCTGATGGAAAGCGCCGGTGAAACCAGAAATCAGATCAGCCAGCTGGGGTTCCTTGATGTCCCGGAAGACCGCCTCGCTAGGTCGGGCAAGCCGTGAGCCACGCCTCTCTCGAGCTCCTGAATCAGCCAGGCCCTGTAGACGAGTTTGTGCCACATATTCTCAAGTACTGAAGGGGCATCGAAGAATCGAGTGCATGGGTCGCCTCGCACGTCCCAGGTGAAACGTGCCGATTGCTCTCCATCCCTACGGTTGGGCAACGAGTCCTGGGTTTTGAGCGCAGTATCCTCGCATATGGACGCGATTGGCGCATGGTGGAAGCCACAGGGGGTTCGAGATGTCGTGCGAAACAGGGTCTTTTGACAGCATCCGAGAAGGTAGCTGGAGAGACGCATGTTGCCGATAGCGTTGAACCGGTTTCTCTAGGCCAATCTGTTGTGAGCCTGGATTCTGAGCACAGTCGCTTTCAAAGTATCGAGAGAGGAAAACCGGAAGGACTGAAATTTATGAGCTGAATAACAAAACTTCCCCGGCTCTGCCGCAGTTATTTTCTCCCTTTGTTGCTGCACCCGCTCCTCAGTAAAGCTCCATCTTCTCCAGGTGAATCAGACCGTTTGGCGGCTGTGACAACGTTAGTGAATGCCCCTGTGAAGGTGAGAGTGACAATGAAGATTTGCTTTGTGTGCGCCAACGTACCGGTGTAAACTGCCGCAATTTGACGCCCGCCTGTTGGAAGACGGCGGCCGTGTCGTTGTCCATGCTGTATCCATGCGCGTACACAACCTCGCTGATTCCAACCTGGCAGATCTTGATGCTACACGTCAAGCACGGGCACGTATCGCAGTATAGCACCGCGCCGTCGCGGATCCTCTCCCTGCCAGCTTCCAGCAGCGCATTCTCCTCGGCGTGAATGCACAGGCAGGTCCCCAGGCCGACGCCAGACCCGTTGCCCTCGTTGCAGCGCGGGCACCCGCCATCGGCACAATTCGTCAGGCCTCGGGGCGTGCCGTTGTAGCCCGTGCTGATGACCCTGCGCTCGCGACCCACGAGTACGCAGCCTACGCGACGCTTCATGCAGTTGGAGCGCTGCGCAGCGAGCGAGGCGAGTGCCATGAAGTACGTGTCCCATCCGGGCCGAAGGCGGTCCGGGTTGGGGATGTCCAGCTTGCCGAGCTTGGCGTAGAGATGGGCCAGCGAGGACGACGTGTTGAGCAACCGGACAGTAGCGCGCGAGATGAGGGACTGCAGACCGTCGTGTGGATCATACAAGTGCCCATCGTTCTGGTCGACAAAGTCTTCGAGACTGATCCGTGAGGCTTCGGACGCACTGCCGGAGCGCTCACGGTAGCGCTTCCAGCGCACGGTGAGGGGCGCGTCGATGGACAAGAGTAGGAAGAAGGGCCGTCGGAGGAACACGTCGAGAACAGCCTCGGTGGGTATGTCGGTAATGACGAACCGACTCCGCCATCGTCTCGTGACAAAATCGAGTAGATCCTCGGCGGAGGTGAAGCTATGCTCCTGGGGATGAGGCCGCAAGGCGAGCGACCCCTTCGCTGCCAGCCTGGGGCCGTTCTTGGTCGTCAGAGCACTCGAGCTCAACGCACCGCTGAAGGCCTCTGGCTCCGAGTCTGGCGATTGCTCTTCACTTGGCGCGTCGCTTGAAGCATCTGGCGCCGCAGCGCTGCCTTCCTTGGGCGGCGTCTTCAGATATAGGCGTTTGAAGCCATGGTGCTCAACGAGGTAGTGAGCCACCGTCTTCTTGCCGGAGCATATGCCTAGAAGATGCGTCAGAGAGGTTCGCAGATCTCACTCAGACCGAAACTCACTGCCACAGATACCAATCAGCATATTGGCGAGTCCCTTGATGGATGATCCGGGGTCGAACGCGGTGACGTTGATAGACGCGCTTTCTCGCGTGGTGGTGCTGGCGCCAAATGCGGAGTCCCACACCTCAACGCCGACCCAAATTTTAAGGGTCCGAGCTACGATCAAATAGGAGGCCAAACTATTTACGTACTCCTTCCTTTGAATACACCAGACACATCCACACGAGTCAACGTCTACGACCAACTTTCATGCTCGGATAGACCCGCCCACTATAAAGTGCCAAGGTCGTTTTCCAGTTCTATGCTCTCGCCGCACCATCGTGCCAAGAGTGCGGGCATGCATGCGACACCTGCTGCCCAGGCCATATCTGAGCAGCGCTGGGTGAACGAGCTCAGTAGTTGCGGCGCGAGCTCACCTCAGGCGGTTCATTATTGACCTGGCTTCGGAGCTAACTGGGAATATCTGCAAGAATCGAGCATCACGAGCCGACAGGCCGCCATGTTGACTACTAGTAGGATACTCGTCGGGAAAGCGTGGGAATAGCGAAATCGGATACCGCAAGCATGGACCAAATCTAGCTGACTCTTGAAGCGATATCGATGCGAACCTCGCGTCAAGTAGCTCCCTGGCGCAGGCCTGCCTACCTCACTTTGGGGTGAAAGTTCTACTTGCAGCCGCAGTACTCGCAGCAGGCAGAAGACATTGCCCTCGCCAGGCACTCATACTACACCATGCAGCTCAGGCAGCCTTACAACAATTAATTTCATGGAAAAGAAAGAAATGGTTCTTTGACTACCTGTGGCCATCTCAACGGATATGGATAATCAACTCCCCATTTACAAGGCCCATCATCGCGTCTTCTGCTCTGGCCCAGTCGTCCCAACCTTTGGCCATCGCATCCAGATCCTGCTCTGACCGCAGCTTCATTTCTAGAGCCTTGACTCTCATCTGGCCATGTTTGATTCTCTCCATCATGGAATCGGCTGCTCACGTTAGCGCATGAGAACCCAAGTGCTGACGGGGGACTACTTACCCCAGACCCTCCTATCACCTTCCTGGCTATAACACCATGTTCCCATGGTTGCCGTCATGTCGGCTCGAGGGATGCCCGCTTGCAGTGACCAGCTCACGAGCTGGCGCCCACCATTGGGATGTCCCCCACTGGCTCTCCACGTAGAGAGGAGTGTCTCGTGAAAGTCGTTGACGCCGGGCAGCTCGGGCCAGATGACCATGTGCTCCATGTCGGCCTCTCTCAAAGCCAGAATACCGCCCTTCTTGGTCACCCGAATCATCTCCTTGATCCCCGCCACAGGCTCGTCCAGGTGAACAAGCACCTGGTGGGCGTGAGTAATGTCAAATGCTCCGTCTTCGAAGGGAAGCTCGAAGATGTTGGCTTTTTGGAAGGTAATGTTGTCCACGCCTTGCTTCTCGGCAAAGCTTGCCGCTCTCTGTAGGATCTCATCTGAAATGTCTGTAGCTGTGATGTGACCTTGTGGCATATACTTGGCAAAGGTAGCGGTGATGGTGCCGGACCCGGCGCCAATGTCGAGGAACTTCAAGCCTGGGTTCCTGGACGCTGCATCCTTGAGGTGCGGGAGGAGGTGTCCGGCGCTGTTCTCGGCGGTGCGCCATTCGTGATGCTGGACCTGAGAGGCTTTGTGGCCCAGAGTGTATGCGCTGTGTTGATCTGCCATGGTCTTGGGGTACAGTCTTGCTGTATGTTGAGGAAAAGGAAGCAAGTTGGAATCGGGATGCGGAGGCCTCGGCTTTCGCTGCCGTCGGTCGATCGCCACTTTTCATGTTGTCTTGCGTATGTCGCCCCGATAAGCAGTCCTTCTGCACGAAGATCTGAGGATGATACGTTCCGATTCATCACTTCCGTGTCTCTCCAACCCTTTCCGCATTGTTTGGCTCGTTGTCGCACATTGTGGGCATGTTTCTCGCTGATGAAGCCGTGTAAGATGATTGGGCGAGAATGCCTTCATTCGACCCTTGGTCATGAAGAGGCCGCACCAGATACTCAATCCCAGGTGTGATTGAATGCTTATGGGTCTTACAGTTCTTTGGTAAATTTGGATTTATTATAAGTCCCAGCATGCTTTTCTTTGAATATCAGGCCCGGGCACTGCTGCTGTCCATTCACTGTCACATTGCACATGGGCTTGAGACTGCCCGTGTTCAGACTGTGGTATTTCAGACTGGAATCATCTCTAGAAAAAGACTAAGTTTGGACATGTGGCCATAGAATCCAGGTGTCACCAGCCAAACATAGGTAAAGGATCTTTGATGATTTGATTTGCTTGATCAAGCCGCAAGGGGAGAAACATATGTACAAAGTGAGCTCTATTACGTGCTGCCCTACGGAGTACTTGTACTGATGTAGCCCCGCGGCGGGGCACAAGACTTGGCGCTTGGACCCCCGGAATGGCAGCCTGAGCCACTGTAGCTAGCCTGGGTGTGCACTGGCCACCACCCGCTGACCAGCTGCTGGAACATCACGAGCCACACTGTCCAGTCCAGTCCAAACCCTTTGACTTTCCTCCGCCCCGGACTTATCAGCTGACAAGCAAGCACCAGTCCCCTGACCTGCGATCAGTCGTCCCTGGCGTCGCGCGATTTCACCAGTTCCTCGACATCGATACTCAACCTTCAACCGCGTACCTATTGCATCATTGATCTCGAACTACCAACCAGCCGCGCATCGTACTGTGTCCCACGCCCCCCTCCAACGAGCGCCGGCGACGTCGATCGTCGAGCCAGACAAATGTCGGCAGCACAGGGCGCGACGACGAACTCGTCTTCCTCGCCTCTGCAATTCGCAACATTCACCTCTGAGATCGAACTCCCCTTTTACTCGGCGCTCTTCGCCTCCAAGCTTGACTATGACAAGCTGGACGACTCCGCGCGCGGCGTCCTAGGCCTGTACGAGCCGCGGCTCGAGGAGCCCGATGCGAGCTGCAACATGCAGATCCTGGGGAACGCCTTGACGTGCACAGAGTGAGCCAGGCGCAAGCAACACTGTCGGGAAGCCACATGTCTGACCTTGTAGGGCCCCTCTCGCTTCCGCGCGCGGCGAGGGCATCATCAAGAACGCAAACACCCTCGACGCCTTTCGTAACACGGACAAGACGGCCATGGTGCAGACCGCTGGACGGCAGATCTGGGATGCCATCAACGACGGCAGCATTTACTCGGTCCCGTCGCTTCTCTCGTCCTTCATCATTCTCTCCTACGCCGACCTCAAGAAATACAAGTGCACCTATTGGTTCGCATTTCCGGCGCTACATTCCGACCCCCAGTGGAAACGCAGCGGACCGGCCGAGCATCTGAAAGTCGATGAGAGCAGCGCGCTGCTGGAAAAGGTGGGCACATGGCGCTACAGCGTCGATGGGAGAGAGCGCGGGTTCTTCCTGGCCAAGAAAGTCCGCACACCAGGAGAAGATACCGACGAGGATACAACACAGACGCTAGGCTATCGGTGGGAGGTTGCCTCGTTGCGGGCGTTCGAGGAGGGATTCTTCAACGAGGTACCCGAGAACGACCGCTACGTCTCCTTTGTGGACCCCTCGACCTACCCAGAAGGACCAGGCTGGCCGTTACGCAACCTCTTGATCCTGATCCGGCAGCGCTACAAGTTGGGCAAGGTGAAGATCCTGTGCTTCCGCGACATTTGGGCACGAAGGCATGAGTCGCGCAGCGTGATCCTTCCTATTGAGATGGACCCCACGGAGAAAGTGGTCATGGCAGACATGCCCAAGGTCACAGGGTGGGAGAGGTCACGGAATGGGAAATTGCAGGCACAGCAGGCGAACCTCGGAGAGTATATGGACCCCTCACGGATCGCCGACTCGTCAGTCGATTTGAATCTGAAGCTCATGAAGTGGCGTCTGGCGCCCGACCTGGACCTGGACCGCATAAAGAATACAAAGTGTCTCCTGTTAGGCGCGGGCACACTGGGCGGCTACGTCTCAAGAAACTTGCTTGGCTGGGGTGTCAGAAAAGTCACATTCGTGGACTACGGAAGAGTGTCGTTCTCCAATCCTGTGCGGCAGCCCCTGTTCGAATTCGAGGACTGCGTGGACGGAGGCAAGCCCAAGGCGGCAGCGGCCGCCGCCATGCTGAAGAGGATATATCCCGGAGTCGACAGCGAGGGACATTCGCTATCGGTTCCCATGCTGGGGCACCCATACACTGACGAGGCCAAAACAAAGGCCGACTACGACAAGCTTCACGCTCTGATCGACGCGCACGACGTTGTCTTCCTCCTGATGGACACGCGGGAGTCGCGCTGGCTGCCGACTGTCATGGCAAAAGCCGCTGGCAAGATCGTCATGAATGCCGCTCTCGGCTTCGATTCGTACGTTGTGATGCGACACGGCGCTGAGAGCACAGAGGCCGATGCGCCGTCGCTGGGCTGCTACTTCTGCAACGATGTCGTGGCACCAGCTGATGTAGGTCACTCCCGTCCCAGGCTCACCTGAACCGTTTGCTGACAAACACACTCACAGTCCATGAAAGACCAAACGCTCGATCAGCAGTGCACCGTCACACGTCCCGGTGTCGCAGCCATCGCCTCGGCTCTCCTCGTCGAGACGCTCACCAGTCTGCTCCAGCATCCCAAAGGCAATCACGCGCCCGCTCCGCAGCTGACTCAAGGGTCTGTGCCCGAGCGTGATCCCCCGTCACACCCTCTGGGCCTCGTGCCACACCAGATCCGGGGGTATGTCTCAACATTTCAGAACATGGTCATCAGAGGCCAGTCGTACGACTGCTGCAGCGCGTGTAGCCCCAAGATTCTTGAAGCGTATCGGAGCGACGGCTGGGGGTTTGTGAAGAGGGCGCTGCAAGAGAGGGAGTATGTCGCGGAACTGTCAGGCTTGGCCGAGGTGCAGAGACGGGCGGAGGAACTGGACGCTGAACTGGACTGGGATGAAGACGACGATGCTTTGGCGGCCGAGGAGGGTGAAGGAGAGCTCCTGTGAGCCCCCAGAAACATACATACATTTGATGGTACTTGTTTTAAGTTAGATGACTGGCGTACAGCGTTTTTGGTGGAGGTTCCCGAACCGCATGACTTTCTTGGATTGGAGCCCGGCGCATTGCAGACGGCACATTAAAAGAAGTGCAATTCCTCACACAATGTTCCTCACACGATGGGACAAGTTCTGCATTCAGCTTGGCGGTGGTGACGTGTTGTCGGATTTATGGGTATCGAAGTATACTAAGTAGAAATCCAAGTGCCACTTCCCGCGCCCGCCCCTATGACGCCTTCATGCAAATGACAAAACATAGAAGATTTCCCCCGTGTACAGGCAGAACAGAATTGAGAGCAGGTTATTAGAGAGGGGGTTGTTACTCTCAATGTGTCGTCGTCGTCGTCGTCGTTTCGAGGCCGTCCTCACGACCCGTGGTATTATGCGTCAATCATGGTGTGGTGTATCGCAGCAGAGTGTGCTGATGAATGCCGTCTAGTACTTGAGGATGATGTAGAGGGCGTGGATGATACCGGGGATGAAACCCAGGATGGTCAGGGCAATGTTGATGAGCAGGTCGACACCACAGCCGCGCTCGAGGAAGACACCCAGAGGAGGGAAGATGACGGCAAAGATGATTTTGCAAATGTCGCTGTAAACATTTCGTGTTAGCGGAGATCTGTCTATCTGTTTTGGCCGTGGGTTGTGCGGAGAGCATGGGAGACCACGGGGCGTTGCGGATGTGACGGAATGGCAGTGAACGGCGGGTAGTGAGAGGTAGGGCAGTCTTACGAAGCAGTGAAGGCCATTGTTGCGGTATTGGTGGGTCACTGTGTGATGGAGTCGAAAGAAGTTGAATGGTTTGACTTGGATGGGTTGGTTGGTGTGAGGTTGTGGTTGTTCGAAGGTAAAGAAGGCGGGAGACAGAGGATTGGGGCTAAGAGGGAAGCTAATGGACGTTATATATCACGACGGACTCGGAGACATTGCGCGTCTTCCAGGTGTGTAATGTGCAGCAAGCAGGGAAGTCCAGTCCGGTGTCAACCACCCATGCGTCCTTGGCGAGCGGCCATGCCGTAAACGGGTTGTACTTGTCGAGGCCCAAGGCGAGAACGTGCGTCATCGACGATCTTGGCGTGGAGCGATTGACTTTTTTGCTCTCTTTTCCCGCTGGCGCAGCTCGCATACTTACGCGTGTTGAGCTCTTGGCTTCCGTGGATATTATGAAGCGTAGCTAGTACAAGCATTTCACCACTGACACCCGTATGGTGTTCAGCCTGACTGGAAACATCCTGTCCATCATGAGTTCTTCTCACAGCTTCGTCGTTTCAACAAGCGCGGAGGGGATCGTGACCAGCGACATGAGCAGCTAGCCAAATCGGACCGCCAGTTGAGCTCGCAACATCTAAGAGTTACGTCATTTTAACTGTGCATCTGCCGAGCAAGCGCCACAATCAAGGTCATGCAGCACTTGACCACAGCCAATCATCGTCTTGTAAGCCTATCACCGCCACAAATCGTCCGCAGCACCAGCCACAATTCTTGAATGATCGTCCTGATTGATTACTTGATGACGAAAATAGAACATGGCAGAGCAAAGGCAAAGATGGGGAAATAATGATGTGAAATTCGCCTGCCGCTGCGGACGCCTATCTACGCCTTCACGAGAAACTGCCAAAATTTTCCGAGCTAGGGAAACACACCTTGTGCTTGCATTTCCATGTCACTGACAGTCTGACACTCGGCGCCCCCCGCCAGCTGTCAGCCTCACCAGGGTCCGGCATTCACCAGCCGATCTTCAATTACGCGGCAGCCCCCTGAGCCCCATGGTTAGGCTTTTTTTTTTTTTGAGCCGCCTCTAGAACGAGCCTGCAATCTTAATGTACAGGCCACTGGTACCTTGATTCGATGACAATTCTCCCATGCCAAGGGATTCATAGTCTTATCTTGGCGGACGGCCCAAGCCTGGGTGCCGTTGGAAAAGACGCGCAAGTTACAGGTCTTGGCGCAATGACGAACTCACGATCGGGTTTGCGCCGGGTGCGATGGACTTATCCGACCTTTGCGAACACCGAGACCGCGGATGACGTGATCTGTTGATTTCGCTATACGCATAGCACATTGATAATACGGTACTCGTACGTACATTCAATCCTCACTCATTGCCTTCCCCTGGCGCTTTGGCGAGTCTCTTGCCGTAGAATAGCGTCCCAACGCCCTTGGAAAGCACCGCATAGCCCAGGTACATCCCGACAACAATAGTAATAGGCCACTTCTGCCACTCGCGGTCCCAGTCCAAGGGAATCGGCACAGCGCCCAGCCAAGCGCCCAGCACTGCGCCTAGAACTCCGCCAGACACCTCATCCAGCGGCGCGTAGGCACCTGCCAGTGCCAGCATGGCCTGTGCATCCACGCCGCGAGTGTAGAACAGCGGGAACGCTGCGAGGATGGAGAAGTGTGCGGCGCAGAGCAATGTTCGGGCAACGTGATCGAGCAAGGGTGCGCCAAAGAGCACAAAGAGGATATGGACTGCGGGCACGGTGATGACGGTCAGGATGAGGGCAAGGAAAGATTGCTGCTCAGACAAGTTAGAAAGGCAAGCAACATGACAGAAGACTGGGGAAGGCTTGCCTTGAAGAGAGCGGGTGCTGTTGACTCCGTCCTCTTTTTCTCGCCTGCTCTAGGCTTCTTTGTTGACTTCGCGACGGTCGGGGCACCGGCAATGGGCAGGCAGATGGCGGCGTAGGCAATCTGCACCAACACGACGAACGGCAGCGCGCTGTTCAATGCCGCCACTGGGTCATTGATGAGGGCTGGCATTCTCACGTACAGCGCACCTAGCAGTAGCGCGGGTCGCCCGATGGAAACGGCCTGTGCAGCCGGCGTGTCGGCCATCGCAACGGGGTGCAGCGTGGGTTTCGACTTGGCCTCGCCTGGGGAGGCCGATTGGCCTTTTGTAACTGCCGTGGACATGGTGGCTGGTGAATTCTCTGGTGTGAATGGTGCACGCTGGGAACTGGCAAGGGATCGTGAAGAGCTTCGCTTTGCTCAATCAGACTGAAATTATAGGTCACGTGATGTCTCCGGCGGGCCACCCATCAAGGTGCCTTCCAAGTTTACGCACCAAGGTAGCTACCTACCCTAAACTTGCTCGAGAAGCTGATACCCATACACGCACTGGCACTCATTTTGGGGTGAATATATTTGTTATAAACCAAAAAAGCCTCAAGAAGCTTAAATGTGTATTTGAGACAAAGCGCGACATGTGGAAGCAGGAGCATTCAATGTTTGATAGTGTAGGCTCGTCATGAGTTGAAGGCAATGAATGTGCAAGTCAATGATTCCTCAAAGTGACATTCCGAGATCAATCACCTTGACGAGTTGTTACATGTCCATGCACGTAGGTAGTTATTGTTCTATTCAAAGAAGCTTTTTTGGAGTACCTTGAAGCTAAACCCGCATTGGGATCTAGAACCGTTGGAATACGGCACAGTCCACGTCAGATGTCAGTCAAGTTCATGACCAGTGACCAAGCTATGTACAGAATAAGGCTCCAGTGTCAGTGCCAGTTGCTCCACGAAACAATCGAAAGTCGAATCAATCTCTTTAGGCACATGTGACTTTCGCAGTCACTGCGCGCGGTAGGGCGCGAATGGCCAGTCTCCCAGCCTCGAATCCGCCTAAACTAAACACACGCTGCCTTTTCGAGTAGCATTCCTGTCTCCCTTGCTCCCACATGCCGTCAGACGGAGCAGCGGCATCTCAAAGTGCAAAGTGCCTAGGTGGCACTTTGTTCTCGCTTTGATCATTGGGCCGCATAACATGGTGAACCGGATCCGACCTTCACGCAACAGGAACCTCCGCTTGGGTATACCGTTGGATAACCAGACGAACTGCCGTTTGAGGCTCATCGTTACATCGGGCTTCTTGCCCCCGCAATGCACGCCGCAACCCCATAGGGAGCGTATATCACTGGCCGCGCCCTCCCCGCGGCAAGCCGCCTGCGTTTTCCAGGCGATCGCTGCCCAAAAGTACGTAGCGGGATGTGGACAGTGGACGCTCCGGCTTCGATGCGGTGTCCGGGGTAAATGTGGGGGAGGAGGGACATGAGCCGCCTGGGGTATAAGAAGGTGGACGCTGCTGTGAGATTGCAGGGAGTCGTAGCAAGCTATGACAATTTGCTGATGCCTGACATGGCGGACGACACGAGAACTACACAGGCCAAGCCAGCGGCTACCACTACGCCGCCTGCAGACGAGATCGAGCTTGCACACACTTCCACCAAGAACGATGCTCCATCTGCTGTTGCGGTGAAGCAGCGGGGCCTCGAGCTGCCAGACATCCTCAGGCACCTGTCTGAAGAGGAGCGCGCTGTGCTCGAGAAGAAGATGCGACGTAAGATCGACTTCCGTCTCTTGCCCATGATTGTCATCATGTACATCCTCAACTACATTGACCGGTAGGCGATCTCCACCCCGGACGGAAAGGTGTACCTGACTTGGTAGGAACAACATTGCTGCTGCACGGTACGCCGGGTTGGAGGAAGATTTGAACATGGACGAGGACGGCACCCAGTTCTCAGTAGGTGACCTACCCTCGGAGACGGATGCCAGCTGACCAGGTGCACAGACAGCAGTGAGCATCCTCTTTGTCGGGTGAGTCGACATCCGCTCAACTGCGGTCAAACAGCAGCAAGGATCGCACTCGATATTCGATCAAAGATGTTGGTACTTGACTTGAACAGTATCGACTGACATCTTTCATCGTTCCCCTGCTGCCGGGTTGACTTGGTCGAGAGAGTTCCTTCGAGTCAGCGTGGCATACTGACCAGTCCAGATACATTCTGATGCAAGTTCCATCAAATTTGGTTCTGAACAAGATCGGCAAACCTGCTATTTATTTGCCGGCCTCTGTTAGTCATAGTTACCCAGAAGCATTGTTCAGCGCTGACAAGCCCAGATGATCCTATGGGGCGTCATATCCGCAGCTACGGCCGGCTGCCACTCTGTGGGCGGTCTGTACGCGGCCCGTTTCTTTCTCGGTTTCGTTGAGGCGACCTATTTTGTGCGTATACCCGTCTTGCCAAACGGACAGCAGGCTGACTTGAAAGCCCGGATGTCTGTACTACCTCAGCTGCTGGTACACTCGTCAAGAACTTGGTGTTCGGACCACCTACCTATACGCAGGCTCGCTCATATCGGGTGCTTTCTCAGGGCTCATCTCTGCTGGAATCACGGGCAACATGGATGGTACCTTGGGACTCCGAGCATGGCGTTGGCTTTTCCTGCTTGAAGGTGTTGTCACCATCGCAGTGGCTTTCGCCGCGTTCTGGGTGCTGCCCAACTTTCCGCGCACAACGTCGTGGTTGTCTGAGGAAGAGGCTGCTCTGGCGACCTGGCGCCTTGAAGAGGATATCGGCGCAGATGACTGGACGAACAGTGAGGAGCAAACCCTCTGGCTCGGTTTCCGGCTGGCTCTTCAAGATGTGAAGATGTGGGTGCTGGTAAGTAGCATTCTGCGACCACTTCGACCACGACTAATCCTTTAGCTTGCAATCTTGTTCGGTAATGTCTCTGCCGCATCGGTCACGAACTTCTTTCCTACGGTTGTCGGGACCCTCGGCTACTCAAAGGTCGAAACACTCCTCTTGACAAGTCCGCCGTATTGCCTTGGCGTGATCACCACCTTTTTGAACGCCTGGCACGCGGACAAGACAGGCGAGCGCTTCTGGCACATCACCCTGCCCCTGTGGCTGGCCGTTGTGACGTTCATAATCGCTGCGGCGACCACCAATGTCGCGGCGAGGTACGCAGCAATCATGCTCATGGTACGTCGCCAACGGCTGTGCAAGTAAGCGGATGCTGACTGAATCCTGTGATAGATTTCGGGCCTTTATTCTGGGTACACCACTGCCCTCGCATGGATCAGCAACACGCTGCCTCGTCCCCCAGCTAAGCGCGCAGCAGCGCTTGGCTTCATCAACGCGATCTCCAACTGCGCGTCCATCTACGCAAGTTATCTCTACCCGAAATCGGCGGCGCCTAGATACACGGGTGCATTTGTGCATAACTGCGTAATGGCAGCGGCGGCGATTGCGGCTGCGTTCACTTTGCGGACAATGCTGGCCAGGCTGAACAAGAAGCTTGACAGGGGAGAGAGGGTGGAGGGCGCCATCAATGCGGCGCCTGGAGAGGCAGTCGAGCATGGCTTCCGGTTCAAGCTCTAGTGATACTTTATCAAGATCTGGATGGAACGCAAACCCGAGAGGATGCCAGATTGTATTGGTACCTTAGGATTAGGTTAGGAGGTACTCCGTACGGCTACCTTGCCTGGTAGTAGTAAACTGCTCAGCTATCACGTGATCACGCATCTTCCACACGTCACAACAACGCGCTCATTCGCGTGAAGATGAAGAGTGACCGATACCTTAGTCACACACCACTGCACTGCGGTTTACCCTGGCTGCGAAAGATGCAGAACAACTTCGCACTCTTTCTTGCCCATCATGTCCCCGGTCATGGTGAGCGACGATCTCTCGCCCACAGACACCGATGACTCTAGCACCGAGCCTAAGTTGAGCGAGTGTACGAAAGGCGGCAAGAAGCGCAAGCTCGATGCTGACTTTTCGGAGAAAATCCATTGGACAGACGAGTCTGACACTGTTCCATCAAAGCCCAAGAGACGAGCGAAAAGAAAATCCGCAGGAAAGAAGCGCAAGTCGATACGTGCAGACGAGCCCGGTGACGATGAGCCGCCCGAGGATGCACCAGATCTGCCGGATTACCTGCAGGCCAGACGGCAGGAGTTTGATGCGCGTAGGAGGGAATTTCATGAAGCAGCGCTTAAAGTGCCGCCTGATTACACAGGAATTTTCGACGATGAGGATGTCTCAGTCAACCAGTTGCAAGAGCGACCGCACTTTACTGAAGAGATTGGCGTGAAGCCATCTCGCCCGTATGAGGATATTGAGCTACAATATTCGGGTGGATTGATACCCGCCTCTATTGCACAATATCTGCGCGACTATCAAGTTGAAGGCGTGGACTTCCTGCATCGGAAATTCGTGTACCAACAGGGCGGAATCCTTGGTGATGACATGGGACTAGGGAAGACAGTACAAGTGGCTGCTTTCTTGACAGTAGCGTTTGGAAAGACTGGCGATGAGCGGGACGACAAGCGGATGCGGGAGATGCGATATCACCATGAGCGGTGGTACCCGCGCGTGCTCATCATCTGCCCAGGGTCGATCTTGATCAACTGGCAAAATGAGCTGAACCGCTGGGGCTGGTGGCATACTGACGTGTATCATGGAGCTAGGAAAGACGATGTTCTCGGCAGTGCCCGAGCTGGCATGCTCGAGATTATGATCACCACCTATGACACGTACAAAAACAAGAAAAGCGCCATCAACATGATACAGTGGGATGCCGTGATCGCAGACGAATGCCACAAGATCAAGGACCACACAAAAGATACGACTAAGGCGCTTATGGAAGTGAACGCCCTGTGTCGGATAGGGTTGACCGGAACCGCCATACAGAACAAATACGAGGAATTTTGGACCTTGCTCGACTGGACGAACCCGGGTCAATTCGGCACACTCGGCGAATGGAGGTCTGCTATATCAATACCACTGACGCTCGGCCAGTCGCACGATGCAACGGCTGCGCAGCTCAACGCAGCGAGAACAACCGCGCAGAAGTTGGTCAAGAACGTGTTGCCGCAGTTCTTCCTGCGCCGTATGAAGTCTCTCATCGCGCATCAGCTGCCCAAAAAGACAGACAAGGTAGTCTTCTGTCCTTTGACGGACTTGCAGGTTGAGGCATACCGAAATTTCACCGACAGTAGGGAAGTCGAGATTCTTAGGACCGTTTCTGAGATGTGTGGCCAACACGGGAAGAAGCTTGGTTGGTGCTGCAACCAGTTCTTGCCCAACGGTAAGAGGTGGCAGACGTTCGTCTTCCCGGCCATGGTCACTTTGCAAAAGATTGCCAATCATTTGACGCTGCTCGTTCCGCTGTCGAGTGATCTCGATGAAAAACAAAAGTCTGAGTTGCGCAGTCTGCAGACGTGCTGCCCTGAAGTTTGGAACCAGCTCTACACGGACAGGGAGAAAATCACCAGCCTCATCAACCCAGAGTTCTGTGGCAAGTGGAAGGTGCTCAAGGAGATGCTGAAGTACTGGCACAGCCACGGGGACAAGGTGCTTGTTTTCTCGCACAGCGTACGGTTGCTGCGCATATTGCAGCACCTTTTCAATTACACGTCGTATAATGTGTCGTTTCTGGATGGTTCAATGAGCTATGAAGAGCGTCAGCAAGTGGTGGACGACTTCAACTCAGATCCAAAGCAATTCGTCTTCCTCATTTCGACCAAGGCAGGTGGCGTGGGGTTGAACATCACGTCCGCAAACAAGGTCGTCATTATCGACCCGCACTGGAATCCATCGTATGATCTGCAGGCTCAAGATCGTGCCTATCGAATTGGTCAGAAAAGAGACGTCGAGGTCTTCCGGCTTATTTCAGTCGGCACTGTCGAGGAGATTGTCTATGCCCGCCAGATATACAAGCAGCAGCAAGCCAACATCGGCTACACGGCATCCTCAGAACGACGATACTTCAAAGGCATCCAGGAGCAAACCGGGAAGAAGGGTGAAATATTCGGCTTGGAGAACATCTTCACTTACTATACTGAGAGCGGTCTGCTTCGAGATATCGTCAACAAGACCAACGTTGCCGAAGCTCGCGTGGGCTTCAACATGTTTGATGTGGACATGGACCAGGCTGCTAAGGAGGGCGATGCTCTGAGGTCGATTCAAACGAAAGGGGACACAGCGGAAGACGGCGGTCTGAGCCAACTTGCAGAACTGCTCAAGGCTAAGGACCAGGAGCAGCTGCTTCAAGAGCGGAAAGCGAACGCGCCCAGAACGGACGCGATCCAGGCCATCCTCTCCAAAGCAGGTGTCGAATACGCGCATGAAAACTCCGAGGTCGTCGGGTCATCTAAAGTCGAGGAGCATCTCTCGCGAAGGGCTGCCCTGGGCCAGTATGGCGAAGGTGACACTTTGGGCCAACATGCACTCTTTGCCAGCGATGAGGATGGGGCCTCTCCAGACCAAGGCCTGTACACACAATTCAACCCACCCCAGGATGTACAGTTGCGCCAGTTCTGCGAAATGGCCCGGACCTTTGGTTTTGCCAGTGCTACCGAGTTTGCCCTGGTGGTAGAGAATTGGTCGCAGGAGCAACGGCGTAATTGCCTGGCGCATTTCTACCGCAAACGAGAGGCTATGCTGCTGGAGAAATATGAATCTGACGAAGGGGTCAACAAGGAAACAAAGCCTGAAGCCAAGGAAACGAAAGCGGAGAAGGCCCAAGAGGTGAAGAGTCCCATCAAGAAAGAAGCTTCAGCCATAACACCCGCAAAGTATGGAATCAAAGTGGAACCCAGCTCCAGCTCGAGAGACCAAGGCATCGCACGCATGACCGAGGATGGATCGTCTAAGCGAACCTCGATATTCCTCTCAGACGACGACGACGATGATGAATTATGAGGGACACGGCGTCAAGGTAAAGATACCCAGCAGGTCTGCTTCAAATTTACTTGAATTCTCTGCTACTTGACGCAACCTCAACCCGTGTACTTCTGCACGAAAGCCACCATGTCGTCAAAGTACTTGCGCACCTTTGGGTGGTCACCAATCATGTAAAAACAGTGCGGCAGCCCGCCGTAGACATTCAGATCGACCTCGTTGCCCTCGTCTTTGAGTCGCTGAGCAAAGGCCAGACCCTCATCCCTCAGACAGTCGTACCCAGCCACCACGATATCTGAACTGTCAGCTGAGATACATACGTCTAGCATGTGTCGCTGACTTACGCGTAGGTGGTAGGCTTTTTAGGCTCTCTGCCAACAGTGGGCTGAATCTCCAGTCGTCGCAGGGCTCGGGCATATACATATCTGTGAACCACTCTAGCCGCACATCGTTGACAACACTGGCATTCTTGTTCTCGACAAAGCTCTTGAGCTCGTACTTGTCCCTTGGCGCATACTTTGGGTGGACAGTAACCGGGAACGTGGCGACACAGGCGAGAAGGGGGAGCCCAGCATCGCGCGCCGCGAGAGCTGTGACAAGGCTTAGGCCACCGCCGGCGGAACCACCATTGAGGAGAGTCTTTGCAGGGTCTACATTAAGAGTAGAGGCGTTTTTTTGACACTGGATTTGTTAGCCGGCGTCGGTATTCGTTGCACGCCGCAAACCAACCCATTGTAAGGCGTCAAAGCAGTCATTTGCGGCGTAGGGGAAGCGCCACTCCGGTGCCCTGTTGCTGTCAGCCAAAGGACTTCTGAGATGGGAGAATGTACGTGGTGATTACATTCGATAGTCAACACTGACGACGGTAGTGTTGGTTCGCCCAGCAATGAGCAAATCCTCAGCCTTCTCCGTGCAATGCCCACCAACCACCCAGCCGCCCCCATGATATCTCATCATCAGGGCCTTCGTACGTTCGTCGCCCTTCTTCCGGTAAATCTTGATCTCGATCTCATGACCGTCGCGCATGGGAATCATGCTCGTTTCGGAGACAACATCCTCCCCTTCGACAGGACAACCCGGTGGAGGTGGTTGGTCATTCAGCCACAGCTTGCGAAAGTCCTCAAGTGATAAGGAAGGCTCCCATACAGATTCAATTAGAGGATCAATCGTGGGCTTCAGGGATGCGAAGCCTGGGTCGAGGGTACTGAGGTGGGAATTCTTCCCTGGCGTGAAGTTCGCATCGTCAGGCGTATACTCTGCCTTTGATTTCGTGACAACCATCTTGACCGATCACGCTCGCATAAGAGATGAAAGTTTGGGAAGGTATTTAGCTTACTGGCCAGGGCTATTTGTAAGTAACTTGTCGCAACGGAAATGCTGCCCCAGAGAAAGCTCGGCATGCGCTTGCGGTAGGCCTACTTCAAAGTACAAGGAGCCAACCAGAGAGTCGCGACTCCTGGATCCAACCGGAAAGAATAGAGACTGAACCCCGCCATGACCAATTTTCCGCTCCAGAATGTATTCGTTGGCGTTTTCGAAGTTGCAGGATTTGGGTTGGCGGCTATCGTTCTCCGGCACGATCATGTGGGGTTATGCGGAGAGTGCATGTTGATGAACGGCGTGCTGATATCACAGAATATCCAGCTAAAGCACCTCGGCGGCATCCATCCAGCAATGCCATCTTGTTGTTTATGTAGAAGGTTCTGCAGGTTCACCTAGATGACAGTCCACCCTGGATCTTTCCCCATCATAATGCGCCATACGTTGGCCGTCAAGGGTCGACGCCGGGGTTTGCTGGCTCACCAAGCTCCAATGTAGGTATCAACTGCAGCCTTTATGAGTCGAAAAAAAAACTGATAATCATTCCATCCTCGAATTCAGAGTAACTCCTTGCGCCGTCCCATGTCGTAACAATACCCAAGGTCGCCTACAACAGCTCGAAATCATCCAGCTTGTCCCGATACTTCATAACATTGTTCTTGATCTTGCTTCCCACGCTCCATGTCACAAAGTCTTCCGTCGTCCTTGTCACTAGGTATGCCGGGTCCGTGATCACGTCCGTGCCGACTCGCACATGACCCTGCTCGATCATCTTCGTGGCGGCCTGGACGTGCTCCGCCATGCGCAGCCTTGTCATGACCACCGGAAGCCTGCGTCGAGCAAAGGCGGAGACTGTGACGTTGTTCTCCACGAGGGACAATTTGGAGGTAGAGGAGATGATGCCCATGTCGTACAGCTTCTGGAGAAGGAGGGTTTCGTGTTTGCGACGGGTGGGATTTTCGGGCGGTAGAAGCGATAGCCGGTGGGCTAATTGTCTTATTGACTGCAAATGTCAGCATGCAATGCTAGAAACAGGATTCTCGGGCATTCATACACCACACAGTCGGTTGTACTTGTGATAGTCCTCCGGCTTCTGGATCATGTACCGCCGCGCTACGGCCTTGTCGCGGTGGTCATTGTCCTGCTTGTAGTTGATAAAATCAACCTTTCGCAGGAGCTTCTGCTCGTGATGCTTGAGTTTGCGGACCATGGTCGTTGTCTGGGCCGGGTTGATTGTGTATGTCGAGCAAAAGTATGAATACAAATGGTATTAGCAACGCTGGTGCCTTTGAAGATCGAAAATTTTAGTGGGGCCCGACGAGTAGCGTGATGCTACAGCCTACCCTAAAGCTGAGCGGAATACCAACGGGCGGATCATTCCGCCCGCGACACGGTAGAAATCTCCTAAGCTCCAACATCACGAGAATCCTCGTCAATGTGCCAACAGCCATAGCCAAGATGCTACCGCGATTCACAGCCCCTCGAGGGCTCGCCTCGTCAATCCGACAATTCTCGACCTCCGCTTCATCACTTGCTCCTCGCGAAGGCCCAGCGCCGACACGTCGGTCTACCACCGCTACCCTTTTGAACCTCAACAACTCCCAGAAACCCGACACACGTCGAGGCGACGCCGCCCAGCGCATTGTGCAGAGCACGCGCGCCCGCCAGGATGCCTCGTCCGCCAACATCTACGCCCTCACAGAAGCCAACAAGCAACGTCGAACGGCAGAAGAGTACATGAAGGACATGCCGAGACACTGGGTGCCTGGTGATGTGTACAGCCCGCACGATCTGAGTGGCGCGGAGATGGAGAAGACAAGGAAGAGGAACAGGCGTCGCGGCGATGTGATTGACGCCCTGGGCATCAGACCGCAGGATCACTACAAGGTATGTGGTTCCTTGTTCATCCTGGTGCGCCACGCCCTGCTAACATGACAGAACTTCTCCATGATCAACGAATTTGTGAATTCCACAAACCAGATTATGCACGGGCGCGTGAACGGCTTGAGGGCTGTGAACCAGCGCCGCGTGGCCAAGATGGTCAGGCGAGCGATTGGCATGGGTCTGTACCCGAGTACGCACCAGCACCCCGAGATGTTCAACAGGAAGTGGTTCCCGGATCAGAGGCAGGCGCCGGGACGTTGGGGAAATTAGGAGTGCATGCTCGCACCCTGATGCAAATGTACAACAGTTGGGTTTACTATGTACTTCTATAAACACACATACTTGTACACCATTTGTACAATCAGGCACACACCCTGCGGCTGATTCTATACTCGCACAGCCCGTGCTCATTCATGTGCTTCCTCTTCTTCAGCAGTGCTGTCCATTGGACGGGGTATTGTTGTTTTGCCCATTCCTTGAACGAGGCTTGTAGATCGTCCCCAGGCAGGGCGTTGAAGGCGACTCCGAGGCTGTGGCAGTACGTCAGTGATGGTTCATGGGTAGGGGAAGGGAAGAAACTCACGTCATTGCATCCGGTTCCACCCCAGTAAAGGACGCCATCTTTGTGACCAGACCTCTCACCTCCTTCTCGTCGCCTTGCGCCGAAATCACGCCAATGTAGTTGATGTAGACGTTTGCGGGCACCTCCAGATCCATGCTCTCAATCTTGGCCCAGATGTCTCTGGCCATCTTGGCGCCATCTGATTTCCTTTCCAGCACCCAGAACACAGCGGCCAGGGACCCATACGTCGGTCCCTCGGCAGAAAATTTGATCTCGTTCCAGAAGTCAAGGGCGTACAAGGGCCGCTCGCACGCTGCGTAGGCGAGCATGAGCGCCGTGTTGAGCCTGGTATCAGGTTGGATGCGCACATCCATCTTCAACATATTGTGCACGTTCTCTGTCCCTTGGCGGTCGGGATTGTTCGCAAAGCCCTCAAACACAGATACATAAGTGTCTATGGTCGGTTGCACATCCATGCGGGAGTGTTGCCGCATATGGCTGATGACGTGCGTCGCCATGTCGGGCCTCTTCCTGTCGAAGAAGGCACGCAGCACGGCCTCTCTCCTCTCGCGACTAAGGTCTTGGAAGAACTCTTTCATGATCTGATATGCGTTCCATGCGCGTGCTGTGCTGGTCTGCGGGTCAAGCGTGAACGACATGATGGCTTGCTGAACCAGATCTCGCTGGTCGCCACTGTATCGAAAAACGTTGGCCGAAAGAATGTCAAGAACGTCATACGTCTGTTCGTTTTCGAGGAACCGAAGGCACAGGGCTGCGGCTGTGTCGGGGTTGAGATGAAGCATCTCCTCCTCCATTACCTTGAGGATCTTCGAGATCGCCTTAAAGTCCACAGGCCGTTGCCGAGTCAGGTAGAGGAGGTACCTGTTGAGCAGCTGCGCATACTGCGCCCACGATTGCATCGGCGCATCAGGCTCCAATGCACCGGCCTCTTGGAATCTCTCAAAGGCCGCGTCAACGGTAGCTGGCGGAGACCCGGCTGCAAGATATAACGACATCAACCTTAGGTATGTCTCGGCATCGGTCCGTATCGACTCCTCGTTAGCGATGGCTAGAATCTCATCCGCCAGTCCTGCGTCCAGTGTGTCGCAAGCAACATCCAGCATGGCGTTAATGGTCGAAGTGTCCGCAGTCAATGGCCCGTTGGGGCCCTGCATACTCAGCAGGGTCTTCCGCACATTCGAGAGATCCTCGCCCATGAGCAGCATCGCCTGCAACACCACGTGCCAGTGGGTTTTCCTCGGTTGCCTTTCCATGAGCTCCTCGAAAAAGGGGTTGGCCCACTGTTGTAGCCCATTCCTCCGAGCGAAGCTTGCAACAGCATAGTATGTTTCAGCCCGGACCTGGCCCTCAATAGGCATTGGTTTGGCAAACCATTCCTTCCCCTCGGGAACCCTGTTGTTTTGCGCGTAGAACATGGTGATGATCTCGTGCAGTCGCGGGGCAAGCTGAAGTTCGTCCTCTTCTACCCGGGCGTATAGTTGGAGAAGCTCTTGCTCGTGGCCTTCCCTCGCTAGATCCTGTGCGACCTTTTCGATGAGCTTATTCTCTCCGCTGACCAGAGCTTTGTAATCCGCCTCGTTCCATTTTGCGTATAGTTCCTGTACAGCTTCCCGAGACGCCCCGTGGCGCGCCATGCCCAGGACCATGTAACTCCAACTCTTTGTCGAATCCTCTCTTTTCCCTGTGATTTCTTCGCTTTGCCATATCCGGTGCAGTGTTTTCGCTAGTTGGACATGCGCCTCGGACCGCTCATATGGCTCAATAAGTAGCAGCACTCGTCTCGCCGCGTCCAAGTCGGAATTGGCCAATGGTTTCCCACCCTCTCCTTCAGGGATTGGTCCCGCGAGCCATTCCAGCAGCCTTCGACATTGCATTGCCTGGGTAGCGTTCAACGGCTGGCCAGTCTTGATCTTGCTCGCCATAAGATCCCTCCACGATTGCAGCAGTTCTTTTCTGGGCGGGGGTCGTAGATTATCGAGCATACGGCTTCGCCAGAGCATGATCTTCATCCATCCCGGTTCGTATTCGGGCTGCCGCACCTCCCTAGGAGGCTTCTGGAAGAGAACGCCGAAGAAGTTTCGACATTGCGTGTGATTCGAGTGAAGAGTGTGGGGACTGAGATGCCGTCGTCGAGGGATTGGCGCGAAGAGGCTGTGAGAGGAAGAGGCGCGACGGACGACAAAGTGTCGAGCATGGCGGGCGACATGTGCCCTCATGATGGGTGAAAGCAACTATGTATGGGAAAGACTAGCATTGTTAGATCACACCAAAGTACCTGAGGGTCTGTATCCTTACTGAAGCATGTTTGAGTGTGTGAATTGATTCAATCAGACATGTCCTCGCGCCTGGAGCTTGCGATCAAGTCACCTCGGGTTTCCCAAGAAATCGAGGTCGGTCCCGTCGTGGGCCCATACCTGTGCTCGAGCTGCCTACTGTTTCGCCGAAAATCTACCGGACGGCATTAGGCCCAACGCCTTGTCAGCCACGTACATCTCCAACTCACGTCTGGCGAAAAGTCGCTGATTCACCCGCAGTTATGAACTCCGGGCGGCGATGCTGCGCTCTCGTACTCCGTACGGAATTACGGAATACGTATCGCAGTTGGACAACTCCGGTTTGCTCGCCCCGAGCGAAGGCTTTGGGTGAGCGCCGAGACTCAGAGTCCCGACTCCCAGACACACACCGAATGTGATGGATACGCTTCACGTTCCTGAGCTGCTCGATTTGAATGCTGAGATACGTCACCTAGAGTTCAGTATCTACCTAGCCGCGCTCGCAAGTGCCTCGTAGAGCCTCCACCTGGTGTTGTAGCATCGTATAATAGCTAGTTACCCCGCTCACCATCCTGCTACGGTTGCTTGCCCGTTGATGTTGCGCGGATCGAAGATGCCATGGTGGGGCTCAAGCGCCGATGATGTGGTCTGGGCTGCTGGGCATCTCAGTGCGCTCTCGTTGTGTGGCTCATCGTATATCTCCGTTAACACCGTCAAGTACCGACTATAAAGGCATCTGTCCCATCAGCGCGTCTTGCAGACCAGCTCGAACAGGATCACCTAACTCACCCCGGACAACCGCCACCATGCCACTCGTAGCAAGCAAGCTCACCAACCGCATCATCCTGGGTCTGATGACCTTTGGAGAGTCTGCTGCCGACGGTGCCCGCATCACCGATCTAGCCACCTTGAACAAAGCGCTTGATGTCTTTCAGAGCCGCGGCTACAATGAGGTCGACACAGCGCGCGTCTATGTTGGCGAACAGCAGGAGGCCTTCACTGCAAAGGCGGGCTGGAAGGAAAGAGGGCTCACCCTTGCAACCAAAGTCCGCTACCCCAAGGACCCTGGCGACAACGCTGGAGACAAGGTGATCAAGTCCGTGGAAGAGAGCCTCCAGGCGCTAGGCACGGACAAGGTCGATGTAGGTTCGCCCCTCTTTATGAGAGGGCCCCGAGACTAACATGGTGATGAGCTTCTATACCTGCACCGTGCGGACAGAGGAGTGCCGTTTGCCGAAACGCTCGAGGCAGTTGACAGGCTGCACAAGCAGGGCAAGTTCATCCGACTGGGACTGAGCAACTTCACGGCCTTTGAGGTCGCCGAAGTCGTGATGACCTGCCAGCAGAATGGCTGGGTCCGCCCCACGGTATACCAAGGAATGTACAACGCCATCACGCGCAACATCGAGTCCGAGCTCTTTGTCGCATGCAGACGCTATGGCCTTGATATTGTGGTCTACAACCCCATCGCAGGGGGTCTCTTCTCGGGCAAGATCAAGAGCCAGGATATCCTGCCCGAGTCTGGTCGGTTTAGCCACAACAATGGCGCGCAAGGCGAGGGATACCGCAAGAGGTACTTTAAGGATTCCACGTTCCAGGCGCTTAAGCTCATGGAGGAGGTGTCTGCCAAGCACAACCTCTCAATGATCGAGATGGCGCTGCGCTGGGTCGTTCACCACTCGCAGCTGAAAATCACGGATGGCAACGACGGGATCTTGATCGGCGTGTCGAGTGTCGAACAGCTGGAGCAGAACCTTAACAATCTGGAAAAGGGACCGTTGCCAGAAGAGGTGGTGCAGGCGCTTGATCAAGCGTGGACGATAACAAAGGCTGATTCGACAGTCTACTGGCACGGGGATTTGGAGTATACGTATGATACAAAGAAGGCGCTTTTTGGGGAGCGCCTGTAGTCATCTGAGCTTGCTAGAGACATAACAATTAATTAGCTGCTACGCGCATGAATCGCATGTGAAATCCCTCCTGATGAGAAATGGTCGTGCCGTCATGTCATCTGATTAGCGGCCAAGGGGCCTAGGGACTCAGGGGGCCCCATACTGCTGAGTCAGCACCCTGTTCGGGCTTCTGATTCGCTGACCGGGCGACCCGGACCAATGAGCGCACGTGGGGAAATACGCCGTCAACCGGGCCTCGAGGACCCCGTCCTGCACGTTGCCATCATCTGGCCTGCAAGGCGATTATTAAGGAAGACTGCACAAATCCTCCACCTTGCTTAACATTACCTTCACGCTTTGCTCTCGCCAAACTTTGGGTTTGATGTTTTGATACGCATACGAAGGACGGGTACATCGAATGCCGCCTACATTCCCCCGACGATAGACTGCAGGCAGTCGCGAAGCCGTTCCGCGTCTCCCTCGCTACTCGCTACCCTACCAGTATTCCTCCATTGGCGCCATGGCAGGGCACGCACCGCTGGATAGCGGCCACTCAGGTCAACCGCTTCTGTACAAGGCTGAGGAGCAGGATGGAGGTCCGCCTGGCTACAGTGGTGAGAATGATGTGGCCGACCACCAACAACTACCAAGCATGTCGGAACGCCTGTACGACGGGGGCGAGCAACAACGTCTATACGACGTAAGGCGGTCGGAAGAAGAGCAAGGGAACCCACCGCCTTCGAGGCCGACCTTTAGCAGAGGATCCACGATGCACAGTCGGAATCCGCGAGAAATTGCCGCTGAGAATGTCGCCAAGAAGAAATACACCTTTGCCGCCTTCTTTCTCGTCGTCAGCCTCATAACCTTCTGCATCCAGACCGAGCTGAGCGCGTACATCCAGAACGACCTTGGATGGGGGAAAGCATACTGTATGATGTACTTCACCCACGGATCATGGGTCGTGCTGTGGCCCGCGACTGTTGTCGTCCTCGAGCTTCAGAACCGAACGGTCCCATGGAAGGTGTTTCTGCGAAAGCACTTTGAGTCCCTCAAAGCGACCGCGACCATGGTGGAGACGAGATCGTTGGATGTCCACAAGCCGTCCGTCGCGCACAGGGCGGACCCCATACGCTACATGGCGAGGTACACTGCCATCATCACCACCGCATTGACGGTGGCAGGGTTAAGCTGGTATGTCGCCGTGGCGCTCACGACACCGTCCGATCTCACGGCGATATACAACTGCTCGGCGTTTTTCGCCTATGTGTTCTCGGTGCCCCTGTTGAAAGAGCCTTTGAGGCTTGACAAGTCGGTGGCTGTGATCATTGCCATTGGTGGTGTTCTGGTGGTAGCATACGGCGACAGCAAGGACTCGGCGGGTGAGGATGGCAAAGTCGACACTACAGCTGGCGGCCGTTTCATTGGGAATATCGTGATTGGCATAGGGTCGGTCTTGTATGGTCTGTACGAGGTGCTGTACAAGCGCTACGCCTGTCCACCCGAGGGTTGCTCCCCTGGCCGAGGAGTTGTCTTTGCCACGACCTTTGGATCGCTCATCGGCATCTTCACTCTCCTTGTTCTCTGGATTCCATTGCCTATTCTGCATTGGCTGGACATTGAACGTTTCGAGCTCCCTGATGCCCGCACTGGCGCGCTCGTGCTCTGCGCCGTTCTCGCCAATGCCACCTTTAGCGGCTCCTTCCTGGTCCTGATCTCGCTCACTTCCCCCGTCCTATCATCGGTCGCCGCCCTGCTCACCATCTTCTTGGTGGCCATTGTGGACTGGTTTATTACGGGCAAATCTTTGAGCTGGGCAGCCATCATCGGTGGCACTATGATCATCGTGGCATTTGTGGGTTTGAGCTGGAGTACATATCGGGAGATGAAGGAGCATGAAGCACAGAAGCTCAGTGTCGATCTATCGGACAGTGATCTAGAGGACGGTGAAGACTCATAGAACGACATACAATTGTGCATTTTGGCGTTTGCAGTTTGGCATTTGGGTATCATCATGGGTAGCTTGAAGGATGTTGGGCAGATCATTGCGTGTGCCTGGGTTGGGTAGGGGCTTCGAAGCGTTCAGTGGATTATGGCACGCGTCACTTGTATCTAGATCAGTGCCATACATCTTCATAAAGTGTGCCTCAACTTGTATGGCAGTGAGCACGATGCAACAATCAACCGTGGCCGTTAGTCGGTCCTTAGTCGCCTATTACTCTGTGGTAATTTCATGCAAGCCTGCCATCGTCGATGGGATGATTTGCTCCTTTCAATCTGCGCTGATGCTCGAAAGCAAGGCAACACACAACCCTTGGGCGACGTGCGATACAAGAGCCCATGTATACGTAGACAGTATGGTTAAGTATGCAGTGGTACCTGTACACTCAGGCAGTGAGGTCGTGAGTCGGAATGAGCTCCAGCAACGATGGCTGTTTGTGAATATCGGACGAAATATCAGTCACTGACTGATCGCCCGCTCACCATGTTCGCACCTGCCGAGGGCTTTCCTCGTACCTAACTCACGCTCACATACAAGCAGATGAAATTTTCTTCTTAACCTCCCATCTTCCACCCACCTCACCCTTTTCGCCACACCGCGGTGCGTTTTGCCTACCGCTAGCATCAAGATGACCTTAACATCTATGGACACCCTGCCAGACACCAGCGCGGCGACCACCCACTGGATTCACCAGCTAGGTGAGGGTCGACGTGCAACTATTGAACCCCTGTGGAGGAAATATCAGCAAGGCAGCTTCCCACTTGCATCTCCTACTTGTACCACAGCTCACGTGGAGCTGGTATCGAAGCACAATCTCCTCATCGAATCGACTGTCGATGCCTCTGGCCAGCCGTCGAGTGTTAGCGTAGAGAATATGGGTTCACCACATTCCCACGCTGGGGGTTTCATGGGCTTCCATCCTGAGAAGCGTTGCCTCGCGTTCAGAGGCGAAGCACGATTCCTCGAGATATTCCAGGATTTTGCGAGCAACTTTGTCAAAGAGGACCACATCGTCTCGGTCCTTCAGACGCCGGTTGAGGTTGATTTCCCACCTGAGGGTCTGCCTGCTGGTCTGGAGTTTGCGGAATTCGCAGGCAGGGTAGAGACTGTGGAATATGTAATGTGGTTGAAAGCGGCTGATGAAGACCATGGTAAGTCTTTCCGCCAAGACAATCTACTGATCTGACATGGAACAGAACCCGGGGCTGAGAGCATCACCGTGCTGGGCGTTACCCAAGGAGGCATCGAGTTGGACGTCAACGAGATCGAGATGGCAGATTCTATGCCGTGCGAAGCAGATACAACAGAGCTGCCAAGCTTGGTCGATGCTGGTATAGACGTTTGCTTGTCTTCGGACCCCCCCGAGTCAAAGTTCTTCAGCGAGGATGGGAACCCCCGACGCCCTACAAACATCAGTCCTCTGACGGAGGCGGGCTGTCTCGAGTCTCCAATTGCAGCACCAGCCGTTGGAACATCAGTCGCTCCATCGGTGGAGTTACCGCTGCCGGCCCTTTCGATAAGCGAGTCTGTTACATCTGCGCAAAACCCGCCACGGGTCCTTCGATCCACCGCACGTAGCGGAAGCCGTGGCCTGAGAAGTCGTGAAGAATCGGCCGACGAGCTCTCGCTTGGCCATGAAGACCCGAGACTCCCAGCAAAGAAAGGGTTCTGGGATCATAAAGAGAACGAGAAGCCGATGGTTGTTGTGTCGGAGACCGAGAATTGGACAAAGTATCCGCTACGAGCAAGCTCGCGAGCGCCAAGATCCTCCTCTGCTGTCAAGGAGCCAGCACCTGTCCTTGTGGCGGAGAAGATCACGGCTTGGAAGAAGAAGGGTACCGCAAAAGTCAAACGTGGAAGCGCTAAGAAGGGACGAAAGTGAATCTGGATCTATCTGTCAAGGGAAGGGAAGTGATTGAGAAAAATTCTGTGGCCATACAGACTCACGGAACCTGTCGCGAGATAATCGGAAACTGTCACTCATAGGCCTGCATTGTGGCAACCGTCTTGGTCGCTTGTATTGCTCGCTGACATCGTCGTCAGTACAATGTAGGTAAATGATCAATACAGAACTCCGTGCCGCTCTCCTCCTCTAGGGCCCATGCCGAAAAAAAGGGGTATCACATTCACACTCCACAAACACTGCCTTGGTCTCCTCAAAGCAGAAGCGCAGCCGCAACAGCAACGCCCGCAGCAACGACGAAAGGTGCTTCCGACCCGGCCGCAAGGTTCTCGTTTGGATCTTCGCCATCGCACCACTCGGAGTTAGGTCCAATAGGACTCTCGGGGCAATGCTCCTCCGCCTTGCTCATAATATCTGCGTGCGCAGTAGCCCAAGACTTTGCCTCGCTAGAGTAGCTGCTCCAAGCATCATACAGCGATTCTGGCAGCGTGTAGCAGCCTTCTTCTGTAGGCACGTCGATCGCCTGGATCAGGTCGGGATCAGGCGTAGGGAGAGAGTCGACGAACTCCTCGGCGGCCTTAACGCATTCGTCGCTCACGTCGCCGAAGGGGTTCGGGAAGAACGTTTGCCGGGGTAGGAGGAGGTGACGTTTGGCAGCAGGCACGGCTTTGAAGTCTCTTGTCGTTTTCGTAGGTTCTTCGGCCAAGGCAGATATCGCCAGGGCCAGGATGGATAGTACGAAGTGCATCTTGAAATGGTGTAGGAGGTCGTTCGTCATGCGCGTGGGCAATGCAAACTAGGAAACCCAAGGACAGACCCTAGTCTGGAGTCTCTGGGCGGCTTGCATTCCTTTTAACTCCTTTTATATCGGCGAACCACGCAAAAATTGAATCCTTTGCTGATCCTTCTTGGGCGTTGCTGCGTGCGCCGCATGCGCCTCGGAGATCCACAGGTCCAGGAGGAGCCTGGGACCAAGTTAAATCCTTGTCTTGTCTTCCACGAGGGGCGGATCACTGTCATTGCTGACTTTTCAGTCCCGGAATGGGTGTTTTTCGCAATTGTGTGAACATTTTCTTACGTGTTGGCGCAGCGTGGTCTGGTTCTGAAGAGGCAAAGATGCGTCGGGCGTCAGCCTGCCTGGGACGACATGACGTTTACTCCGCAGGCTGGCAAATAATGTGGTAGCGTGCCAGATGAAACGAGAAACTCTGAGAGGAAATGATAGCTCAACTCCTTAATTAGATGTTTGGACGTTTCAGAGAGGAAACCTGCCGATACGACGCATTTTGCTAATGTTAAGCATGTCGTGTGGTGAACCCTGGGCAGTTGACGTCAAAGGGACTTTGGCGGGCTATCCTTATCAGCAAATCGTCATGGCACTTGCCAACGCCATGCTGCTGTTCTGGGCGCCACTCAGGCACGGCACGGCTCACTTTGTTCAAGTTGTCACTCGAAGCTGCATCTCAAGTGGACTGGAGGTGAAGGGAGCTAGATATTTATTAAAAAACTTAGCGTTAGGCTTAAAAATAATACAATACCTATGTATTATTTTTTTAAAAAAAAATTTAACTTGAAGCTAAAATAAAACAATCTCTTAGGAAAAAAGGCTGCTGGACTGAAGTCACTGGACCAGCCCGGGGCCGTTGTCTAACGGGGCAACGACTGGAGGGGCAGGCGCGACCGGGATGCTCCACCGAGTCCGACTTCGGGCCCGAAAACACCATCACGAAAAACCTCATTCAAGAATCCCATTCTGTGGCCCGTGAGCTGGCGAAACATTGGCATTGCATTTGAAGCGGTCAGACACACCATGGACTCCTTCATTATCAAGACGCCCTCATCGAGCGCCAACATTGGCCCTGGCTTCGACGTCATTGGCCTCGCGCTCTCCATCTACCTGGAACTCCACGTTACTGTTGACCGAACAAAGACGTCTTCCAATGAGCCGCTGAACTGCAAGGTCACCTACGAGGGCCAGGGCGAGGATTCTGGAGACATCGACTTGGACCCACAGAAGAATCTGATCACACGGGTTGCGCTCTATGTCCTGCGCTGTCACGGACAGAGGTCTTTCCCAGTCGAGACGCATGTGCACATCAAGAACCCCATACCTCTGGGCAGAGGGCTGGGCAGCTCAGGAGCAGCGGTTGTCGCGGGTGTGGTGCTAGGCAAGGAGGTAGGAGGGCTGAACCACCTGACGGACGAGCGTCTATTCGACTACTGTCTCATGATCGGTGAGTAACCTAGGGCTGTCCACACACGGAACGTTGACTGACCCCACACGCAGAGAGGCATCCCGACAACGTGGGCGCTGCCTTGTTCGGTGGCTTTGTTGGCACCTATCTCAAGCCCTTGAGCCCCGAGGACACAGCTCGCACCGAGATCCCTCTGAGTGAGGTTCTGCCAGCACCAGCTGGTGGCGTCGACACGGGCGAGACACCCCCTGACCCGCCCCACGGCATTGGGCATCACATCAAGTTCCCCTGGACCAAGGAGATCAAGGCCATCGCCATCATCCCCGACTTTGTCGTCCCCACACACAAGGCCCGCGAGGTACTGCCCGAGAAGTACGTGCGACCCGATGTCGTCTTCAACTTGCAGCGCATAGCTCTGCTGCCGGTAGCGTTGGGCCAGTCGCCACCTGACCCAGAACTCATCCATCTCGCGATGCAGGACAAGATTCATCAGCCATACCGCCAATTGCTGATTCCAGGTCTCAATGAGATTGTGGATAGCATGTCGCCCAAGAAGGACCCTGGATTCCTGGGCGTATGCTTGTCCGGCGCAGGCCCCACGATTCTGGCACTGGCTACGCACGATTTTGAGACCATTTCCGGGAAGATTATTGCCAAATTGAGAGAGTTTAACGATGACAAGAATCTCAAGTGCGAATGGCAGGTGCTGGAGCCTGCTGAGGGTACCAAGGTTATCAGGGCCTGAGGTCTGGGCTCAATAATGATGTTATGATTCTATAGACACCAAAGATCTACCATGTCGAGACCAAAAGACTTGCTATTCGAAGTATTCGGGTACTGCTAGACGTGCGTCGGGCCACTTGGACTGTTTGTACCGCCCTTTCGTCATTCCGTCTCCAACAACTTGTAATCAACATTGGTTGGGAGACAGGGCAGTATGGCCACGTATTTTTGATACAGGCGCTGTGCCTATGATTTAGACGGCTTCCTTTCAATCTGAGGCCAAACAAAAACGCTTGAGATGTAGTAGTTAGTAGACAAATGTTGACCCAGGGGCCAGGGGCAGAGTGGCCAATTTGTTGAGATCTATATCTGCCCTACCCTAGAGTCGATTTAGGTACCTTACCCTGATAGATCAACAGATCTACGGCTGGTGCAAGTCGATCATCATGTGGAGCCCGTCCCGGGTCCCTGATCCATCGACCAAGTCTCAATTTTCGTGATCACGAATACCTCGGCTCACGAGTATACCCACCCCGACGTCTCCGAGTCGATTTTCTTTTTTGTTGTTAATAATTGACCAGTCCCTCTCTTTGCGTATTCCTACATGCCCGGCTTGCAACCCATTTGCTCGACCAGTACCCTCCTTTGCTATCTTCGTGCCGTACCTCTCTGGCTCTTTGCCCTGATCTGCATCGCGATCATCCCACTTCGCGCCTACTTTGCGCGCAACACTGCCCATCGTGGCGGTCCGAAAAAGCACTGATAAAATGGCGTCGGCGTCGAGTCGCGTGGACGCCTTTGCGCTGTTTGTCCCCGTGGTGGTGCCGTTGATACTCGGCGGCGGAGGTTATGCTGCCTACAAGGTGGACTGGAAGATGGCCATCACCCACTTTCTGACTGGACCGGGCAGAACGTCGAGGATCCTCTTGCTGTTCTTCTGCTGGTTCAACTGGAAGAACTTGCCCTTTGCGTGGACGGTAGGTCTTGGGTGGCCTCACTATCTTCCTCAAGTTAGCTAACCATGGAATGGCTAGTTCCGCGTGTTCTACACCATCATGTACCATCACTTCATTCGCAAATCCCCGCCACTTGGCCCACGGGCCCTGTACAAGCCCATGATTTCGACTACCAGGGCCCCTCTCCTCGAGATCGACTACAACCTCCACAAATCCAACAGTACCTTCTTCACTGACCTCGATGTCTCCCGGTCGCACCTTGTCTCGTACCTGCTTCGCTCCACGATGCGCAAGCTTACCCACAACAGCCGATCGCGCCTCGTCCTCGACCCCAAGACCAAGGAACCGGTGAATGGCCCATTGGGTATCTTGCTCGGCGCTGTGACGTGCAGCTTCAAGAAGGAGTGCCCGCCGTTCAAGCAGTACGAGGTATGGAGTCGGATTCTGTGCTGGGACCGCAAGTGGCTGTACGTGATCACCCACTTTGTGCCCAAGGGCACTGCGAGGCCGACTGAGTGGCTGGACCCTTCGTTCCGTGGTGTCAAGGTCCGTGGCGGGCAAGATGCCACAGGCGGCTGGGAGCGCAAAATCATTGCGACGGCGATCAGCAAGTACGTCTTCAAAGTTGGACGTCTGACCGTGAACCCGGCGCTCATGCTCTCCGATGGCGGGATGCTCCCTGAGCGCCCGGGTGGCTGGATGAGCGGCGAGGCGCAGGTCGGCGACGAGAGCGTCGACCTGAGCGACGTCGACTTGGACAAGGACGGAGAGTGGGATTGGAGGCGCGTCGAGGCTGAGAGGAGGAGGGGCATGGAGCTTGGATCCAAGTTCCACGAGCTTGACAAAGCGCACGACCTGTTTGACGGCGGAAGCCAGGGCGCTCTCCGAACGGCGTGGCCTAACTAATCGAAGGAGGGAGGAGGCACAACACGGTAACATTTGCGAATGGATCTTACTGATAGAGATAGACATAGATATGCATAGACTGGCCAGACCAAAGGACCGAAATGACACAAATACAGTATATTCCAGTAACCCATAGACGCCTTGCCTCGACTTTTCCTCCTTTTCCAAATTCAACCACTTGTCGTTACAGAGCCGCCGCGGCAGCAAGAAGCACAACGCCGACTATTCCAGCCCCATATGATGTAGCTGAATCTGGTGTTGGTGTGCCGACAGGCTCACTTGTCGTTTCGGGGACAGTCTGGCTCGTTGAGGGAGTGGCTTGAGCAGTTGTGCCCGCGGCAATGATATCGGCGCAGATGCCAGCGACAGCAGCAGCAGTGTCTGGGCTCGTTAATAACGACAATTGGTTCTCGAGCAACGTGGTCGCCACAAAACATGGAGAGTCTTACCGGTGATCTCCTCAAAGGAGCAGCCATCCGAAACGAGACAGGGCGAGACCTCTGCGGTCAATGCCTCAATATTCCGGCATTGACATTCTAGGTCGGTGATCGCACAACCGAATTGTTCCACGCCTTTGACGATACACGACAGTGAGCACGGCGGCAGCTTCTCCTGGAGAGCCTTGAGGTCGGTCGTGGTAGTGGCTCTGGCAGCAGCGGCGAGCACGACGATGAGAAGGCGTCGTCTCATGGCTGGCGATGGATGGAGCAGTAGGTAGTACAGATAATCTGGGGACGGAGGTTTGGCTTCTTGTGGATGAGAAGGGTAAGGGGACTTGAAGTAGGGCGATGGAGTCCCACATGGAGTGACACCTTGCGAATACTGTAACGTCAGGTACAGACCAAAAGAAGAACGGCCGGCTAAATGTGATACTGGGGGAGCAGGGCTACGGCGAGGGTCTCGATCACAGATGGATGGGTGGTGTCGACTCGTGAATAGTTACCCCGTTGGGTAATTAGGTGTATTATGAAGCAGCCACCCTCAGGTACCCAGCCAACCGTTTTCCCGATATTGGCTATTCGTGTCTTTGGAAGCCAAGGCATCTTCAGCTGGTCGCGAGTCAGCAAGTCAGTGACTCGTCCTACCCTGCCTGGATCTCGGCGCAGAGAGACTCACTGCAGAATCGATCTTGATACGGTCAAGTAATTATTACTTCTGACCGATTGGGTCCAGTGCAGAAGAGTCAAGGCTGGAGGGATCAGCCGAGACCGGACTGAAACTGTTGGGAGTCTTCAAAGTTGAAGCCACCTCGAGGAAGTGTGACTGACCCCTGTCTTTATGCATGTGGTAGCCAGCCCCTGCGTCGTCAACATGCAGTGACTTACACCAGTTGGCTTACGCGCCGGCTAACTCGCCTGACAGCCAGCTTCAGCCTTCAGCCTTCAGCCTTCCTGCCCCACGATTTTGATGTCTCCCACCTTCTCCAGACTAATTTGGTCATCACCGCCAGGGGAGGCATCGAGATATGGACTTGCAGTACTGCTACAGAGCTGATACAGCGTGGAAGATGGAGGACAGACTGCCCTCAAGAACCGTGCTTGTCCTTTGCAGAAGCGACACAATGAGCAAGGCAGCCAGCCACACCAATGACAATACTGGCCCCGTTGTGACCGCGTCTTCCCCCTGTAAAATGACAAAGAGTCGTCACGTCGACATGCCAAGCCAGATGATTTTGTGCAGATGAGTTTGGTATTGGACGTAAGAAAAAAGCCATTTGCTGAATTGCTCACGCTATCGACATAGTGCGAAGAGAGAACGTGATGCACTGGCACCTGATTCACCAATGAACTATGCGGGCTCTGGTTGTGCACGCCAAGGTCGCAAGGAGAGGCGCGAATACGCAGCCAATTATGGTACAAGAGGGGACAGTCTACATTCGAAAGAATCGCCATCGCAAGGCAGAATGCCACTCGCGCAGCCGGGGAAGGAAAAAAAAGAAAAGAAAAGAAAAGACAAGATTGTCAAAGTTCTCAGAGACTGTGTAAACATGGTCCGCATTGGAAGGGATCATGATGATCCCAATCCTCAGTGCTTGACTCTATGTATAGCTTCATCACAGAACTTCGACATCACAGGTCCTTGTAAACAGCCCAAACAAGGAGACGTCATCTCGGAGAGAGAAGAGGCTTCCCGCGAAGCCCAGAGTGTAAAAAAGTGAGAATCAGTCTCCCAGCCAGGCCGTCGCCAGGACCAGTGATCGACCCAACGAACGAACGCCCCCTCGCCTCGAGAATGAGCCCCATCGAGTAACCTAACTGCAAGATGCAGTCAAGCAATCGCATACCTATCAACCTCGACAAAAGATCCTCTCCGCCCGTTACCAGCAATTCCACATCACCGACACGGCTCACATGCCATCCATCCCCTCACACCACACGGCACCCCCAGCACTGCGCAAACCCACCAACCTGACGCGGACTCGTATCCTCATCCATAGGTGGCCAGACGGCAGGTTCACACAGGTCCGGGGATATGATGGTGCAAGAAGGACAGATGTAGCGGCATGAAGGGCGCGATGGTGGACCTGAAGGCCTAGGTCAGGGAGAGGTCAGCCGCTGTGCTTCTATGGCGGCGCGTTTCCGCACATCCTCTTCAGAGAGAGGAACGTCCGGGGACTTTCTCCCAAAGCTTCTGTGGGAGACGCTGGGCAGAGCCCAAGTGTCTCTGTATGTGAGCTTCGAATAGCGATTTGTCGAGCGAGGGGGAGTTGGAGAGAAACGGAAAGGAAAAAGCGAGGTTCGGAGCGCTGCAGAAAGTTTTATTGTAGCGTGTGGGGCGGTGATGGTGTGGATCACGTGATCGCGAAATGAAGAGCATTGGGCACCTGAGGTAGTCACTGCATTGAACATTCTAGGTCAGTCTGGAAGCCTTTTGAGTCAAAGAAAAGAGTGAAAACTGACCTCAATCCAATTGCAACAAATGTTTGTGATATCCAACGTGAAGTGCTTGCTGTAAGTGTCGCTTTTCGCAGGACATTGATGCTCTGCAGCCTGCAGGCAACGGATGGGCGTAGGTGCCTAAATTAGTGCAGGGCCTAATTCTGTCGCTACAATATTTCCCAGCCGCCAAGCCTCGCGCAGCTTCAACTCTTTTTGAGCTCCAGCCTTGCTGTGCCTGACCTCATCGGAAACCATCTCCTTCGTGATCAAAACTACTCGCCTGTCTTTATCGATCTTTCTCGAGTCGCCCACTAGCCGACGTCAGTCGAGTCACCCCCGGGCGCCTTTGCGTCTACAACCACCGAACCATCTCGAGACCGATTACAAAACGACGACAATGTCGGGCCTCTTTGGCGGCGGATCCACCACATCGGCTGCGGCCAGCAACCAGACGCAGGGCGATCTCAAGAGCGATGTGCCTCTCAGCAACCCGCCGACCGACTCTATATCCGACCTCGCCTTCAACCCGGGGCAGAACCAGTCCGACTTTCTCGCCGTGGCCTCGTGGGACAACAAGGTGCGAATCTACGAGATCAACGGCCAGGGACAGTCAGAAGGACGGTATCAGTATGAACACTCGCAGCCCGTGCTCAACGTCGACTTTTCACGCGATGGCACCAAGATTGTGAGCGCGGGCGCGGACAAGAGCGTCAAGGTCTGCGACCTCGCGTCCCAGCAGGAGATTGTGGCGGGGACGCACGACCAGCCCGTCCGCACGGCGCGCTTCTTCGAGGCGGGCGGCAACCCCATGGTCGTGTCCGGGTCGTGGGACAAGACGGTCAAGTACTGGGACATGCGGCAGCAGGGGCCTGCGGCGACGGTGCAGTGCCAGGACCGGGTGTACGCCATGGACGTCAAGGGAGACCTGTGCGTGGTCGGCACGGCCGACCGCTACATCAACGTCATCGACCTCAAAAACCCGCAGAAGATTTACAAGTCGATACAGAGCCCGCTCAAGTGGCAGACGCGGGTGGTGAGCTGCTTCACCGACTCGGCGGGCTATGCTATTGGCAGCATCGAGGGTCGGTGCGCGATTCAGTACGTCGAGGACAAGGACGCCAGGTATGTTGCTATTGGAATTCCCCTGTCCTTGCCCGCGAGGCACGCAAAGCAGAGAGACTCACACGTGATGACAGCTCCAACTTCTCGTTCAAGTGCCACAGAGACCCCGCCGTGAACAACACCGTCAACGTCCACGCCGTCAACGACATCTCCTTCCACCCCGTGCACGGCACCTTCAGCACCGCCGGTTCCGACGGCACCTTCCACTTCTGGGACAAGGATGCCAAGCACAGGCTCAAGGGGTATCCGAACGTGGGCGGATCCATCACGGCCACGGCGTTCAACAAGACTGGTTCCATTTTTGCCTACGCCATTAGTTATGACTGGAGCAAGGGGTACCAGAACAACACGTCGAGCTATCCTACGAAGGTCATGCTGCACCCGATACAGGGAGACGAGTGCAAGCCAAGGCCATCCATGAAGAAACGGTAGAGAGGCCCAGCTGAGCAAGGAGAGGGAGGACGATGTGGACTCGACGGCAGGGAAGGGAACAACAGGCTGAACGACGAGATATGCCACAGGATGGAGCAGCGCGGCAAGGTTCGGTACATTACGAATAGCAAAATGCGCCGGTCACTGGTGTGGAGAATTGAGTGCGTAGTGGTGGGCACGGTCTCGCCGTCCCAAGATAAGGCAAATGTAGTATTAAGATATAATGCCGGATTCGGTTGATTACAACGCTTTAAGTGACCAAGACAAATGCGTACGTCGTGTCATAATATGTAAAGTGAGCCAAAAACGCCAGAGGGCCTTGAGCAACCAAAGAAAAAATGTCCGAACCATCCTGCGCACGTCACGTCTAAGCAGCCCTCTTGGGCTGCGCGGCGGACGTGGCGCTGATGACCTCGTCCACCATGCCCTTCCAGAGGTCCCTGAGCATGCCGCCCGCCTGCTCCTCGCCCTGGGGGCTGACGCCGTCGTGCACAAAGCGCACGTCCGCGCGGTGCATCTCGCCAAAGGGATTGGCGGAGAGAACCTTGTCTGGGTTCACGGCCAGGATTGTGACCCGTGGTTCCTCGAAAGAAGCGTCCGTCGCCTCGGCGCTCGCCAGGGAGTAGTTGTCCGGTAGGATGGGGACGGTGGGCTTTGACGGGGCGGGCGCCTCGTTGAGGAACTCAAAGGACGGCAGGACGGCGGCGTCGACATGGGCAGAAGGCGTGCGTGTGATGGCGGACGAGGAGAATGTCTGCATCAATGGCTTGGTGCGGTTGGCGAGGGAAGGCTGAGGCGTAGGGCGGTGGGTGGTGGTGATGCCACGAGAGGACTACGACATATGGTCAGCGTATTGTTCATCCCTTATACTGTAGAGCTGGCGTATTGTGTAAATCAGAACATACATCAGTGTGCTCGCTCAGCCGATTGCGGAGCAGCTCGGCGTATTTGGGCGAGATGGTAGCGCCCGCATTGGTGCTGTGCTCCAAGGTGCTTGTCGAGACGGCACGCGCGGTGGCCGTGCCGTTGAGGGCGCGGGCGAGGTGTTTCGCGGGAGCAGTGACACGGGACATGTTCTGGCTGATGAAGATGGGATATAGAAATAGACCGAAAGCTGGCGATGATAGGGAAGCAGGTCAGAGAAGGTGATAGGGAGACTGAGAGGGCGGAATGGAGAGGGGAAGCTTGGGGTTATATGGCTGGCTGGACGGGCTTGATATGGATGGACGGCACTCCAACAAGAGGGTGTGAGGTGCAGGTACGGTAAGGTATGGTAGTACGACTTGAGGGCGGCACGTTCGGAACGAAAAGCAGCTGGAGGCGGCGGCGGCGGCACGACAGGCGGGCATGGCTTATATAGGATCATGGGAGCAACGGATTGGCATTGACTGTCTGGATCGGGCAGTATTCGCAAGGCGAGGCCATGTCAATTGGGGAGATAACAACAACACAAAAGGGGCTTGACAAGTCTCGGTGAGGCTGTGGCAGGTGGATCATGCCGTCTGTCTTGTTGGGGCCAGGCGGGTGAAGAGTGGAGAGCTATACGCTGCCCCACGTGAGTAGCGTCGAGTCAATTGAGTTGGCCTACGCTCTACTTGTATTTACATGTACAGTCGAATGCCAGATGTTACCTTTTGTACAGCAGAGATAGGCACTCATGCCAGAGAAAGGGCCCGTCCGTCACTGAGCCACGGTGAGGAGGCAGCCCAAGAGGGCAGCACAGGATAGTGAGCGCAGTCCACTGCCAGTCGAGGGCTCGAGTCAGACGTGGGCTTGGACAGAAACGCGGCAAGATAAGTCGCCTGCAGCTACCAGATCGAACTTGACGAATGAGTGCTGTGAAAACATTCTTCAGTCTTTACTAATACAGCCTAAGGTACGAAAGTTTCATGCTTGCATCCTGGAAAGCTTATAGGCCTAGTGGTCACTGGTCAGATCGGTGAGTTTGAGAATTGGGTCTATCAGATGCTCCCGCGTCGAGACAGATTGATGGTTGATAACTTGAACCAGTCCTGGCACAAATAAGTCAGTCCGTAGTCTCAAGTTGTATAACAGCATCTTCGCAACACGGCAGCAGAGGTCGCGTCCTCGAAGTCCATGTCCATTCAATTACTCGGATTCCAGACCTCGATCACTATGAACCGAACGATACCTGTATGCACCCCACTGCCCCTCCACTGGCGGTGTACGCGAGTCCGTGACCGTACAGCAGCTCAGCAAGTCACAAGGCCAATTCAACAGATCCGCGACCGGACCCCAGGAATCCACATGCACGCCAGCCGCGCATGCAGGCTGCAGCTGCCGGTGGTCGGTGCGATCTTCATTCCTCACCGCCGCCGTTATCTTGTAATCCGACTCAGTCTGCGTACGGAGTACATACGTCCACGACGACTTGCACTTGGAGGGACTGGACTGCTACGTAGCAGGTCCAGGTTCAGGGCGGTTTGGGACGTGGCCCGGCCCTGTCCGCAGCAGACCGCCCCAAAGACCGCCAAAGTTGAGAATCCCATAGTAGTACCAATTGAATTGGCGATTGTGGATCGGCCACGGGACTCGTAATCAGGGGTTGTGTCAACTGAGCCAGATCACAGATGATGGACATTTGTTGTGGTCGCTTTCGTACATGCACCAGCGCAGATGCCAAGTTGACAGCACTGGGGAAGATCAATTATAACAAAGCTCCTCAGCCCACCGTATATGTATCGATCTGTCCGTGTCACCGTGTTCCAAATCCAGAACCCACGTGTGGACAGATGCGGGATTCGAGCATGGTTGCCAATTGCGCGGGCGCTGTCGTACAGCTGACAGCTCCTGGCGTCTGCAAGACTGCATTCGTCTGTCATCTGCTGTCGCTCGCCTCTGCCCTTGTTCTATCTTCCACATCACGCAAAGCTCCTGTGGCGTTCCTGAAGAGTTCGAGCTTCCGCCGGGACCATCCTTCGAACCCCAAGAAGCAGCAAGTGTTGACGGAATTGGCACAGACGAAACAACACTAATCAATCGAGACTTCGGTCGCGAGGGCTGGCTAATAACTGGCTGCGTGCCTGGTCGAGAGCGGGCCGTTTCCTCGAGTCCAACAAGTCATGTCGTCATTGCCGAGCGGAGTCTGCATCTCGCGCCCGCGCAAAGGGAGCGAGGAAAATGAGCACTCGACGCGATGCCATGACAAGCCCGTTCTTGAGAGTTGAGCGTTTGTTGATGGCCAAGACCACCAGCCTGCTCCGGTTCACAGCAGAGACACCCGACGCTCTGGGCAGAGAAACTGAACGCATTGCGACATGGTCACATGGTCCACCCACCCACGCGCAACAAACGTACGTACGGCTTGCAAGTTGGACCCTGAATCTGGAGTCTCATGAAAAGCCGATCGCGCAACGTACCTGACGGACGGAGCCCCACGTGGGTGGATAAGTAGGTATTTCTAATGTACGTACGTAGTCTGGCCATCGATATTGTTCGGTGGCCGGCCTACTACTTGTACATACTTCCCAGCATCGTCAAAGCCCTCACTCCACATACTACCTCGTTCAGCCAAAGCAGGCATTGCCCGTCGCAATGGCCGTCCACAGCGCGCAGCCACCGCCTGTCCCAGACTCACCAAAAGGTACTACGCATCATCTACCAGCAGAAGAGGCACTGGACTAACAGTTCGCGCAGTCTGGGCGTCGCTCATCACAAACATGTCCTACCTCCCAGGTCTTCTCACCCTTCACCACACCCTCTCCAAGACGTCCTCTGCCTACCCCTTTGTGGCCATCATCACGGCCAGCCTGCCTGCCGCCGCCGTCGCTGCCCTCCACAGCCGCCGCATTCCCACTGTCACCGTGGAGCCTCTGCTGCCCTCTCACGCCGGGAACTACGCCAATGACCCGCGCTTCCGGGACACATGGACCAAGCTGACTGCCTTTGGCCTGGACCAGTTTGAGCGCATCGTCCTGCTGGACAGCGACATGCTCATCACGAAGAACCTGGACGAGCTGATGGACCTCGAGCTCGATGCGCCCCCGCGGCACCATGGCTTTGACGGCGGGCCAGGCGTCGACGGCGAGACAGCCCAGCTGCAGGTCAAGAACGAGACCACCGGCCGGCGGGTTCTGGCCGCCAGCCCGGCCTGTACCTGCAATCCCGCCCACAAGAAGCACTACCCTGCCGACTGGGTGCCGGCGAACTGCGCGTACACCTCGCAGCACGCCACGCCCGACCTCGCGCAGACCAGGGGCCCGGAGCGCGCGCCGCTCGGGGTGCTGAACAGCGGCCTCCTGGTCGTGAACCCCTCCAAGTTCTACCTCTCGCAGATCACCACCGCCCTCGAGGACCCGGCCACGGCCGACATGGCCTTCCCCGACCAGGACCTGCTGGCGGACCTGTACAGGGATCGGTGGGTGGTCCTGCCGTATATCTACAACGCGCTTAAGACGCTGCGTTGGAAGGGCGTGCACGACACGATCTGGAGACAGGACGAGGTCAAAGTGGTACACTACATCTGGAGTCCCAAACCGTGGTCAGAGAGGAACGAGGACGGGGCGTGGGCACCCAGCGATGAGTCGCACGCGTGGTGGCATGAGGCGAACGAGGCCAGACATGCCGAGGAGAAGCGGCTCGGCTTATATGATGGCCACTGAGAGGAGGTAATCGCATGGATGGCGTGTTGGTGAAGGCGTGCAAAGCGATGTTATGTAAAAAGTAGTAGTATGCTCAAGTTTGAAATTATGTACGTAGCCCGGCTCCTATAACACAGTCTAGACAAGTTCTGAACCAACGTACATGCAATGAAGAATGCATCTGGTGTATCATCGTCCTACAACGCCAGCTTCCCAAATGCCAAAAAAAAATCAGAATTGTTACTCAACTCTATCCCAACGCCTGAATTCAAGCAGTCAAATCAGTCTTCATGTCGTTAAAGGTCGTCAGCCGTCATATGCTTTATCGCTTGTATTTCTGCGAGTGTCAGTATGTCTCTCAGACAATTCAAATGCAGTGTATGCATGGGAGGGGGGGACTCACGTCTTCGACCCGCCTGCGATGTTCGGGGTCAATGGTGTTCGTCGCACCCATCAGTGTCTGCCCAATCGCCTTTGTCACGCCCACGGCGGGCCTGAAGATGATGGTGGGCGCTCTCTTCCACACGGCCTTTGCAGCGCCGCCGGCATTCTGGCTCTGCATGACCTCGCCCGGGACAGCAATGATGGCGTCTCGCGCCGTCTCAATGTCCCTAGCCAGTGACCGATACCCGCCCTTGAATCCTTGCATCACATTCGGGGCCGGATGGGCATATAGCGAGATTTGTCTCTTCTCTTCGGGGACCTCGAAATCTTCCTCCTCCCAGTGCCCTTCGTTTTGGCGTTGCTGCTGCTCTTGGTCCGTGAGGAACCCTTCGGCTCCCTGCAACGCGTACTGCGTCCCGATGGCAATCTTGGCACCAAGCTTGATGATCTCTGTGCCGGTCGTGCGTACAAAGGCATTGGCGCCCTTTGAGAAACTGCGGAGTACCCTTCCATCCTTCTTGTACTCTTTAATCGGGATCTCGATCAAATCTCGGAAGCCTCCGCCAATGGTGACGAGCGATCGCACAGGCGCCAGCCCAGCAAGTACACCGGGTAATTGCTCCTTGATGACATCTGGGGTCCAGATGCCGTTCAGCGTCTTTCCCAGCCGGTCAAAACCGGGCACACCGTGTAGAATGACATGCCGCAGCACCAGATTGGCCTGGTCCAAGGTCACGAAATTCATAAACTCAGAAGTGTGCCCCGAGCGAAGTCCGGCGTAGTCGACACGTTTCGGCTTGAAGTCGAGCTGAACGGGGATCGGAAGCACCTCGGCGCGCTGCACAAAGGGGATGTCGCTTTCGGACGCATGCACGGGCGCGCGATCATCCTTGAACTCGAAGAACCGCGTGATGAAATCCAGGGCATCTTGGTCGACGTGCAGACGCACAGGGAGGACCTCCACACGTAGGACGAATTCGGCCACGGGAAGCTCACGAACGGGCTTCACGCTCAAAAGGTCAAGATGCACCATGGAGGATTTGGCCGATCGGGGTCCCGCATCTCGGTCGTAGGTGGCAAACTTGCGCCAGGTCGAGGTAGGTACCTGATCGATAATGTCCAGGTCTGTGATCCGAATGTCCATGCTGGTTTCCGTCGAACTCGACTCAGAGGGGTACACGAACAAGTGGGCGTTGATGCCATGCAACTCAAACGAGATTTTGTGATGTCTGCTGCGCTTGAGCTTCAGGCGACGCGGCTTCTGATGAGACTGCCGGATGGTCCGGTCTGATGCCCCAGTCATGGTGGTCGCCGCAACGGATTCCGTCTCCGTGGTCGTGGCATTGTCGTTGAGCTCCTGGTTAATCGCTCTCGCCAGTTCTTGGGGATCTTGATCCGCCGAGACGCCAATGTAGATGGAGTTGAACAAGAAGTCGGCAATGGCCTCGTCGTCGTCGTCCCCCTGCTCCTGTTCTAGAGGTTGCAGCCTGGCTTGACGTTCCATGGCTCGGTGCTCGATTTCCCCCACAGCGTGCGTAATAGCATCACGGGTATGAACCCAGTCGTACCCATCAAAAAGGTTCCATACAACACCTGCGTCTTTGACTACCAGCTTGAGTGGGCATCGCTTGACTGTTTGCTGGAGAGCCGGTTCCATTTGGTTTGTTCGGGAATCCCAGACCTTGGCAATATCATGCCGGCCGCTCGGCACCTGCTCGTAAAAGTCGTCTCGGATGGACAGAGACTCGCCACTGCTGTGGGAATCCGTGCCGGTCTGAGACTCGAGCCCCTCGAACGACACGTCGGCTTGGTCTCCCTGCGCCGAGGCACCTAGCGACAGGCCGGACGACTTCAAAGCATCAAACATCTCTTCGCCAGCATCCACGTCTTCGATTTCATCAAAGTACTTGGATGCAACGGGTATAGAGCCTTCCGAGCCAAAATCAATATCGGAACTGCTGCCAGCAAGCTCCTGTGCGCCAGCGAAGTCCTGATCGAAGTCATATTCACCTTCGGGCTTGCCAAAGGCTTCACCGGAAATGGAGGCGAGCATCTCCTCGATCGGCACGACACTGGTCCTGTACTTGATTTCTCTCGTAGGGGGCGTCGGTGGTTTCAGGGCATTGATGAGCGTGATGAGGGTCTGAGTCGAATCGGCACAAGTCTGTAATACGACCAACTGGTTGGTCATGTCGACTTCCACTTGCGACTCTTCCGGCCCCGAGCGAACGTCCACCACGATAGAGAGGGACGACACGTAACAGATGTCGGCGAAGCCTTGGGCGCAAAGATCAGACACCTGCTGGGATGCCGTAGAGGTTGCTCGGCGATGTGTTTTGGACTGGGCCCGGCCGGCTGTGAGGTGCTGCACGTCGTCTATGAGAAGAACGGACGCCTTGTTGAGGTTGACAACGGCATGCGTCTCTTGATCCTTCGGTAGCACAACTTGCACATTGGCATCGGTCAAGGCAAGCAACATCCTGGCGGGTGAGTCCAAGGGATTGAGCCCAACGATGCAGTCGTACAAGGCAATGTCGAGTGTCGTAGGTTTGGTGGCGACTGACTTGCCTCCCGAGTCGGACGGGTTCTTCAACGCCAGTTGAGCTTGTTCACCAAGGTTGGCAACAGAGGCCGCAAGCCCAGCTTCAAACTCCTGCGGCGTTGCGTCTTCCTTGAGCCCTAGAATATCCATGACAAAGGGCACCCGATACTCCAAACCAGCTCTGTGCAATTTGAGTTTAATGACTGGTTCGATTTCATCCCCGATTATGCGCATCATGGCGACTGGGCCTTGGTCTGGCCCAGATGATCCATCGGCTGGGCATCGTACAAGTTCCTCGACGCGGTTCCGCTTGATGCACAGTCCGCACACAGAGCCCGCGACCAGAGACGGGAATGAGATGTGAGCCACGTCAAGTCTCTCAGCTGTCAGCTCAAAGAATCCCAGTTTACTCCCGCTGTCCGCCGTAGCCTTCAACTTGTGGACCTTGGCCATTGTCAGCAGCCCTGGGCGGTCGTCCTCAGGTAGATATTTGGCTACTGTCGAAAGCTTTGCTAGATCCTCCCCGAGACTAGGCAGAACAGAGAGCTGCGCCATGTTCTTGATATCCACAGTCATTATGTCGACAGATGCCCTCAGCACGGACCCCTTCCGCCGTTGCCGTAGCAGAGTATCGACCATGATCTCGTCGTTTTCTCTGTCAAAGTGAGCTTTAGACGGCGTGATGAGTCCCAGTAGCCTTGTCAGGTCATCTTCGGTTGGTATACTCAAGAACTCAACCCTGATAGTCTCTAACCTGGTACTGAATGCCGGATCAGCTTTTGACGAGGACAGGTATGGACCATCGAGACGAAAGTCGCTTATCCCTGCTCCAATGGCATTTTCACGCGCGATGATCTTGACCGCGCTTGATCTAGCCACGACACTGCATTCTTTGCCCACGAGTCGAATCGAAGACCCCCCAAAGCGCATATTGAACTTGCTTTCGGCGACCGCGGCTTTATGACCCGGCTCCAGCGGAGGTTCGAAACGGACGCCCCTGACTTTGGGCTTCGATTTCTCCTGCTTAACTATCGGAGACTGGGCAGATGTCATCGAGGAGCTCATGTTAAGGAAGCTACTCAGACCCCCAAACCACCCAAATGTTTCGTCCAGTTTCTGAAGGTCAAGCTGCACCACCACAGGGAGGGTCAAAACCTCAATGGAAGTGTTCGGGCCAAGCTGGGTCATAGTGATCTCGACATCACGACCGGAGGCGGCAAGGGTATCACGGACGGATGTACTCATAGGCTGCGTTTTGTCAAACGAGACAATGTGGCTTGTTGGGTAGCCAAATTGGAAAGTCTTGAGGCCGATGTGGGTGGACGTCTTGGTCTTCTCCGCCGGCTTCAACTTGTTGTTTGTGGTCGGCGACAAGCCATGAGTTGTGGTGATATGCAGCTCTTTGAGAGTCATGTTCAACAAAACATCCTTGGCCAAGCTGAAGGCGCCTGGATCCAAGTGTCGATGTGCAACATCAGAAATGCCCCCAAGCAGGCTGACGAAATCCAAGGAAACGCCTCGAAGCTTGACAGATATATCCTGAGACTTGGCCTGATTGCTCCTCCCAGATTCCTGATTCGATGGAGCCTCAGGGCCCGTCTTGAGCATCCCAACCAATTTGTTGACCACCGTTGAGAGCAGAAAGCCCAAAGACATGTCGCACTGAATTGCGATGGGCGACACGTCAATCTCCAAAGTATCATCTGACTTTTGCGACTTGTCCCTGTTCTCCGGCTCAGGCACTTGCGCAGGACTACGCGCGTGGTGAACGGAATAGGCGCCAGGCGCGGACGGAATGAAAGATCGGTTCATAGACTGGCCGAGACTCGATACCGACTCGGCTGACACAGGCTGTACCTCAATATGCTCGTGCTGAGAAGGAATGTAGACCGATATTTGTCCCAGCGACAGCAGCTCTTTCACAAGCTTGGTCGGACCTTTAGGTGTTGCAGCCTCGTCTGCGTCCGTGGACTGCTCGAATGTGGCGGGGCTGTGAGAATCTCGACCGCTATCCGAGTCGCCGGAAGGATCAAGTGGCTTTTTGTCCTCTTCGGACTTCTCATAGGGCTCGGAGGTGGCTGGACCCTCGTTGATCGAGGTCTCCTCTTCATTTTCCCAGCCACCGGGCATCAAATCTCGCCTGTGGTGAGAAGACTGGTCGTGGAGGCTGGTTTCATCCTCCTTTTCCATGGGAACACCTTCCGTATCAATCCTTGCCGTCGGCTGCGCATCAGTCGAGAGAGATGAACCTTTTGCAGAAAAGGCACTCATATACATGCTCTGCGCTTCCTCGGAGCCATAAATGCGGGATTGGGTCAGATCTTCCTCAAGCTCCTCGCCCGGCGTCGAGCCTTGATCAAACAAGGAACTCATCGCCATAGGCTCGTCAGTTGATGCATCCAAAGGACTTGGTCCCCCTGACAAAG